AATATTTTTTGAAAATTTATTTTTAAGGAAAATTGATATTTTTAACTTTTTCCCAAAAATATTTTTTAGAAACTTTGATTTTCGAGGAAAATTGATACTTTCAACTTTTTCCCAAAAATGTTTTTTTTTGAAACTTTGATTTTTAAGAAAAATTGATACTTTCAACTTTTCACTAAAAATATTTTTTGAAAATTTTAATTTTCAAGGAAAATTGATACTTTCAACTTTTCCCCAAAAATATTTTTTTTTTGAAACTTTGATTTTTAAGAAAAGTTGAAAGTATTGATACTTTCAACTTTTTCTCAAAAACTTTTTTTTGAAAATTTATTTTTAAGAAAAATTGATACTTTCAACTTTTCCCTAAAAATCCTTTTTTTTGAATTTTTTTTTTAAAAATAATAATCAAACAAAATAAAAGTGAAAAAAAAATTAAATAAAGGAAAGTAAAAATAAAAAATAAAATAAAGATAAAAAGAATATTAAATAAACCTAATCTAATAAAAAAAACAAATAAAATTAATAAATTAAAAAAAATTTTGAAGCGGCTCGGCTCGGCTCGGCTCAAGGAAGAGAAATGGCTCGGAAAAGCGGCTTGCGACCTCGGCTCGACTCGACTATCGGCTCAGAGGGAAAAGACACGCGCGGGTCAGAAAGCGGGTCGACGCTCGGGTCGGGTCGGATTTTGGTAAAACACGCAGATCCTCTGGATCACTTAACGCAAAAACGACGTCATTTTGGGAGGGTATATAAGGCTTTTCCCTCTATTTTTTGGTAGAAAGCTCCTCCCCTCTATCTCTTTCTTCTTCTTTTTTCCTCTCGCTTCTCTCTAAACAGTCGAAGAACTACGGTTGAATGTTCACCGGATTCTAGAAAATTTCATCGGAATATGGATTTTTCACCGAAAGTTGGTCGATTTCTGGGATCCTTCGTCGAAAACTAGGCAGCTCGCCGAAAACTTCAAAGTTGGTCAAAATTTTCACCGAAAAATATAAATTTCATCGAAAAATTCAACCGAAATCTAGAATTTTCTAGAAATTCCCAGAAAAAATTCATCAAAAATCTTAAAAAAAAATTTTTGCTAATTTTCAGCACACCTCTAAACCTTTTCTTAGCCTTCTAAAATTTTCTACACGCCCATTTTCTCTCAAATCAATAGCTTTTGCTTATTGGTTTTTTTTTGTGTTCTGTTTTGTTCCAGGAGGTCCCTTTTATAGGGATTGATCAGGAGTTTCTAATCAATCTCAATTCTTCTTTGAACGAGGATTCAATCTTTGAATCCAATCTGGACTCTTAATTGAATCCTCATTCACGGTAGGATTCTTCAGCTTTCAATCACAACCCCAAAAAAAGAAAAAAAAGAATAATCAGATAAATAAAAAAATCAGATAAATGAAAAAAAAATTAACAGATAATTAAAAATAAAATAAGATAAATCAAAAAAAAATTACAAGATAAAAAAAATAATAAATAAATTATAATATAATAATAAATATATAACTATATAAATAAAATACATATAAATACTAACAGAAAAAAAATAAAATAATATAAAATAAAAACCAAATTGGGCTTACCCATTTGGGCCAGGCCCAATTGATCCGAGCCTGGACCAAATTGGGTGTCTACAGTCCATATATTTCTTATATGTAAAATAAAAAAAATTTTATGTTATTCAGTTCATTTTCATAATACATGACAAACTATACCAATGCTCTTCATGCCATCACAAAATGAAATTAAACACATATATGTGTTGGTACCTTTGGAACATTGAATTTGCATGTTATTTTCTAATTTATAAACCTGCCTAATTAGATATTGATGGGCATCATTCAAAATGCTAGTAATTGACAAATGCATCAATATTTTTTAATGACATACCTTTTTCATTTAATTAATATCCCATATGCAAAAAGCAACAATGCCTTTTTGTAACCATTTATTAACTCTTTGATGACTATTTATGATTTTCACTTTGTAATTGTTCATAATAAAATTTTATTTTATAAAATCACTTATAGTGTAATACATCTAACATGCAAAATACATGTCACACTGCGTATATTTTTTATATTAACAATTATTTGATTTATTATCCATCAATTAATCCATTTAATACCATATTTTAATAATTACTCACATATATCAATTTAATTTTAGTTGTTTTCATGAAAATTGAACAGAAGTTAAAATTTAAACTAACAATGAATTTAAAAAATACATTATTAACATTTGATTTATAAATGACCAACAAAGATAGAACCATACAAATAGCTTGACTCAACTTGTTATCTCAATTTTTGTGTAATAATTTAAAAATAAAATTAATCTTGCACCTAAATATTATTTTCTGCGTATATTCTACTTATATCTAATTTTTCATGGTAAATACTTTTACCTATTTTTGATTATTTTCATAAAAACTATGGGACAATTTGATTATTCTATAAATAACTAAGACGTGACAATTAAATAATCGATTATTCTATTAGAATCCAATTTAATTCGTTATTTGATAACAAGTGATAATTATTTTGGTTGTAGATCAATTATATCTTTCTTTTTTATGTTTTCAAGCTATTTCCTATCTCAGTCTTTATAAGTATTAATTTTTTAAATAAATATAATATAATTTATTAAACCCAATTGTGGAGTCAATTTCAATATATGCATAAACTTATGCAATTTAATCAATATTTTACATATTATGTTTTGACTTTATATACTAATGAAATAAATTGTTAGTGTGTTTATCTCATTCAGTCAATCTTTTTACCAACAATTATGCAAAAAATAAAACACATACCTCTAATAAAGGTGTTTATGAAAATTAATATTTTGGTCCATAGAAACATTAATCCTTTAACACATTTAGTTTTTTCTAATATTGATCTCCGAATTAAGCCAATTTATTTTTCTTATATCTTCTTTGTGCGAAATACAAATTTAAAGGCATAATTGCTTTTAAATTGTTAGAAAAAAATAAATAAGAAAAGAGAAATAATAGAAAAAAATGTTAGTTTTGAGGCGTAAAGAACACTTTTCTAAAAGTAATTATGCCTTTAAAATACAATAAAGTCTCAAACTCTCCAATTAGAAGTTATAAAAATAGTTATGCTAAAAGATTTGTTTATAATGAATGAACAAACATAAATTTATATTCTGATGATTATGATATTCTGTATAATTATGACTTTTATGAATAATAATTTATTTATATTCAAATAGTTATGACTATTTGTTATATGGTAATTATTTTTGTTCAAATATAATTATTTAAAATATGAATAAAATTAATACAAAAATTAATTTTATTCATCAATAATTAAATATTTTTATCAAATGTGGGATGCACCACATTCTAAACTACCTATAGATTTATATGTATTATTTATCAAAATTTTACAAATTTTAAATTTTCATTCAATTATTAACTTAATTAATTTAATTTCATTACACATTAATGTGATTGCTAATTTTCTTGATATTGCATTATCAAGATGATATAAAATTAAAAAATAATTACATGAATTTTTAATGTTATATAATATATTTTGAATGATAATATCACGTAAACAAAATCAACATTACAAAAATATAAATAATATAATAAAATGAACTTTTATTATAATTAAATTAAAATTTATAATTTATAAGAATAAAAAGATTCAATTTTGATAAATTAATATATATGAATTAACCGATCAAAGAATTTCACTATATCACTTTTAAATGCATTCTATTTCATCTAATATTTTGTAAAGACAAGTAATACATAGATATAATAAAATAAAAAATATATTTTTTCCTTTATTTTTTTATTAGAACGAATAAAATTTTATTGAATGGCTCAATATCAATATTTGAGTATCTTTTAGAAATAAGTACTCATACGAGTTGAAATAGAGTAATATTATTTGTTTTATCTATGTAAAACAAAAAAACTTCATTTAAAAACCTTTAATTAAGATAAAAATACAATACATTAATAACAAAAAAAAATTTTACACCAATATAGGTAAAGTCTAAAAAGAATATTATAATATTAAAAAAATCTGTTGAACTCCCCCCATGGACATGCCATAATAGATCCGAATAGTGGAAATTAATTTATACAATTTGACTTTTTTTTTTTTTAAGTGTTCATCTTGCCTAACCAGAAGTCCCTAAAACCATCTAACGACAATAAATCAAGCTAAATACAAAAAGCATGGCCGAAACGTGAGTGAATGAAAGGAACTTTGACGATATTGGGAATATAATCGTGATTGGTGTGACTTGTGAGCCACGTTTTCAGCCAATACCAACAACTACGTAGTGGCTTCAAATAAGTTAATGATGATTTTGTCGGTTAAAATTTTCGAAAGTCAAGCATGCATTGAATTTGAAGACAAGAAATGAAAGCTATCAAAGCCATCGCCCATCATCAGGATAAGATGTTAAAGCCGTCAGACACGTTGGGGATAGACTCTCACATGGTCACACGTCACTCCAGGATACCAAACATCATGTTTTCAAACTCTTGATCACCTTGTCTTCTTCTTAGGTTTTTCTATATTTTAATACTACTCGTTACTAGTTATGCCTTAGTAATCTTGTTGATTACCCTTCCCATGATAGCCTATCCTAGTACTGTTGTTTCAAAACCACTTTGTAAAGACCGGCGTTTGTTGTCAACTTGTCATCCTCCATCACCGTGGTATTTATTTGCTAGTGCGAGACTTGAGCCACCATATTTCCCCGGTTTCTGCCTATGTTTCACATTTGAACTTTGAATTATTTTCTTCTTTGGTTATATATGTAAGAGAAAAAAACACCAGAGGATCAATCTATCAAAAACTTTGTAGGGTTTTAACAGAAATAATTTATCTGTTTAAATTTGTGGTTTTTGGGACAAAATACTATAAAGCTTTGTTGGGAACATTTTTATGGGGTTGAGGATTAATTTTATAGGATCTAAATGAATTTGAATTTGATTTACTCATTGTTAAAGCAAATAATTTTTTTTTTCGCTTTTTATTATAGGAGGCAATGGCTATTCTTTAATTTATTTTTCTATAAGATATGGAGATCTATACCTAATTTTACATTGAAAAAATATGAAAATCTGATATATAATACATGTAAAAAAACAAACTTATATTTATAAAGTTTTATTTATGTGATAAAATTATAAAAATTTTAAATCAAAATAGATAATTTTTGAGTGTGAATTCATACGTAAGATGAAGTTACGGTTATAATATGAATACAATTTAAACCTCATTGGCTCTATACGTTTTTTCCCCTTCTTAATTGGGTCTTATTCTTTGTTCGTTTTAAACAAATGAAATGAAGTATTTACTTTGGTCAGGTGTCCATACACTTACTCTTCTTCTCACCTTTTTTAATGCCTTTCTCGTTCACCTTTTTTTCGTAGGCAGCAAGTGTTCCATCTACATCTCAGCAAGTGTTTCACCAATCAACAAAATCTTCCCCGAATTTTTATTCTAATAAAAAAGAAAAACCCAGTAAGAGTAAGTATTACAAGTCATAGAATTGGGCCCATTTGTTTTTGTTTTTTCCTTAAAATGTTAAATTAAGGAAAATTCATTCCTTGGGTCCTTCTTTTGTCCTCTGGAGATGCATGGAATGATTGTTTGCTCTGAAATTTGACGTCTCAATTCGTATATTTGAATAATATAAAATTATTATATATTATATAATTTTTAAAAATATAATCCTTTGATAAGTCATTAGTTTCAACATTGGGCCCAGGGAAGTAGCGGACAGGATTTAGCCACCGTCCAAAGAAGCTTTTCCTCACGCGATGTAATGACGTGCGGCTCCCTAACATGTGGTGCACCACAGAATTCTGTTCACAGACAAAATATCAGAGTCTTCACCTTTCTATAAAACTATCAATTTAGCCCATTGTTTTATAAGCAAAACCCACCTCTCAAATTTTCAGTGGTATTCGCCGAAATCCACTGTCAATGGAAGCGTTTACATTCAATTCATCGTCATCATCCATGATAATTGAAAAAAAAAAAAATTTGAAAGTTGATTTAAGTGTTAAGAAAGGAAAGAGCAATCAAAACCAACCAATCGTCATGTATCATCATCATCGTCCATGATAAAAACGATGAAAGATGATAAAACATCAAATCTCGCACACCCATGCATGATCATCATCATGCATGTCTGGCAGGTAAAAATAAACGTAGGATGTGGGAACAACGACTCCCAAAGGACAACCGCCAAGAAAAACGGCTCCGTTAATAATCATGCCAAACAGGAGCAAAAGAAAACCGTTCATGTGAAGCATGAAAACGACGTCGAGCCGCCGTCACCGTCATCGACAGTATCACGGAGTTCTCCCTGTACGATAAAAAAAATCAACGACAGCATTTTACTAGTACTAGTACTTAATACTAGCATTTTCTTTTTTAATGTTTGTGGAGCTGTAACATTAATAAAGGGTGCCGTGACGCCTTGGCTGCAGACAGATTCGTTGGTGAGGAGGGGGCCACAACTATGTAAGATTGCCACGTACCCTTGATAAGGGTCCACATTTAAGGGGTGTTAGAAGAAAAAAAGGGATGTGCGGACCACGAGAAGAGGGAGGGATTTGAAATGACGGCCGGGTGGGTGCAGGAGAAGCAGCAGCAGTGATGATGGTGATGAAGCATACCGAGTGCTGACACTGGGAATGGATTAGGTGAAGTGACAGAGAAAGCATCACGGATAGTTTGCGTGTTGAGATGTTTTATATTTCATTTATTTACTATTATTTTGGAGTAAATATATAAAAAAAAGAACAGTATCATTGCCTGCCGTGCAGGGCATCCACTTTTCTGCTAATTGCCTTTCATGCCCTTCTTGTTTTACCCATTTATTTTTCCTTTTCCAAATGTACGTAATCATGAAATAAAAATGTTTAGTTGATTATGATTTTGGTCTTTAGCTTTTTTTTTATATATTTTTTATAATTTTAACAATATTTAACAGTTAAATTAAATATAACTAAAATTATAATTTTCTATATCATTATTAAATTAATTAATATTTAGTTGAGATTATTATATATTTTTTTTATTGTTTGTTATATAAACACTAATTTATTCAAAACCTACACATTTTTTTAATGTAAAAAATTATAATTTCTCAAAGCAAAAAAAAGCCACCGTCCATAAAAAATGGCCAAAGAAAAACGTTCACCAAAACATTGAAACCAAGCTCCCACTCAGCTTCCTCAAATTTTCAACAATCTTTCTCTAACATAACTAGCTAGCCTAGCCGTTGTTTCCCTGTTTCAGTACGCGTATTATTTTATCAAGCTTTCACCGCATTGTAATCCTTCTTATCTTTACTTTTATAGCCACCACCTAAACTATAAGCCTATGGTTCAATGTTTAAGAGTGAGATATTGGCATTGTCTTATCATAATGAAAAAAAAAATCCCAACAAAAGGAACTTTGTTTGGGTTGATTATTAAATGAAGTAAACGTGATTCATTGAAGTTGGAATAAAAGGAGGAGTCATGCATCGTTTTTCCCTTGATATGATATGCTGCCTCAAAGGTCTTCCCATCTGTTTTCCCTAGGCAGCCTCATGCGCATTAGGTTTTTGCTCTTTTTGTCAATGGCAATGGGAGCTTTGGGTGGAAAACTAGTGATGGAAGAAAAGACATGGGTGTGTATGATTCCTGTCCAAACCTATGTACCTTATTGCAAATTAAAAATATGCTTTGTTTTTGTCTTGATAAAAATAAGTTCATTTCCCTTTTTTCTTAACTTCAAAAGCACAGAAAACTGCCGAATTTTAGTTGAGTTGATGATCAAATAACTTGTCACTTGGAACTAAGCTCCAATTTTTTTTTATATGCTTAAAACCAGATACTTCAATTGATATAAAATAATCTAAAATATCAATTTTTGTTGAGATTTATTAGAATAAAAGCTAAATAAGAGAGATCAATTATATCATATATCAAGAGTATTTAGTCATAAAATCATAAAATTAAAAAAAAAATGACCATAAAAGAAATAAGATATCTAAATTTTTAAAAAAAATTTAGTATTTAAATTTATTTGTTTAAAAAAATTTATATATATTAATTTTTAAATAATTATTATAATATCATAATTTTTTAATATATATGATAATAATTTTAAATATTTTTTAAAATTTATTATTTTTTTAGTAATTAAATTATCCAAAAATATATAAAAATTTAATATTCACCTTCAAAATAAAAAAAAATGAATTTCTTCTTATCAAACACCAACCTAACTAGTTTTCGTTATTTTTTAATTAATAGAGTTTTTAAAGCATGATTAATAAACGAACCAAGAAGATAAAAATGGACCACATATTCCGAGAAAACGGTGCGAAAGGTAAAGAAGAAAGCCGACAGAAAAGCCGGCACATGAAACATGGCTAACCCATTTTCCGTAACACACGTCCTAAAATATGATGCCAACTTTATCGATTTTATACCTAACGTAATAGTATTACACACCCAAAATTTCCCTTCATTTTTCATATTGTTCTACATCTTTTCCTGTACTACGCTTCATTTAATAGGGAAACAAGGGAAGAAAAGGAAAAACCCACGCTCCAGGATAGGCGAGTTGGTCTATGCAGTAGGGTGCTATATTTTTCAGAACAGTATCTCTAAGACTAGCAAACTAAAAATAGAATGCAGAGCAAAGCGCACACGCTTGCTTCTGCTTCGCATTTTTCATGACAACATTAACAAATGCCTCTCTTATACGCTTGGTACAGTCCCCGGCTCGAACTGCAAATTCCCACTCGCATCTTACAGGAGCGTGCTTCAACGTTTAAAAGCTTTGTTCTTTTCTTTGTTAACATAATATTCCTATATGCTTTAGACCCAAGAGAATCTGTATCTGTAGTTCTGTATGGTGCTTGGGTGCAGATTAGAATCCATATTTCACCATCCGATCATTCTCCAATGCAATACAAATCGACGATGGATGATATATTACTGATAGGAAAATTGCTTGCATGAAAAACGAAACAGCTGAGAAGTGTTTCATAGAAATTTAATAAAAAAAAAACATATGTACACCGAAGGTTAAACTTTTTGGATGTTCCGATAATTCTTCTTGGTACTTGCTCCCCTTTCAAAATATAGAATAAATATTGAAAAAAAAAGTAGCAAAGATACCTAAATGAAAAGGGGAGATTGGAGGGATTAACATGAAGAGGGTTAAGTCAGACGGAAAAGAAAAAAAGGAGCCATAAAATGCCTACAGAAACCTTATTCAGTGGAAAAAGCTTGGAGCTTTTTCTGGTTTTTCACAGCCACAAAGGAGGTGGTTCATTCAAATCTATAGGCAACCCACGTCGAACAATCTCGAGAAACGATGCTGTAGATCCATTTCCCGGCACGGGAGGGCCAGTAGAGACAGCGACAACATTGGGTTTAGTTGAAGATGATGTGTCAGCGTCAAAGTTCATTTCTTTAAGAACCCCAGTTTGGAGAAACTCACCCAGGGCTAAACGGTGATTGTGATGCGCTGAAGTTGAAGCCCAACGTTGATGGTGGTGATGATGGGGATTATCAGAGGGAAGATTGAGATCGAGAGAGAGACCAGCTACGGAAGGTGGAGCAGGGAAGTTGGTTTTAGCTTTGGCTCCACGGAGAGACCTGGCAGCTCCATCGTAAGCAAGTGCAGCTTCTTCTGGTGTGTCGAATGTACCCAACCAAACCCTTGTTTTTTTCCATGGATCACGTATTTCAGCTGCGTATCTTCCCCATGGCCTCTTCCTTACTCCCCTGTAGTGCCCTTCTCTTGAAGACGCCATGGAAAAACCAACCCAAAAGATTGAAACAAAAAAAGAATAGCTTCAGTTGAAAAAAAAAAAAACCTTCAGCTTACTGCAATAAAGAGAAAGGAGAAGCCCTAAAGCTCTAAAGAAAAAAGGGAACCGATGAGAAGAGGGGAGAGTGCGTGTGTTTGTAATCGTGAGAACAGAAGTTAAAGAGGGGACCCATTACAGTCACCCGTAATCATCGGCTGGACGGCTCGAGTTCTTTTTTATTTAAAGAAGTTAACAACCCTTTTCCTACCCCTTGATTCTCATCAAAACTATGGGTTTTTTCGTTGGAAGTTGATCGAACGGCCGCCATTCATTTTATTAACAACAGCAATTAACATAAAGCCATACACAGGACAGAAAAGGATGGGCCTAAACTTAAAAAAAAAAAATCAGATAGAGCCGCCGTCTGATTAGACGTTTGAGCAGACGAGACTGTCATGTGACAACACTCAGCATCGGTGCTTACGTATGCCCTACCTTTTCGTACGGCGCTGCTGAGCGGCGCCTGCCTTTAATATTATAAAACATAAATAAATAAATAAATAAAAAGGAAGAAATGTGTTTAAGTGAGACGATGATTATTATAAGGGGATGGCAGAGTATCAGAGTGCAGTGGGGAGTGGCGTGTCGGGTAGCGCCTGAAGGGTAGCAGCAGAAGGCAGGAGACCCCACGTGGAAGGTACAGAAGGAGGTGTCTGAGCTGCAGGAGACAGGACCGAGTTGGGTTGGGAGGGGACTGAGTGAGTAATTTTGTTTTTGGGGGATGGCGTGTTTGACTCGGTTTTGAGTCAGGAAAACACTGGTCTAGTGTTGGTTTGGGTTCGGGGTGGGAGGAAGGGAAGCTGAGAGGGGGGTAAAGTAGATCTGTAGAAACTGGGGAAAGTGTACGGTGAGAGGGTGATGTAGGTGAATAACTGCAGGTAACTGACACATGGTCACGTGAAGGTATTTTTACTGTTTTGGGATTTTTTTTAATTTTTTTTACTGCCTTTTAGGGTTTTGGCATGATGACACGTGTTGATATAAAATTCATTTGGGGAGGGGGGCTGATTTTCCTTCCCTCTTTTTTGTACATTTACTACATTTACTAACTGTTTCTATGGAGATGGATTTTGGGTCTTTGATGCAAAAAGCCCAATTGTCTAGCAACCCAAGCAAGCGGCAGAGTTGGAAGACTAGCTAGCAAGCCATGTCCATTTTCAGCAGCAGTCCGAGCATGACCATGATTATGGTGCCTTGACTTCTGCGTACCATGTGATAATTGGGTTGTTTTAGCTTAGGGAGCACCTTTTTCTGCAGAAGAGAACGAACTATAAATAAGCAACGAAAGGAAACCCAATAAACTTTGTTGGTGTGAATCACCATAGAAAGTTTCACGTTTATATCAGTCGAAGGGATCTATACCAAACAATTTTAACATTCAAAATAGTTATTAGGCCAAATCAAGCTGTTATATTGCTATGAGATTTAGCCTGATGATACTAACCTGCAATCTGCTGTGCTCGACGAATATTCTGCTGCCTTTTCCTCCAACACACTGAATACATAACTAGAAGTAAGACACAGATAAAGACGCGCCATAGCCAATACCAACCTTTGCACCAGCGGAGAAGTGGGATCCACAAATAGGTAGTCCAGGTATGCCACAGACACTAGCATTGTCGGTAAAACTGCATTGAACTAAAGTATCTAGTATAGAGCTGGCAACAACAGACGTGTAAGTGTGCATGCTCTTGTTTGCATCATGTATAAAAGTATTTCTTTACTTATCACTGTTAAAGAAACATTTCAGACCAATAGTAATGAGATTCTGAGAACATACTTGAAGCAAGCTCCATTCAAAAGCCTTCCTCCAAGTGCAGCTGGGACTCTTCCAGACAGAGAGTTGCCATTAAGATTCCTGCACAACGACAACTTAAATCCGACTCCTCCTTTATATGTTCAGATTCCATGGTTAATCAACCAGTTGAAATCTTACAGTCTGCATAATGCAGTCGACTGTCCTAGGCTTTCAGGAATTGGTCCATTGAGGAAGTTGTAGGAGAGATCCCTGCAATTTGTATTCAGACATCATACCAATAAGACAAAGTTTAGGGAAATATAGACGGTGAACTGAAATAGTCTTGTGCTTCTCATAACCCAGACATAAGACTTCAAACTCAAAGTGTCCTTTGAGAGAATAATGTTAATATCTAGCATCCAGAGTTTAATGTCCTTTCAAACATGATGGCTATTTAAAAGAAGAACGCAACTAACAACTCCCTGTATGCATCTTTCATCTACAAGACATTAGATATGATGATTATATCAAACCTAATATCGCATGTTCATGCAGACAAAGCTAACAAGGCTTACATTCCTTAAGTTTTACTTTGTTTTAATCAATAACATGTATACATTGCGTTCCACATAACTTGGAAAGTAGAGTTCTAATAAAGAAAAGTTTTTGAGTCCTTTAAAAAACTCCTTCCACCACTAAAATATTTCCGCCCTTAAAATGAAAGAGGCATCTATCATTGTGAGTTGCCCGTTTATGTATGACAATGACATAGCAATTCCTAACTGTAGAAAGTATGTTATTTCAAAGAGTTTTGGATGTAAAATAAAGAAGTTAATACAATCAAAAGTATCTTCGAGAAGGACAAGAATTAATGCTACACTAACAATACTTTTAAGCTGGTGACTGTTCCAAGTAGCGATGGAATGGCCCCATGAATGTTTCCACTTAAGTTTCTATAGAAGTCAAGTACAACATAAACAAGAGAAATTGATATTAGGCATATAGGAGTTTCATCTATTGTAAAATTAAGAACAAGCAAAAACATTGCAGCAGATGCTTTAAGTCAATGCTACTATATTTAATATCAAGGTCTATAACAACAGGATGACAAGGCAGAAACAGAAACCCGTCCTTAGATCGTGATACATGCCCAACATAACAAATAAAAGCAACTATAATGAAAGTGATGGAGAACTAACTGTACTTACAAGCGCTGTAGGTGATTTAGTTTGGATATGTCATTGGGCAAGAAACCCCTTAGACATTGGTTGTCAAGATCACTGATCATGCAGAAATCAAAATTCAATTACTTATAATATACCAATATAAGTGATGAAGACACTGTATCTTAAGCTTTGCATGATAAGGTTGCATTTAAAAGTTTAAAACATTTCTATTATAGGAAACACTTGCTATATGTATACACGTGCATCCAGGCATGGCAAGCAGACTTTAAATAAAGTGACGTGGTTCCCTTGCAAAAACTAATCGGTGCAGATAGTCATTCATGCATCCATAGCATTTAGAACTTCACGAGTGTTAGGCATTAGGCAACTTAACTGAGAAATCAGTTCATTTGCCACAACCTGGTTCTTCATATTGTTGCCTTATTATTATTATTTTATGAGCAGTGGTTTCGAATACAGACAATTTATAAATGTATACATTTAAATATTATATTTACCGGATATCACATTTTATAAATGATTGCATGAAAAATTTTCATTATTTTACATGTTTTTGTATATTAATTAATAAAAGTTTAATAAATTTTGAGGCACTAATCATGAATGTGTGGAGAAAGCTAATTTATGGGTCAGTCGATTTCATATGGTTTAGGGTGTGTAATTGTTATGCCATTTTCTTCTTAATGTCTAATTAAAATAAAAATTATTATTTTAATATATGGACAAGGAAAATTTGATCCTTGAAAAGTGGAATCTCAAGCAATGGCCCAGTAACAATAATTTAAGCAAGTATGTTGAATTTACTCTATTGGAAGAAGATATATGCATATCCCACAACAATAAAGCAATGATGGTCAAAGGATTGTGTTTAATTTATGCATAAGAAAATGTTCAATAAAAATCACAAGGTAATAGCATAATAAATAAATTTAATTATCACAATCATTTTCTACACATCTGCTTCCGAAATGCTAATCCTTAGTGCAATCCTAAATTTCCCCTGTTTGCATGAGATAAACTACTGCAGCACAAGGTAACAGGCAACCGGATCTATTTCAGATTCAATGGATTCAGTAATGTACATAGAGCATATATATGTATATATATATATTTATATACATATATACTATGTACGAGCTATGTGTAACATCTTGTCGTCTGACAAAGCTGGCAGTAAACTAGGCATTGTCAACTTGAATTCTCCTACTTTTTCTGATATGCCAGAAGCTGAAAAATAACACAAAGTTAAATGTAATAAATGTGGTAACTGGTAACCAATTGGATGCTTATGTATATGCATGTGTTATAGCATACTTCTGGATGCAATGATCAAGGTATCAACAGCAGATGCAGCTTACCAGGTGGCCATGACTGGAATTTTGCATTCCAAGTCCTGCCAAAGTTTCTTCCTCTTTTAAAACTTGCAACTTATCTCTGACTGATTCCACTAAACCGGGCTTGGTAATCGTAAAGGTTGATATGTTGACCATAGAATGGAACTCTTTTACCAGTTGTATTTCAATTTCGCTTGCTTGCAAAGCAGTTTGCAGAGCTACATACTAGGTAAGAGGTCAATTAAGAAATAGTTTTAAAGTTGTCCAAGGTATTGAAATGTAATAAGGTTTCTGATGGAAGAATAATTACCTTGCACAGCTGTCTAACCAACAAAGTAGGCCTGCAGCACAGGTAAGGCCGCTGTAAACTGGGTATTCTTTGTTCGTCAACTGAAACAAGCATCAGGTGGATATCCAGCTGAAAGAAAATAGAGCAAATCAGTAATCCAAATATTTCAGCAAGTTCAAGTGAGAACTCAAAACCAATGATATTCCAGAATAACATTAATGATTATCCCATGAACTTGGCACGTAAAAAGGGGTTTTTATATGTCAATTGCACAGTGGTTAAAGCAATATGTTTTGGACTAAGCGAGCAACACAATTTGGACTAACTGAAGCCATAAATGAGCTCGATGATTCTTTACCATGGCAGAATACAAAAGATCACCACCAAAAAATCAAATTTACCTCATCATCCTTCTCCTCTAGGTTTCGGAGACAATCCACCAACTTAGAGAGGCGGCTGTTTCGAGGATTCTTTCCATTTCCACCAGTCAAACTGCCATGTCTTGTGTGACTGCGCATGCCGCCTGCTCCCCAATGAAGCCTTTCTGAGAGGCCACTAAGTGCTGCCAACAAACCCAAGGATTCTCTATTCACTTCAGAATCATTTTCGTCACCACTCAAACTGCCATCTGGTGTGTGACTTCGCATGCCGCCAGCTCCCAAGTGAAGCCTTTCTGAGGGGCAAACAAGTGCTGCAGATATACCCAAGGATTCTCTATTCACTTCAGAATCATTTTTGTCACCAACCCCATCTGCACTAGGAGCTGAAGAACGCTGAGAAAACCGACCATCCCATCCCTTCGATCTCTTTGGTTTGACTTCAGTATGGTTTTCATTGGCCGAAGATGAATCTCTGCTTCCATTTTCAATGGCATCCCCATTATCATTGGACTTTTGAGGTTCAGAAGGTTGATATTTTTTCCTCGATATTGATGCTGATCTCCTTATAATTGCAGATGCAGTGGCTTTAACTGTTCGTTTCCTACCCAGAACTTCTGATTGCCAATGCAAGGTCCGGGCAATGGAAGCTTGGATCTGATGTAAATGAACTCATTAGAATTTAATTAATTGATTTTATTTATTTATTTGGATTTAAGAAGGGGAACACAAGACACATGAACGCAAGGATACTTTAAGTTAGCATAAAGGAACATAGACCAGAGTAAACTAACAATCTAATGCCTCACTTGCTTATTCCGAGCTTTCTCCTCCTCATGAAAAGTCAATTCCTAAACCACAAAGTTAGTGACAAATTATTGGGTTTTAATAATAAAAAGAAAGTCAGATTCCAATGTGCACTGCAAGAGATCAACCAAACTATACCTCTTCCTCATATTTGTCAATATCTGGATACAAGGCTGCGATTAGGGCATCATAGTTAGGATCATCTCTCAGAGACCGGCGACTAGCACAATGTGTGCGGCAAGCTGGGCATTCATTGCTCCTGCCATTAGATTCAAGATGCATTAACATGAAGAAAAAAAACTTGAGCTCCTAAGTAACGGTTAATTATGGATCTTGGTAAAGATCATCCCAAACCAAACCAGGTCAGGACATCAGATCCCATGTTTCAGTGAACTAATGAGGAGAATGGAAATAGTTTGAACATACCCCATTCTCATAGATTTGTCAACGCATTCTCTACAGAAGCGATGTAAGCATTCCATTACAGTTCTTGTTTTGCGAATGATCCCTTAATTAAAAAAGGAAAATGATGAATTCTTTTTCTCTGCAAAAGTTGATGCTTATGTGGTATAAGCATTAATATAGTTTCAACAAGATAAAATGTGAAAACAGAATCATAAACCTCGTTCTAACTGAAACCCACTTTTTCAGATATGTTGAGTAATATGAACACCTTATATGATATTTGAGATACTTGGAAAGCTATACAAATAAATCTAACATCTTACGGGTTTAGTGGAGATTCAGTGAAGCACATGGTCCAAAAAGTAGCAGAAAAGTAACAAAAGATTCAAGCACCTAAGCATTTGAGCTAGGACTTGATTCAATGACAGTCAATAACTGAATCCATAATGCATAAAAGATTTAGAAATTGTAGCCAGTTCAAGACAATATCATCACTTCTGATCTGTGAAAAATGATATGAACCAATACTGATGAATAATTGATTTCTTTACAGACAGAAAGCCAAAAAATGTATCAGAACTTTGAATATGCAATTTAATACACATAACTACCTATTTCCAGAAACTCACAAGGTAATTATGATATCATTTACATCAGCATACATGCAAAGAGTTTGAAAAAAAGTACTCCATGTAAGAGCTATCTTATAAGATGAACCATATAATAGTTCAAAAGAAATCCTAAAAAGTCATCATCTCAACAAATGTACCCATCTCAACAAGATTTAACATATTAAACAAAAAGTTCTTGAAGAACATACCTAGGCAGATTGGGCATTGTACTTCTTTGCGTATGTCAGACAACTTTACTAGAACATATCTGCAATGAAACACAAGGGATGAACTGTTAGCATATTATGCAGTTAATAAGCGCTACATAGGCTGCCATTCTATTTCTCTTTTCATATTCAAGTGTAGCTGTAAAACTTTTTGCCAAATACGTGAACCATGAATACTCTGGACTAAGTAATCGATTGTATAACACACCTTTGCAGAGTTAAACCAATAGACACCCTTAAAAGTAATTAAATTTCATCCTTAAACCTGTTTAACTTGAATTCCATTTCACAAGGCTACGTATCCAGGCAGTAACTAAATAAAACTCACAAACCACAATGTTACTACAATATTGCTCAGCAAATTCAAATGATCATCAATGCTCTTTTCAAAACTTTAAGCATTATTGCCTCCGCAGAAGCAAGGAAAAAGATCGAGAAACAAATGAGAAAAGCAGTTATAGACAAATAAGCCCTTTCTCAAGTGAATATTACTACTATAATGAATTAATCCAAATTGTCTAAGGACACCATTTTTTTCCCTGAATAAGCACCTCATATTAAATAAAAATCATTACCTTCGAAACAGTTGATTAATACAAAATAAGAGTGTAAGGGAGGATTATAACTTTGTCTAATCATGATCTCACGATAAGGTTCTTACATTCAGTATAAACAATCAAGGGTGAGGCATAATCTGGAGCTTCCAACAAGCACAATAAATTACATTAAATTCCCTAACAATTAAAAAGAAAAGAAAGGCATTCTTTGGAAGGTCGTTTACCACTGTTATTCAGCAAGAAGCAAACATCAAAAGTCTATCAATGGATAACACTGACAATTGGACCTCTTATGGTACATCATTGAAGCTTCATCAGAAACGACCAATACATCAGAACTTCTGAGTTCTAACTATTATAGGAGAGAAAATGGAAATCCAATAATAAAGCATCCTGGCAGATGACTATCATATCAATGACAACTCAGGAAGTGGTTAGCAAAAGTATTCAATATATTGAACAACGCAAATATTTTGACAGGATGATTAATAGTGACACCGTCATAAAATATTTGCAACTGTATCTGTTGTTTCAACCAAAGTACTCCAACAGTATGGTATCATCATGCACTGATCATATAGAGACCAAGAGAAAGATTGATCCCAAAGCCAAGCAGAGACAGCTTGACTCAGAGTAAACAGACAAGAATCCTTAAGCGTTAAAACCCACCTTATCCTTACTAGACCATAGCCTCCTAGAGTTGGTCAACAAACTTAACCGCAAGTCACAACCCTGAAAATGCCTAAAAATTATACTTAAAATTAATCCAGAAGAAGTTCACAAACATGAAGAAACTAAAATCCCAGTCCTCATACGTAGAAGAATATACGAAAAAATGGGTGTAGGTACAAATCTTACAGTTAAACAATGCTACAAGTATTTATAGAACGATGAAATCACTCTCATGCAAGCCAGAATAGGAATGACTCAGAAAGACCCCAAATCAAAACTCCAAGCAGTTTTACTAAAAAGGAGCGTACCCATCTAAGAATAAAGCAAGGAAAAAGAAGGAAGTTCGAAGCTTAAGAATAGCTATGTCGAGGATGTTTTGATTGTTAGTAGCAAGTAAACTCACAAATAACTTTCCTTTTAAAGTGCAACTATGAAACCATGCAGATCGCAAAAAAACAAAGCCCCCGCTATTGACGCATTAAGCAGTTATAAATGAAAGTAACGAGTAAAACAGAGCAAATCGATTTAGAAAAAAGAAAAACAAAAGTAGTAAAAGAAACTTACCCTTGGTTTTGTTCGTTACAAGGAGAAGGGCTGCGATCAGATTCTGTGAAAACCGAAAGCAACACTTCAATAAAAAAAAAAAAAAGTGTCGTATTCGTTACCGAAAATCATAGAGGTGGCTATGGTGTACCATCAGCAGCAGCATCCTCGGTTTCTTGCCGGTGTTGTTCATGGTTGTTACAGTGGTCAAGAAGCATAGGATCGTCGTCTTCTAGTGCGGTGTTGGCGCTGACGGCTTCGGAAGAACGCTTCTGTGCTGGCATTTGCTGCGTCTTTTTCCTCTCTATTTGTATTGGAAACCAAAGAAAGAAGGAAAGAAACAATCAAAGCGAAAATGGGATTCGAAACGGAATCATTGGAGTGAAGAAGGGAAGAAGACGAAGGTGAGTGAGGGCGGTGGAAAGAAAAGGAATGTCGTCGTCGTTGTTGTTGTTACAGTATTTGACAAGAGAAAGAAAGGTTTCCGCTGCTCGCGGCCTTAACAATTTGTTGGCTATAATTATATATACATTGTATTGTATAGTATACGTATTATTATACATGTATATAACATAATTTATTTTAGTTTTCACCCAAAAATCCAATTATTTGTCATTAATTCCCAAAAAAATGTTAATAAATTTAGCATTATATTTCCCTAAAATTTGAGGTAAAATTTTTTGTATCATGCTATATATATTTTAGCATTTTTTAAAATAAATATTTTAAAGAATAAAGTGCCAAATTTGGGGTTTTTTTTGGTAAAGTTAATTGTAAAAACCTAAAAATAAAATCATTAATTAATTTTTTGAAATAATTATAGAACTATTAACAATTAAAATTAAAAGAAAGAAAATAAAAATAAGTAGCGGTTAACTAGTCCTAGATTCTTAGTATCTATACAAAGATCCCTGTCGCTCTCGGAGTCAGCGAATACGACACGACACGGAGTGGACCAGTGTCCCATGTTCCTTTTACTTTCAAACTAGAAAGGGTTTTAGAGATTTAGCAAAACCCGATGGGGGAGAGTGCCAAACCTTCCGGTTACAAACAGTACGTTGCGGGCTTGCTAGCTGGTGTTGCAACCGTCGTCATCGGCCACTCCTTGGATACTGTCAAGGTATAATAAGTTTCCTTATCTTTTTTGCTTTTGCTTGATGAAAAATAAAGCTTTTCTGGATATGGGTCTGGGCAAGTTTTGAAGAATTATGCTTTGTTTTTGTTTAATCTGCAAGTAAAGTATACTTTTGATGATTTAAATGGGTGGTTGGCGTTTCAAGGAATATGGGTCATTTGTTGAATTGAAAGATTGGGAAAAAGATATTAAGTTCCTCTTTGAAAGCATCTAAATGAAGATTAGATTCTTTCAAGCTTTAATTCTTTTCTTCCTGGTTTTCTTGACAATGCTGCATTAGTAAATTCCTTTTGTATCTGCTGTTCCTTGGTCAGGTGAAGTTGCAGAAACACAATACTGAAGTGCTAGGGATTAAATACAGGAATGGCTTGCATTGCACTGCTAGGATACTTGCTACTGAAGGGGTATGCTTCTTGAGCCTTTCTTTTCTTTTCTCTGTGAAGAACCCAATTCATTTAAAGCTGTCCTTTGGTGAGAGTGAGACCACTCTTAGACATCTAAGGAAATACATCCGGTGGGAAAAGATAATATTTATTTGTTTATAGCTTTTGGTTATTCCTGAACTTGAACACCTCCAGCCTATACTGTTTATAGGGATTCTAGCTGTTCAAGTGCAAAATTTCATTAAATAATATAAAGAGCTAAATGTTCAGCTGTCTCAGATTTCATATTATAGAGCAGACTAGCTCATTTTGTATTCATTCTTATAGTGGATCTTGTCTGCTGATGTCCTAAAATCTAAAATCAACCACTAGAGGGAAATATTGGACATAGTTATTGAATTTATCCAGGAATTTGTGAAGATGAATGTTAGCAGTATCTATAGGTGCTATTCTGAAACCAAGGTTTTGATCTATTACATAAATTGGGAGGATAATTCGGAATGCACAATGCAGTATGTGGAATACAAAAATCATCAATTCATTTTTGGCAGCAGTCAAACCTATAAGCAGTCCATAAGTCTTAGCATCTTTTATACATAGTTGTTACCCTCGCCCTTACTCTTAACATATTTGATTTTTCTGGAGCGCTCACAGTTAGCTTTGGCAGGTTAGAGGACTTTATACAGGGGCAACATCATCTTTTGTTGGAGTGGCTTTTGAATGTTCGCTTGTTTTTGGCATTTATTCACAAACAAAGCAGTTACTGCAGGTTTGTGTTAAAGGAAATTGAAGGTGATCCTACCTTATCCATGAAACTGCTACTGCCAAGGAAAAAATGGAAATCAGTTGCTTTGATAACATTATTGCATGTTTCTTTTAATATGCTATCTTTCTAACTCATTCTGATGCTTCTAATTAATTTTTAATTCTTTTTACTAATGAAGGAAGGAGTTCAGAGTAATGAGCCACAGCGAAGAGCAATAATTCCTTCTGCTGCTTTTGGTGGAGCTATTATCAGTTTTGTTATATGTCCATCAGAGCTAGTGAAGGTAAGAGATAAGTTTTTATGTTGTGCTATGATTTGCTCTACGATCACTTTTTTTTTTTTTTTTCCAAAGCATGCTTGTGACATTGGGCTTCTCCAGTGTAGGATGCAGGTTCAAGGCACTGACTCATTGGTTCCTAAATCCAGTAGCTACAGTAGTCCTCTTGATTGTGCACTTAAAACCGTAAAAAGTGATGGGGTGAGAAATACTCTGCTTTCTGGCAACTTAAGAGTTGCATGATTTTAAGCTAATGGAACATCTTTCAGGTTACAGACATCTTCTGTGGGGGCTCTACAAAATTGTTAAGAGAATCTCTCGGAAATGCCATCTTTTTTAGTGTATATGAGTATGTTCGTTATTATACGCACTTACAGCTAAACACTGGTTCATCTGACCATAGCAACTTGATTGATATGGGAATTGGAATTGTGAGTGGTGGTTTGGGTGGTGTAGCTGTAAGCATTCTGACATCCTTCGATTTTGGTTTCTAATTTGAGTTACCATGTGGTCTTTTTAAATTTAGTTTTTATTCTCTATTTTTTTTCCAGTACTGGTCAGCTGTTTTCCCTTTGGATGTGGCAAAAACCATTATACAGACTGCTTCAGATAAATGCTTTCTGACAAATCCATTTCAAGTTTTAAATTCGGTAAGATAATCTGATTCCCTTGCTAAATATTATAGTATTGAAATTTGCCTTTCCTAGCACAGGAAGATGGAGGGCAGCATGGTGGAGTTTCTATAAAGATCAAAATGATATTGAAAGAAACTGAGGGTAGTCCAATTATTTCCTTGCCTCATACATTTACATGAGGGCTGGACTCAGAGGATGCTATGCAGGGCTGGGTCCTACATTAGTGAGAGCTTTTCCTGCTAATGCAGCTGCAATTGTTACCTGGGAGCTAGAGCCATGAAGCTTCTCAGAATCAAGAATGACTAAGAAAGCTAATTATTTCAGCTAATTACAAGAGGCTTATAACCTTCTGTTGCTATATATGTTTACCTTGGTGGCTGATTTTTTCCACTCACACCTTGGCATGATATGATCTTGAAGCCTGACTTTTGGGAGAAAGGCAGGTGCTTTGACTTGTTTATGTAATAATGCAATATTTGCGCGGCTGAAACAATGGTGTCATGGTGATCTTTGTTGAGTTATCCCAATTCTTTTCCTTCTCGGGTCTTCTTGCCTTTCTATTAGCTGTGCAGGAAGAATATCACAGGTGCATTGTTGTGTGCTTCAGGATGCCTCCTTAATCCAAGCTTGGTCTAGGAACTGATGGTTAAACCTTAAAATTCCTATACTCTGTGGAATAAACATTGGACAAATTTGTGTATGGGAATACTCTATGTCTTGCTGATTAGGTACTGCCATCTCTGGTGGCCATTGAATTGCTTAAGGTTGTACACTTTTACTGATATCCACCTTACCTTTTCCCGTTGTTCTCTACCTTCTGTTCTTCTTACTTCTCTTTGTGACTGAAGTTTTAAGACTGTCAGCTCTGCCGTGCATTGATACAGGAAAAATAAATGCGAACATATAGGTAGTATCCAATGGTTCGGAATCAATGATTTGTTTTGTTATTCAAGTGATTAATTAAAATGCGTTTTGGGATCGATCCCATATTTCTCACAATGACAAAATCCAGCAAACCCTCATCCAAAATTTCCATGTTTGGCTGAGTTGCTTGTTCTATTTCCTTTTTCACTCACATGGCGATTGTTCCAAACTCTACCCTAGTTACATGCACAGTACTGTCGACCAGACTGCTTAAGTTGGTGTCTGATACAAGCAACAAACTTCTATGTAGAATTATCAACGTCCTTCAATTCTCGTGGGCAAGCAAAGGAAGGATGGTTAATGCAACTAGATGCTGTTCTTTGTAAAAATTAATGCAACTTTTGATTTTGACATATAAAAGACACCACTCAGTGTCAGAGAACCCCACCCTGTTAATGCATCAAAGCGAGTTTCTACATTTTTAATAAAAAACGTGTAAAACTTTGGCACTGGGAAAAAGCAACTAATTTAACAAACACATGAGAAAAGACAAATTGCAGCGACGTTGTTGGCAAACAAAGTACATTTTGATGAATAACCAAAGTTTTTTGACGGTTAAGGCTGAATAACATGAACATAAATCCATTAGAATGCATCAAAAGCTCGAGTTTTTTGACGACCCATTTCTTCTATCCACGTTTGTTGCCAAACTATCTCAAATCCGACTCAAAATATAAATTTAACCCTAATGTCATGTTTTCATTGAAATATGAATGGAACAAGTTTGAATTGCATGGAATGAAAATATAAAAGAAAACATTAGAACCCAAAAAACCCCACAAACAAGCATATATAAAAGCTAAATATAATAATACTAGAGCATGAAACGGTGCATAATTAAGGGGTAGATTAAGATTTGACAGAAGAGAGCGAGCATGCTTTGAAACCATATAGTTACATATATTTAAATTGATTTTTATGGGCATATTGGAAAAGGCCTTCTATAAATAGGATAATTGGAGAGTTAAGCTTTTTTTTTTTTTATATCTTAAGCTTGCCTTGTAGCTTGTAATTAATAATTTGAGCCTTCCCCTTGATATTCAGATGAGCTTTTCCGGCGTCGCTCATTGTGTCCGGCCAAACGTCTTCGACAACTCCTTTTTGCTTCATCGAACTCTGATAACTCATGGAACCTGCACGTCATCATCATTTTGAAAAGATGAAAATGAAGTGTCAGAAGAATGAAATGCAATTCTCCCTTATTTCCTGGTTTAAAGTCTAAATTGTATGCTAGATTAAGGTTGGTGAACATTGACGAGTATTATATATGTATTCTATCTAGTTCTGATGGTTTTTATAAGTTATGTACGGCCACTGGCCATTCTGCAGGCATGTAAACCTCGAAGCTTTTCATCAGTTAGTCATAATTAACCATCTGTAAAATGCACAAAAACAAACCTCAAGGCCTTAGGGGTGGGGTGCCTGCAATTGATATTGGCAATGGCACGTAAAGTCCGCAAAAATCCTGAATGAACCAAGGAAGTTAATCAATATCTTCCTTCAATGGCATTTCAAGGCACATGATTTGTCCAGGGTACGGACTACTGAGAGGTCATCATCGTCATCCTACGGTGAATCTGCTAGATGAATCAATGTGATGTTGATTTGTCTATCATCAAATTACGAGGGAAACCATCTCCGAAATCTACTAAATAATATTTAGTTTACTTTTCGGATGTTGACAATTAAAAATGTAACTAATATATTAGTACTTTAAGTTATTCAGATTCGATTCGAATAAAATTTAAATTTAATTTGATTATTATCGAATCGAATTTAAGTTTGAGTAATTCTATTCATTAATCGAGTTGAGTTTGAATATTATTATACTTGACTTGAGTAACTCACAAGCTTAATCGAAATTTTATATTTAAATATATTTTTATTATTTTAATTAATAAAATATCTCAAACTCGAATATAAATAATCGAATTTTTATCGAATATAAAAATCAAACTTATTTTTACATGTTAATCGAGCTTAATTAAACGAACTTGAGTAACTCATTTGATTAAGTTTAATTTCTATCTCGAGTCAAGCTCAAACTAAAAAAAAAAAAATCTCAATTGAGTTCAAATTGAGTTTCAAATTTTAAATTTTGAATCGAATTTAAATTCGAATTTGATACTATATCAACTCGAACTCGATCGATTATATTCTTATTGCTAATAACCCTCAATTCTCCCTCTTCCCATTCAGACATTAATCTGAATTAATATTACTAAATGATGCTGCGGTACTTGTCCTAAGTGGACTATATATGAAGATTAAAGTCTATTTGATAAAACACTTGAGATAACATTATTACTATTAATATATAGTATGGAAATAGAAGAGGGGCTCTTGGTATTCCCTTGTGATGTATCTATAATATGTTTCACAATAATTGTGTGATTTCCAGCTCATATTTCTATTTCTTGGTAATTGTTTATCATGCCCTTGGCATGTATAACTTTAATTTTGTTGAAGTATTTTTGGGTTGGTAGGATAATTAAGTCCTAGTTTGGGAGAGATTTGAAAAATTAAGATTAAAAATTAAAAAAAAAACATAAATTTAAATCTAATATGATATGTTAAAACGAATAGCATTTCATGAATAAAGATAAATAAATGATCACATAATTAGGTCAATAATCTTCCTTTTAAGTCAATATTTTTATTCTAATGTTATGTTACAGGTCAATAAAAGGAAACATGTAATTAAGCTACAATATGAACCACAAGTCATAGATTCAGACATCAATGTAAAAGTACACACAAAATGTTTGCAAAATATGGAAGGAAAAATTAGGGTTTCGGAATTCAAACCTGCTACATTGTTGGCAGAAGCGTTGATGGAGTCCAGCGATTCGAACCATAGAAGCCTTGGCATGGAACTCACAGACCTTATGGCGCTTGTGGTACCTCTTGGCATCAGTCATGTCGGCAGTGCAGTTGTCAACCTGACAACCAGGTAGTGTTGACCCTCCACCAGCACTGGATCCTCTCTTGCCTTTCTTCTTCTTCTCAATATCATCTCCAAACCCTATAGCATCAGTACTATCTTCATCCTCCTCCTCCTCTTCATCCTCCGTCATTTCCTTCAGGCTCCTCTTCCCATCTGTTTTGCTTGTTGCCATTTTTGGCTTTGTGAAAAAACAGGAGAAAGTAGTGAAAACAAATAAGGAGATGAATGAGATGAAGAAGTTTCAGAGAACACAGAAGAAAAAGAATAAAAAAGACCTAGATAAGAAGGTGAAAAAAAAAAAAAAGGAGAATCATGTGTGAGACTGAGGACCACAAAGTTCCATTTCTGTCCCCTTCAGCATTAGCTCAACAGTGAAAGGTGAGAAGCTTAAGAATAAATTTAGCTCCCAAGGGCTTAATCATAGCTGTACAGATGAAAAAAATTAATTTACCAAATTCCACTCACAATCAAAGATTATATGGTACTCTCTCTCTCTCCTTTTTCTTGACTTTTAATGCAGACACATACTACTTTGCTAACAGCATATCATGTTAAAATATTTTCACATGAGTGAAAAACATCACCCTCATTGAACCAAGTATATTTATGATGCACCATTCATTTTCTTCACGTTTTCTTTGTACGATGATTGATGACTTGCACCATTCATTATTTTCTAAACCGGCTCCTTTCTGCTCCAATCACAGAGCTAGAAATTCAACTCGCGCGTTTCCAATCAGGGTTCTTGACTTGTTTTCTGTTCCATACCTAAAGTTTTTACAAGGATGCAATTGGAGGTTTCTCTTTATTAAATTTTTGACGGTCTTTTTCCTTGAAAGGGGGACAGTGTCGCTGTCCATACATCTAAAGTTGTATTATTGAAAGGTGAGAAGGTTAAAACGCTGTATGGTCCAATGAGTTAGCTTAGGGGAACCTATGAAGCTTCAACGCGTATTGCACGACCCCCGACCCTCAACTATCATATGTCCTTAGCAATTAACATCCAATATATTCTTCTCCCTTTCTTTTTCCATTATTTTCACATTGCATTTTGGTGTAGCCAACGGGTTTGCAGCTTAGTGGGAACCTAACTAGCCCTAGTGCCACTGTTACTACTTCCATCATAAGAAATAGGACCACATTTCGTACATTGTCATGTATATTGGTCCCCATTGTCCAGTTGTACGAGGTCATGGTCAGCTGCATGCTTCTGCTGGTTCAGCATCAAGTTAAGCCAATTCAATTCGAGAAACCATGCGCAGCTGGTTTCACATGTGTCAGCTTCTGTACTAAAAGGACCCTCAACGCATTCAATGTAGATGTTTGGCTAATAGAAATAGCCTATAGTTTCTAACTATTGAAGTTTTACAATTAATTAATGAACGAAGCAACTCTTCTTTTGATCAGCAGACTCAAGTCTCTGATACTTCTAAGCTGACTTTAAAGGTTAAGTTTAAGCCTGATTATGAGGTATCTTGTTTTGATATTAAATCTCTTATATATGCAGTGGTATCAGAAAGAGACATGTCATATGTATAGAGACCGAAGTAGGTTTTTTCCAGGAAAAGTTTGATGGAAACTTAAAGCCAAGAACTGAAAAAGAAAGAAAGAATACTGAGTAGCCTATCAGGTTGTTTGCTTTTTATCCATTGGAGTTCTCAAACATGGATTACAAGAGGGACTTGTCTGCAGACAAGACAACGTAGATTCATTTCTTATATTCGCAAACTAAATTAAGTATAACTGACCACAACTTTAATAGGTGGAGCAATTTCGATTGTGAACAATATTATTCCATTTACCATATATATTACACAAATGTTTGCTCATTTATGGAGGAAAGTTAATTCAAACGGTAAAAAAAGTTTTTTTTTTCCTTGATTGTCTAAACTAGAATAAAGATTGTAAAATGATAATTTGTTCAGAATTCGTATATTTATATAAATAAATTGGCTTGAATCAGATTTAAAACATATGAATGTTAGGTTTTGGGTGAATATATCAAATCTATTTGCAAACTTGGAGGCTTGAATAAAAGAAAATATGAATTAAGGTTTTGAATTTTCATAACTTTGAAGGTGTCACAACCCATATTCTTGGTACTATAATTTATAATTTTTCATATCTTCATCTTTTGCTTTTTTCATGTTTAACTTAATGGATATGGAAGCATTTCACTCTCAGCCTTTTTGGCTAAGAATAAAAAAATTTATAATTGATATAATATTAACTTATAAATAGCAAAATTTAAAGACTAATTAATGGTAAACCAGATTTAAACCTGTAATAAACTGTAGGAAAAATTAATTCAGACAAGTCCTTTGAATGCTTTAGGGGACCATGGTTCCACTAGCCAAGGTTCCTTATCTGCTCATCTTGATTCTCATTATCTGAATGAAAAAAAAAAAATGAACTTGAAATATTTGCTTGAAAAAGAGATGTGCCTAACTGTGAGTTACACATAGCAATCATTTTTTTAAGATGCTACTCCTCATGAAGACCAAGAAAGTATTGGGCTGGCTTTCATTTTCGGTGTCATACAATGTAACTTCGGCCGATGCATGCCATTGTTCAAGCCTGTTAATGCCTACTAATGCTGTCCTGTCAACATCTAAGGTGGCCCATGGTAACAACAAAAATCAAAGGTTGTTTGGGCTGTGTCCAAATTTAATCATAGCCATGGCCCACGAAATAGGAATCGAAGTAGTGTTCCCAGTCCCTGGTGACCTAATTTTAAGCGTTTTGAACAGTCATCACCATCCACAAGATAACATTACAATTTTGCAAATGTAAGTACAGAAGGGTACATGATCCATTTGCAAAAGCTCATTTGGGCAACCCAAGAGTTTTATAACCCTAGCTCCTGGTCATCTGAAAGGTCAACTTTACCCTTGTTTAATGGAATAATTGATGTCTAGAGGGCAAATGGGTACTTTTCTTCATCATTGAACTCAAAGTTATCTGTGTGCCCAAGTAAGTAAATAATGTTATATATAAATAAACTAAAAGAGAGAGTGAGATCTTTGTCTGCAAATTGCTTGGGGTGGATTATGGTCAGCCTTTGATGGTCATAGTTGGCTTGGACTTAATGCTTTGGTCCCCCAAACACCCTCTCCCCCGTCTCTTTGCTCTCACTCAATGCTCAAATACAGACTTCCCCTTAACGTGCACGCTGGGTTTCTTTCATGTTTGCCAATTCGAAATCTCATGTCCAGATGTGGGTGGCTAATGGGACCCAATTGCCCCAATTCCTTTATTTTCATGAAATCCTGTGCGAAATAAATAACAAAGGTCAGAGACATTATTGGTGCGGTGTTATGGATAACCAGTGGGTGGATTGAACTGAGGATGTGTCACATCTTGGCCGCCACCCATGGTTTCTTAAGTTGATAAATCATTGATTTTTCAACATATATGAAAAGAGTTCCATTAACTTGCTAGATAATCAGCCTTTTCAGTATCCCCTCTAAATATCTTATCCATGCTAAACTCCCTTACTGCATTACAGAGGTCATCAATCTCTGCAAATACAGGCCGAAGTCTCCAAGGCCAACTGTCCATTTTATTACACCAATTTAGTGCCACCTTTGAATCAGATTCGATTATCAGCCATGCACCATCAAACTTCCCTGCTTTGATAAAGATATCTAATGCATGTTTAATAGTATATAATTCAGCCACATTAGAGTCTGGCAACCCTAAAGGGCAAGAGAATAAAGCAACGATCACTCCATTTAAGTCCCTTAATTCACCAGCACGGCCTGTATCTTAGAACTATCAACATTAAGCTTAAAAAAACCAAATTAATTAACTAGTTTTAAAATAAGAAAATATATATATGAAAGGATGAAAATCATTCATACCAATAAATTTTGTATTTACTTGGTAATATTATGTTTATCTTATTCTTGTCTTCGAATGGTTAATGAATAATTAAGTTTGAATTAATGTAATATTTTAATAACTAGAGAATCATTCTTCTAATCTTTTCAATGATTCTTAATTAGGTTTAATTTAATCCTTGGTGTTATCCTATAAGCAACTTGGTACTAGAGAGAGAATAATAATAGATGAGTTAAACTATATAAAATTAAACAGTAATCAAAATTTAGATAGGTTATTTTCGTACAGTAACATGGCTAAGCCAGATTAACATTAAAGATCATCTACAATAACAGACAATTTTGCTCACGATTGCTTGAACTGTTAATAAAATATTAAAAATTTAATATTATAAATGAAAAATAATTAACTTGTGAATAGCAAAAGGACAGCAATATGTAGTATTTTTTACCAGATCATTTTTTTTTTTTTAAGAAAAAGAGAGACTGAGAAAGAATAATGATGGGGTGTTAGGGACAGGAGAAATCCCTTGAAAGACTACAAAATCCAATTGTTCCCTAAGCTTATACTTTGCCTTTATATATATTTTTTCTTTAAACTTATAGTTAAGCTGAGCTGCCCATCACATGCAAGTCTTGTTTACTCTGACACCATTAACGGTTTCTTTCTTTCTTTTTTCCTTTTTTTTTCCTCTTAAAAAACCAAAGAAAGAAGAGTGGAAGTCATGGAACACGCAGCAAAGACAGAGGTGCCCTCGAGAATAAAGCCCAGTCTGGTCTTTCTCTCTGTGTTTTTGAGTCTGAGATGGATGTAACTTAGCATGAGACTTCCTTCCACATGGTCTCCTCTTGTCGCTTTCTCTTGGAATTTTCAAGTTCTCTAACAATTTGCTTTTATCAATTGATCATATATCAATTAAGGTGTAATGATAGCAAAAATTGTGTTTTATTTATTTGTCATATGCTGTTGAAACGCTGATTTCAACCTTCAAATATGACCTGAAATGATGATGTCCACTATCAGAGAGCAAAGACTGCATTGATTTGCGCCATTGGATCAGGATACAGATTTCCTGTTGATCAAAGGCCAACGTACAAACATATTTGTAATTAATTTTCTCTTTCCTATATGTTTTCAAAGTCTACTTTTTTCTTGTGTAGGTGCATGAAATTTTTACTTTATACTATACAAAATATGACAAATATGAAAATATATAAAATAATAGTATAATAATGATGAAATAAAGTAAAAGAAGTGGGATTTGGTACTGCATTGGCGAACGGGGCACTAGGGATTCCCTCTTTCTATATGCAAAGGAATGTTAAGTACAGTGTTCAGTGGAATAGTCTCACGTTATGTTCTTTCTTTTCTTGAACCTCTCAACATTCATATCTTCTGCTGCTTTTACCTCACTGTCTTCTTGGATTTTGAATATTTTGTCCTATAGCTCCATACATCCATTCCTTTTTTATTTTTAAAATTTTATTTTAAAATTTATTCAATTAGCTACTACTCAATTTCAATTATAGACTAGAACCATCTCGTGAAAATTTGATTAACAAATCAAAGATAATATTTTTTCTTGTAATGCTAATCACATATACTCTGTCAGTCATATATAGTAATATTTCAAACCCATCAACAAAGACGGTTCCACCTGCTCGTCGTCTCTTCACTGTTTGTTTCAACTATTCCTTGGAGACAAGAAATGTTGAGTAACTGTGGGAAGATGGTTGGCGTCTCTTCAACTACTAACGGATGGCCACAGGTTTTTCTCTCACTCATTCCCTCTTTCTCAATCAATTATTAGACAAAACATGACTCATTTTTGTTGCTTTGCTTTTGGAAGAGAATATCTACGTTGTGTTGTTGTTTTACCCAAAGAACGCTCATTCAACTCTTTCTTTTTCTCCTTTCTTTTCGTTTCTTCCATTTTTTTTTTGCCCTCTTTGGTTGCAGAATCATATAGATGAGAAAGACTTGATGGCGTCAACAGGTAGGATTATGGAGAAACCAAGCCAAGAACAACAACCACAACAACTGCAGCAGCAGCAGCAGCAGCAGCAGCAGCAGCAGCAACAAGCCCTAAAGTGTCCTCGCTGTGATTCATCAAACACTAAGTTCTGCTACTACAACAACTACAGTTTATCACAGCCAAGACACTTTTGCAAGGCTTGTAAGCGCTATTGGACTAGAGGTGGCACTTTAAGGAATGTTCCTGTGGGTGGTGGATGCAGGAAGAACAAGCGTGTGAAGAGGCCTGCTTCAGCTATTGATGGAGCTTCTCCAACTTCTGGTGCAATTCCTACTCCTCCATCTCAACCCCAACTCGAGGTCTCTTCAACCTCTAGCCACCATATCAACCCTTTGTTTTATGGGTTAGCCAGTAATCCTTCTGATATAAATCTTCCATTTCCTCGTTTTAATTCAAAAGTTTTAGGTGTCCAAACTATCACAGGCTACGATCTCCAGCCTCAATTTAATGCTTTTGGATTAGGGTTTTCTTCTGGGTCTGGGGATACTGGGTCGGGGGATACTGACAATCGAAATGGTTTTAACGCTAACCCGACGAAACAACTCCAGGATGTGGTCACTACAAATCCACTCCTTTCAAGCTATTCTAATATCTTTGGATCCTCATCTTCTAGCACCACCACTACACCAACCATTGCTTCTTTGTTAGCTTCTACTCTTCACCAACACAGATTCATGAATGGTGGTTTTAAAAATACTCAAGCGCCTAACCATTTCCAAGCCTTAGCACCTTTTCAAGATCTTCGAATCACAGGTAATATGGAAAATGGGCTAACGATGAAAGAAGTCAAAGTTGAAGAACCGCAAAGCAGAATGGAATTGGATCTGCCATGCCAGAATCAGCTCGAGCAAATCGGTTTATCTGATCCTGCGGTTTATTGGAATGCAACAAGTGTCGGTGCCTGGCATGATCCAGCAAACATTGGGTCCTCAGTCACTTCTCTGATCTAGCAAAACTAGACTTCTTATTCTTCCAACTGTCTCCCTCTATCTTGGGTCTTTTTTTGTTCTAGCTACTTACTTTCGTTTGATTACCACTGTCATTAGTGGATTCTATAGTCATAGTGGGGGTGGGAAAAGATCTCTAATAAATGAAAGTTGAGTATTGAAGCATGCATGGGAGAAGATTGGATCGGAGCGATCATGTCAGCTGCAAGAATTCAGCCTATAGTTTTATTATCAAAGGTTGGGAATCCCTATTTGCGCTGAGAGGAACCTCGGATCCTCTTCATCTCATCACTGAAGGTATCATCTTCTTCATCAGTCATCAGTCATCAGTCATCACTATCTGCGCTGTGTTGAAGATAGAGGCTTAGCTCCTTTTGCTGCAACTTTTTAGTCCAGTAAGTTTGGCTTCTATTTTGTATGTATATATTGCTTGACATGTTCTTTTTTTTTTCCTAATGTATTGCTATTATTAGGTTGGGATTTTGGGTTATATGTTGCAATCCACAGTAAAAAATCAGATAAGGAACTATTTTTTTTTCAATTTTTTAGCTTTTCATTTTGTGGTTTTGAGGGGTTGGGGATAATTAATGGTATAGAAGAGAGGGAGATTTGTACCTGCAAACTGCAATGTGAGCACTTATTTGCTATGATTGGTCTGCTTTTGAATTTCTTGTTCTGGGTGCCACTGCTATGAACTTTGGCTGCCTTTTGAAATCAAGAAAAATTTCATGACATCTTTAAACCTCAAAGCTGCAGAGCCAATACTGATAACCACAATATTCAGAATAGGATACATATATATATGTATAATACAATATATACAGGAACTCAGGAAGTATTTATTAAGTTGTATAAGTAATGTATGTATATATATGTATCATGTATGTATAAATATCAGTCTTTGGGACAATTAAATGTAAGACCAGATCGATTCGTCAAGCGAAACTAGGAATAGATTGGCTACTTCTAGTTTAAGAAATAGGATTTTAGTACGCTGGCCTGAGTGCATGCGCTGTTCATTCCCTGCTGGTTTAGGAGTACATTCGAGAGAATAAAGACTGAAAGAGAGAGCTACAGACATTGAGAAACAGTTGAGTTATGCCAGGGATTTTTAGTTGATAGAGCAAAGGGAGATTTAGGTCCACTTGGATTTTAGCAGCTTGGCTGCTTCCAACGAAAACACCAATTCCCTTGCCACTTTCTCTCTTTGTGTTTCTGTGTTGTTTGGACTGGATGTGTTTTGTGTCTGTGAATTTGTGTTTAGAAGAGAAAGGGAAAGATCAGAGGATATGGGACCTATATATTTGTCTTGGGAATTAAGTAATACTCCTAATAATAATAATAATAATAATAATTTAATTGTTAGATTTGCTCTTAACTACCTTACACTAGCCACTTCATTGCATTTCCTATAAACTATTTTAGGTGAGTCTTTTTAGCGGTTCATGCAGCTAAAGTGATATTCAATAAATTTAAAATTTAAATCTTAATATCCATAATTTTTTATATCTGACAACTGCTTTTTTTTTTTGTAAAAAAATATATATATATATATCCAATATATTAATTATATCAACTTATTCATAATTTTAATGCATTTAATGTCAAAATATTTCTTGAAATAGCACCTAACAAATGCCTTGCTCAATTAATAAAAAAATCCAAGAAATATTCTTAATTAAAAAAAAATTCCAAGGAATAAAATTTGAGAGTAAACATAGTAGAAGTACATAAATAAAACTTGAAATATTATGTAGAGAACACTTCTTGCATATTTATTTTAGATTTTATGTCTTGGACTCCAAACCCTACTTTGGTGGTGATGTACACTATAAAAGCTGCTATAATCAAATATATGTAGAGAACAGTGCTTGGATATTTTAGATTTTATGTCTTGGACTCCAAACCCTACTTTGGTGGTGATGTGTGCACTTTGAAAGCTGCTAAAATCAAATATTATAAGATTCTCAATACCTTTTCATAGGAGTACTGCTAGAATCCTCATTAACTAGCATGCCAAGGAAAGTAATGAAATTGATCATAGTTGACTTAATCAATTCATTATTAGTATAATTTTAAAATTTTAAAGGTTGTAATGAAATTACAAAAGCATAATTGCATCTGTAAATCAGTGTATTAGAAGTCCATTATTTTGAATTATATTTTTATAAAAGAAGTCGTAGCCTATAAATAAAAATAAAGATTACAGATGTTGAAACTTAAATTTTAAAGATGACTCATAAATTAATTAGGTTAATCTTCAAATTCATATTTACTTTAAAGAATCATTAGGGTTTTTCTGGTTGCAAAGCATTGCCTTTTGTATCTAACTAATAAGACTAGCTATGGCTAAATCCTCAAAGAAAAATGTCAATCACTCGCAAGAGATACAGATAAGAATCCTCTTGCAGCTTAGAAGTAAATTTAAACGTGGTAGATGCCTAGAACTACCCAAAAAACTAAGTTTATTTGAATGTTGTGTAGGTGACAAACACTTGATATATGCATATCTGTCTTAAAGCAATTTCAACTAATAACTATAGCTACATTCCCAATATCCTGGCCAATTCCCATCTTTAATTATGTATTTATATTGAAAAATAAATAAATTGAAAAAAATACATTAATAACGTCTGGGAAATTAACTCAAAGTTCTTAACTTGCTTTGAAGTGTGTAGAATTAGATACAGGTTGTGAAAGGATATGTATATGTGTATATATATATATATATATATATATATATATTCTATATGGAGTAATTAGAGTACCAACTTTGGCTAATTGCTCAACAGCCCATGTTGTGACTTGCTTGATTCCATCAAATTAAATTATCCTTATTTGTTAGAATTCGAAAACATTTTATCACTTTCTCGATGTGGGCTAATTTAGCTTCTAAATGCTTTTTTTTTAAAAAAAAAAAAGGTTTCTAATTGCTCTGAGTTATTAGTTTATATTATGTTTTAATAAAAGGGAGTCAAAATTTGATTGTTTTTAGTCTATATCTTTAATCTGTTGTTTGTTGATATAGTTTACTCCTTCAATATGATATATGAACTTTAGGTAGTTTTTGCTAAAACTAATTAAACTATTTTGATATTTTTCTGTGCAACACAACCGGAGAATGTTTTCTCCCCTCCCATCTAACCAATGTAGGAATCTCAAGTGGTAATCATTGGATTTTCTGGTGAAGGAAGAGACTTGGGTACAAGCTCAAGTACTTGTTTAAGCTTTAATTCTCTATTATTCTTGTATATTAAGAATGGAAAAAAAAAATGAATGCATTTACACTGTTAAACCATTGAAAAGGGGGATCTTATAGATGCATACTGTGTGGCAGTGGTGGAGGTGATGAGGAAACCATATATATGCAAATTAAACGATGGCAAATGGGACAAGTACCTAATGAATGCATGGTGAAATGATGGCCTGTCAAATAAGGAAAAGGAGAAACTACCAATATGGGCTTCTATTTTTCAGAATCAATTTTATCTACTACTATATATATATATACTAGTTGGTTGGGTTTAGCCATGGTCCTTCGTAATAGACAACGTAGTCTCTAGGAAAGGAGGCAGTGGAGTGCAGAGTACTGCTGCCAATGCTGGCGGGCCGGGAGTTCCACTTGTCCCATTGCTTTCATTGGTAACTTGTAGCATACGTCTGAATGTCTGGGGGGACCAACTTCATCTTTTACTACTCTTATCAGCTTAAATTTATTTCAGTTTTAGATTTACTTGCATGTTTCAGAATCCTCAGACTGACAAAACCCTGATCCATCATCCATGGAAAAAAAGCGGCTGACTGTCTATGGTTGAGCTCATCTCTACATTAATTTCATGTTACCCAGGCTCTTGAGTTGTAAAAAATTATTTAATGCATATCATATGCGGGCTTGGTACTGGGTCCAATCGTGAATCAACCATAACCACCCTGATCTCAATTGGGTATTCTAAGTTGAAAACGTTTTGTGAAAAGAAAAAAAGTTCAAGTCCATAAATCAGCAGTCCTTTTTGTTGAAATTTACAGCCAGCCATATCCCGAAAACTTAGAACAACAAGATTTTCATCTTTTTGACCATGGCTCAATAGTTTGCAACAAATTTCCTTTGTGTTGCTATCACATACACTTCACCATATGTCCATATCTGACATAATCAGTACATGACTATTAGACAGAGGATCTCACTCAGTTTCACTAATTTTGGTGTTGACAATGAGAGTTCACAAATTTTATTATTAATTATAAAGAATAAAGAATCAATATTAAAAAAAAAAAACCAAATCAGTCTCAATCGAAAGGTTCTAAAATCCACCAACTACATTACCACATAGTAATAATTTAATTTAATTTAACTTATCAAATATTGTATTGCAAGCATGACCAAATTATTATTTTGGAAACCATAGGGAAGAGGACAAGTAGCCCAATACAAGTAAAATATGGGCAGGACATGAACAGTTGAAGAATGAATTTAATTATGACGGAAACTGTGATCTCATACTCGACTTCACACACCACTTTGAGAGAATATATAACGACTAAGGCAAGAATGCTTGTGGGGAAAGTCGCATTTTTGGGCGTGTGACATTGGCCTATCTTCTTTTCTTTTATCAGGAATAAAGCTAGCCAAAGACTATGACATAGCAAGCTGTTTTGCTGACCAGAATGATCATAATTCACAGCGAAAGGCATGGCCAGTCCACAAAGACCATTTGTCCTGGAAGTTGAAAAACAAAACCCCCTGACTAAATGATGGGGGAATGTCACCTTTGAGTCCCATACCGATGTGATGTTTGATATGAAGTGGAGAAACCCACTAATGCATCCTAATAATTTATAGTTTTGTCAAAAAGAGGTGAAAAAAATTAGTTGGGGCCAGAAGTACTCAAGTCTCAACATTATGGAAATGTAGATGTGGTGTTCAATCTAAACACTGGGTTGTTTCTCAATGCATTTGTCACCAAAAAACCCTTTAAAAGGGATTTTTGGCAAAACAACAAAGAAAGAAAGCTAAGTGCAAAAAGATGATCCACTTCTTTCTGCCCACATGCCATGAGATACTTTTGTCATCGAATGAAAGCAAAGTTAGCAGCCCAATGGCCACTATGGAAAGTTTCTTAGAAACCTCCTATGACCTCGACGTGAAATGTCTACTAGCAGGAAAACAGGACCACCCTTATTATTAATTCCTTAGCCCAGAAACTAACTTTGATAGGTAGGAATGTTAATCTTACGATAAAAAATTTGATTTTTTATTTAAATAAGATGAAAATGAATATTATATTATGAATATGGAAACGTAAAATGAGAATAAATATGATTTTAAAATTTTATTGAATATGAAGATAAAGATGAGTAAATAACATTATTTCATATTTATACCTTATATATATTTTATATATTTAGTAAATATATTTTTATTAAATGATATAAATTATTATTTTAGATTAATTTAAATTAATTTATTTTTTAATGAAAAAATATATTAATATATATTTATAAAAAATTATCTAAATATACAAAATAAAAATAAAATAAATTTTTATTTTTATTTTTTAAAAAACTATGAAGATAAAAATTATTCATACTTATTAAATATCCAATGGAATGAGGATGAGAATAAGAATAAATTTAAAATATTTGTTGGGTATGAATATTAAATTAAATAAATTATATAAATCCAAAAATAAAAATGAAGAATGCTTTACTTATTCCATATCATATCCATTAACATTTTTACAATACGTGTACAATTTTTCAATATGAAATCGAGTTTATAGTCTCATCATTTTTTTCTAACGAAAATTTGATAAGATGTACAATATATACGGATAATTTGGTAAAAAAAAATAGATGTTGTCTAGGATCTATATGTTGTAATTGTACTTTATACCTAAATTCTTTGTAAAAGGGCCTTGGAATTTTTAGTTTCACTTGATTATTAATATAACATATATATTCTAAATATATTTTTAATATATCACGGTCCAAAACAATAAAAGGGTAGGCTGGTGAAGAATTTAATATCATGGATTAGTAATAATGGGGTGAGTTGATTTGCCTCTCATGGTGAATGGTGATGCAATCTCTTTCTAATACTATAAATATTTTTTAATGCTGGTGTGGTATCCCGGAGAGGTCCTCACTGTTTATATTCTCTGGACAGAGATCTCACCATGGCAGACCACAGATTTGCTTTACTTGGAAACCACAATACCCACCTCCACGTCTCCTACCAATGTATTCGTTGATCATCATTTTCGATCTTAATTCCATCTTCTAGATTGAATAAATCAAACACACATTCTTTTTTAAAGCTACTTATAGTTTAGTATTATACCTTTCCTTTCGGGAAGGTCAAATAACCTACTTCAACTTTATGTAGGTTTGAATTTCACTATATTTTAAATACAGTATAATTGAATTTAACATATCATTATTTAAATTTAAATATTTATTTTAATAAAATTTATTTAATATAAATTTTTTAATATTAAAAAAAATATTATTATTATTTTTAATATTATCAAAATCAATCTCAACCCTTATCGTAAGATATCTAGTCACTCCAAATATTATACGTCCCCCACCAAATCCAATATGACTGATGATGAGATCAAATTGACAATTTCTAGGCCCAAATACGTATATTTTGCAGATGATGAAACAAACTCATGCACACGCGTGTCACGGGCTTGGAACTTAAATCTACTTGATTTGGCCATCTGATGCCTGAGTCTTAGTCTTAGTCTTTGTGGTGCGCGCAGGGACGTAACACGTGCATAATAATAAGACTGATTTATCCACAACAATGAGCATTTCAAGTTTAACTTAAACTTCTTTCTATGATTCTATCAGTTTAATTATTATTATGTGGAAACAGTTATAGAAAAAGAATCCAAGTCATATTTGTTGTCTTTGGGTGATTGGGTTTGTCTAACAACTTTGACAAAGACATCAGCTTTACTATCCATGCACGCTTTGCCCATTCTTGCTTCTCTCTCTGATCTTTTATGACTTTGTTCTTTTGCAAACCCTACTTAGCTACAAAGTAAAGTCACTTGCTTTTTCTGAACGGAAACTAATAAGATGTTTTCACGCAAAAAAGCAGAAGTAAAAACAATCACAATAGCTCAAACATGAAATTTATACTCGCCTTATAACATCAAAAACTTCAAAAACATCCAAACCCAACCCGGAATATAACATAAAAACAAATGGCTATTAATTTTTCCGCTATTCTTTCATTTACAGGAAGGAACACAAACATTTCTAAATGCTCTCTAAATTCATTTCCTCAAGTTGAACTAGATTATAATTAACCAACCCAACAACAGCAGCTAAACGGACAATCAATGATGCAATATTAGATATGCGAGGTTCAATGGCTTTTTGCATACACAAGGCAAAATGTTGTCCTTCCAAATTATTAAATTGTCCACCTTTAGGCGCTTCTTTTGGAGGGAGTACAGCAGTGGCTGAAGAAAAAACACTATGGTGCACCATAACCTGGACGATCAGGCCATTGATTTGGATTCAAAGAAGAAGAACCAGTGGTGTTGCTGGTGTTAGTGTTGCCAGCGGTGCTTGTGCTGCTGTTATTGTTGATACTCCACAAAGTCGCTTCAGAGACTGTAGGATTACTATTGTTGATGAAACTTTGATGCCAGCTCTGCTGAGAAGAATTACCTGCAGCAGACCTGCTAGACTGAATTAAGCCCTCTTGAGTAGATGGGTACATATTTACAGTCTTTTCTCGATTAAACATTTGAAAGAAATGAGTTTGCTGAATTGGCTGATGCTGTTGTGACCCAAAAGAAGGGACAACATATCCCTGCAAAAGACCCAAATTTGAAGAACCACCCAAGTCACCACCACCAATACTTAGAGCTTGATTGAGAGGCTGATTAAAAGGTTGCGGTTGGTTCATTGACTGAATTGCAGCCAAAGATGACAAGAACCCACCACCAGGATAATACGATCCCACTGAAGAAATAGCAGATGATGAAGCCAAGCTATCAGATTCTTTAGTTCTCAAAGCAGAACTTGCGCTAATGATCATTGGATTAGAAGAGATCATACTTTGTGGTGATGTCAAGTTTTGTTGCTGAGCTTGCTGCTGAGGTATCTGTGGCTGAAAGCTTGAATTTTCACCAGAAGAAGAAGCCTTTGTGCGCTTTCCTTTCCTGCAACCACCTCCCACAGGCACGTTCCTTAGGGTTCCACCTTGAGTCCAGTATCTTCTACAAGTCTTGCAGAAATAACGAGGCTGCGATAGACTGTAATTGTTGTAGTAACAAAACTTTGTATTAAGAGACTCACAACGAGGACACTTTTGAGTTGGGTGCGGTTGTTGCTGCTGCAGCGGCGGCGGCGGCTGTTGATTCTCGCCCGTCAAAGGCTTCATTAATCTCCGATCTTGCTGTTGATGCTGCTTCATGTCTTGATCACTCCCTCCCCCTCCTCTATCTTGCTGCATCACTACAGCTATATAGTCTTCTTTCTGATTGTGGTGCTGTTGCTAATTTTTAAAATTCTTTTTTTGTTAATCTGATATGGAATGAAGATTTTGGGCTTGCTTTGGTTTGGTGTTGGGTTTGGTGCATGAAGTTTTTGGGATGAGGCCTGAGATATAGAGGAGAGGCGTTTCAGATATAGAGCTGTATGATAACTCTACGTGTCTACCTCTGGTTCTTGAGAATCTCCACTGTACAAACAAAACCACGGCCATCGTTACCTTGTTACCCTGTCTTCATGCCTGTTTTCTGTTCCTTTTGTCCCTCTTATACCAAGCCACCTCAACAAAACCATGGCTCTTACCAAGTCTCAAATATTTAACTTTTTTTTTCAGCAAAAAACCAAATCGTAATCAACAACCTAAATTATGAAAATATTCCCTTAAAACCCAACAAAATCTCTCCAGATTGCCATCTCCACAAAGAGGAGGGAGATCACATTCTAATTATGTACATGTAAATTTTTATATATATCTAGCTACTTAATTAGATACGCAGAATTGATGTGAATATGTAGAAAGCGAGGGAGTGACTGACTGACCTGCTTTTATGAGACGTAAAAGAAGAGAAGATGTACGAGTGTCGGGCGTGGACAAAGTCCACTAAGGAAAGGTCTCAATGTGGAGTGAAAAGAGATAGAAACAGAGAAAGATTTTAACAGATAAAAAGAAAAAGGACAACTGGGAGGTTTGCTGGTTCAGTGAAACTACAGTTGATTATAGAGAAATGGGTGTGTTTACATCTCAAACACACAAATCCAGGAAGAAATATCTAATAAAGAAAGGACCAAGAGAAAACCCGAGTTGCTTCACCTGATTCATCATCATCAGCAGCCAATACACAACAGATTAAATGGCAAAAAAAACAACAAAAGATTGTGTTTTTTGTGACAGCCAAAGAGGTTCTGGTGGCCTAATAAGAAATGCAAAATACAGAGAGGGACAAGGAATTTAAGTGAGAGATGTGTAGCTAGCTACATAGGAGAGACAATATAATAGGGAATGGACCAAAAAGCAGTATCAGATAGGCGGCGCTGCCATAGAAAGGGTAGCGTGGCGGTCGGCAATGGGGTGGTGGGCTGTGTCAGACCTCAGCTAACACTGGTTTCTTTTGTTTTCTTCCGTTTTCCTTTCCCTAACCTGTCTTTCTCTGTCATTCCACTTTCATATTTCGGTTTCTGAACAATATCTCTCCTCTCTAACAGTATTGTTTTAATAATATTTATTAATTTCCACTATTATTATTATATTTTTTATTTCGGTGTGCATGCCATTGGAGGATTACGTTGACAACCTTGACACCGTTTTGCCGAAAGACTATTATGTCCTCGTTAGCTGTTTGATTTGCTTTGACCGGCAACCTTGTTCTTCTTCTAATTTAAAGTAAAATTCATTTAATTTTAATAATAAAAATTCAAATTCGGATAATATCAAGTGCTAAAAAAATTAAAATCATTATTTCATTAATGTGCTCGTTCAATGGTCGAATTATCTGATTAAATTCAAAAATTCGATCAAAAAAATTTAAACAAAAAATAAAAATTCATTAAACGTATTTGAATATAATTTTTAAATTCATTTAAATTTTAAATTAAATATTAAATAAAAAATTTAAAATTTGATTCCATCCACATCCACATATATATTAAAATTTATATATATATGTATGAATTATATATAAATTCATTTATATAATATAAATAAAATATATAAAATATATATAATTTTAATTTTAATTTATACATATGAATTAAATATAATTTTATCAAATATAATTTAATTATTTTTTATTTTTATTATATAAATTAAATTTACTAAATTGATTTAAAATTTAATTTTTAAAAATTTTGAGATTCAAAATTTTAAACTGTTCGAATAAATATAGAATTGTTAATATTAAATATAAATTCCATCCGAATTGAAGCCGGGGTCATGTACACCTCTATTCATAAGCTATTAATTAGCTAAATCGCCGTTGTCATTGGGGGTTACAACTGCTCCCCTAGGCCTCCACTTTGACTCCTGGACGACAAAACACTAGCGTATCTATTGTTTCACTTCCGTTCCATTTGGGATTTGGTCTTGGTCAAGGGAAAAAACACACGACCTTTCTGTGGAGCCCCCTTCCCACGCGGTCCCCTAGGTGGCTAGGTTGTTAATTATCTTGCCTCGTTGATGTTTGCTATTCATGATTTGTATGACCCCATCTTCACCTTACTTGAAAAATGGGATTGTACTTTATGGGCTTATGTCTTTCTTTGGGCTGTTGTCTTACCACTATTTCAAAAGCCGGGCCTGTTTTGGTCACTTTATTTTGGTCATATTGACCAAAGCAATTTAAGCTTCGGGGTTGTTACTGCCACTTATAAACCAAGAATCTGATGTTTAAACAAGTGCAAAGCTCGAAAGTTGAAAGCAGGGAAAAGAGAAAAACAAAGTAGAAGCCTAAACCACCTCCAAACCCATATATTTTGAAAGGATTTTGTGTTCAATTATCACATGCACTCTTCACCTGGCTGGCTTCAAATATTCAAGCAAGCAGCTGTACTCTAGCCTTTCTGAACTAAAATCGAAGCAATGAAATAAAACCCGACTTTTCTTATTATAACTGCACTGGTCTTTTTAAATATGAATGATAGTAAAACTTTTGCAGATTAATGTTGAGAAAAATATTAACTTCCCATGCTTACATAAACACTGTGATAACCATTAGGCCACTGCCACTGACTTATTTGCATTGTAAAATAGAACCATAACATCAAAGAAAGAAAACCCATCAAACTCCTTTTCAATATTTCCTCTCATCCTCTGCTCTTCGGGCACGCCTCCTCAATTTCACAGCATCGTCGTCCATCCTCTGCTCCCTGAACCGTCTGCTTTGCCTTTTCTCCTATAGTTTGCACCGTCTCTGAGGCCTTACTGGCCACAGAACCCGCTATCTCCTCAGTCTTCTCCTTCACATCGTGTGCTTTTTCTTTAGTTTTCTCCGTCAGTTCATATGCAGTTTGTGAAGATTTCTCTGTACCTTCTTTGGCCTTCTCCTTCGTCTCCTGTGTATATTCTTTGGCCTTCTCTTTTGGGCTTTGGGCAGTCTGGGATGCTTTCGTGTTCCCTCTTGCGCCATTTCCTTGGTCTCCTGCGCATACTCTTTTCCTTTCTGTTTCGCTTTCTCTTTGGCGTTTTGGGCAGTCTCGGCCGCTGTGTTTGTTACTTCTTTTGCCTTCTCAGCGGCCGATTCAGCGGTTTCTTTTGTTTTCTCCTTGGTTTTGTGTGCGTATTCTATGGCTTTCTCCTTTGCTTCATGTGCTTGTTCTTTTGCTCTTTCTATGGCTTATTCAGAGTCATCTTCCACTACATAGGTCATTTCAGCTTCTTCATCGGATGAGGAATCCTTGTCCCTGTAGGCCATGTCAGCTTTAGAGTCTTTTTCTTCATATGCATTAATTCTGCCCCTGAAATTTCACAAAAAAAAAAAAAAACTCCACGATATTAATCAGAATTCAGAACAAACGGCTTCTACAACAAACCAAAAAGTGTTAAGCCATCAAATAATCACTTGAAATTCCATAAAAGACATTCAAAGTGAAGAACAAAGCAAAGACTCGGCTAGGTTAGTGGTTTTACCTTAGGGTGTTTGGAAGCAGCGGTAGTGAAGCAGACTCGTGAGACTTTGCGGGAGGATCTAAGAAAAAGAGTTTGAGGGAACGCTTTCGAAACCCTGAACATCGCGATCTTGGCTATGAACGTGGTTGCCATTATTGAGGATCTTTACTTTCTCCTTGCGAACGGTCTCTTCTTGAGCATAGTTTCTTAGTTCTCCCTTCCCCTTTTCTTGGCCATGCAGACTATATGGAAGCGGAAAACGAGAAGGTGGCAGCCCAACTGACTGACAGGTTTTAGCACTAATGCCACGAGTTGGACATGTGTAATTTTTAGGGTCTTGGTGGCTTCAACAAGTAATCACATGTTTCTTTCCTTTTTCCACATACATTTTATGGTTACAAAATTTAGAAAAAAAAGAAAAGAAAAGAAAACCATCCAGGCCCTGGGGTCCAGGTTTTTCTGGCGAAATCAACCATGAAAATTTTTAAGTAAATTAATGACATTTTTATTAAAAATTATCCAATAACAACTAAAATGACCAAATTTATAAATTAAAATATATTATTTCATAAATTAAGTATATAAATTTTAAAAAATATATTTTAAACAAATATTTTTATTAAAATTTTGAAAAATTATATTTAAATAAATACTGATAAAATTTTAATTATAAAAGATATTTTTACATTGTCCGATGGACTCAAGCCTGAAAAGTTGGGTCTAGGTTGATATATATTGGGCCAAATGATGCAGCTGTGTGTTAGGTCCATGACCATCCAATCTCTGTCAGTATAAACAACCGATTAGGCCATTACATTTCTGTAGCCGTGTTGGTGTCCGCTACCATGGGCCAAGGGAGATTCATTTTTGTGACTGGACAATGATACTGAGCCTCAGTTTGAACTCAGAACTTCATTCGAGTGGAGACCAAAGCTTGAACTGACCTACTTTGAACAATTGTAACGGTTCAATGGTATTCAGCACAAGACAGCAAAAAGACGAGTGCTTTGCTGATATAGGGAGTTCAGTTTTTGCTGAAAAAATTGGTGTGAGACTGTAAACCATGGCTAAGGTCCGCAACTGTTGGTCTCGAATTGAAGAATCACATGACACATGTTATAAATCAGCATAGGTGATACTTTAACACTGTGATAGATGTAAGTCTGCTTTGTTCCAAAGATAGCAAAACATCTTATGTTAGGACAGTTATGACAGCTTCAACGTGAAAACATTACTAGGATGTTTGCCTTCATGGAATTCAGATTTATTGTAACTATAGTTAAGAAGGGAGCATCTTGGCATGTGTTTGGCAGCCTCTTATTGTAGTTTAGATCACACTATAGTTTCTTGGTTTTACAATTTGCAGGACTCTGCCTGTTAAGGTGTTGCTTTGCAGGTTTCAGATTGGTTTAACCAACAATAAATTACAACTTGTTCTAATACCTTCATGTTGAATGGCTTTCTTGATCCTGAAATTTTTATACTTGGAATATGGCGCTGCCATGATTCCCCATCGCTAAGTTTTCCAACTCCCTCAACTTTCCAACTTCAACGGCATATGATTTCTGATTTGTGTTTTACACAATTTTGCCATGCATTGATTACCAATAACATGGAAGGGTAGCATCTTTTCAGTTCATTTTCTCAAATCTTCACCTCATGAGCAGGATCATATCGAAGAACGACCTTTGAATCTATTCATTTGTTTATACGAAAGAACAGAAGAATTGCTCACCTCATAAAACTGACGATGATAATCAATACTTATATTCCATTAGTTTTCTCTATTCTGTTCCTTTTGAGCTCTTTAATGTATCAAACTTGTACCAAATAAGAAATTTTCTTTTCCACAGGTTGAACTTAACGCTAGGTTTTGATCCTTCATGCAATAAGAAAGCTGGATATGGCTTCCTGATTGGCATGGCACCGAAATGGAGCGCATGATGGACACCTTGAAGTTAACACTCACAGCAGAGGCATTACCTAAATCCAATTTTGAAAATAAAAAACTAGAGATATATTATTGTTATTAGAACAATTTATTGTATATATCTTTAAGAAATATAGACTAGGTAGTAGTATTTTTTGCTATTTTTGCAGGTTGCCTCTAATCTTATGCAAGATTGTGGGACAACTAGCTACTTAAGAGGAAGCCATCCGCTGTGGAATAGCAATGGTATCATATCAGGCACCTTTTCTCTTATAAAGTTTAAAACTAAAATCCCAACCCACCAACCACTTAGTTCAATGCATAAGGTTGCCTTTGGATAGAGATTGCAGAATTAATAAGAGGCCATGAATAAATATAAGTTAGCCAAGGATGCATGATGTTTTATGTAAAATGAACCCAATACTGCCACATTTAAACCAAAGGTGGCGCCAACTCTTTCAGTGGTCAGATGGGTATCCCAAAACCGCCTTTCGCCGGCCACCTGTCACCCACCCCACCCCATTGGCAACCTCTCATCATGCTTCACTCTCATTACTCTCCCTGCCTCTCTCTCTCTCTCTATAGGTATATGCAATTTCGTGGCCTTTTCTCTCTCCACACCGGTCCCTCTGCACCACTTGACCCGTTTCTCGTACTTTTCCCACATTTGGACTCACCCTCCTGGCAGCATCTTACATCCCCGCGACCTTCTTGAACCAGACATTATACTCACTACAAACACAAAATAAGAACACATACAAAGTACATTCTCATCTACCATCTCTGATCACTAGCAGTACAATCCCCTAAACTCATCATCACATTGCACCTTTTTCCTGATGGAGAACTCTTACGTACCTTTTTCCTCCACCACCACCACCACCACAACCAACAATACCACCCTGAGGCAACCAAACATGGGTGGTTGGTCTCAGAATTCCGAGTTTTCCATCTATGAACCAATGAACTCAAAAAACTTCAGTTCGACACCCTTAACAACAGCTTCAAACTCTCACTTTCATCATCCACCACAGTTTGTGGTACCTTACCAAGGCCTGCAACTCCCATACAGAAATCCCATAGAGCAAGCTGGCCATTCTTTAGAATATACTGTGCATCCCATCTTTCTGGGGCAGAATGGGATTGAGTTTGGGGTATCCAGTTTGATTCATGCTGGTAAGGGGGTGCAAGGATCATGTTTCATGCAAGTAAACGGGCTATCGAAGGAACAAGAGAGAAGAATTCTGGATCCTTATACAACAAAGATTGCAAGGATTAATAGAAAGCTGGCACGCCAAAGAAGCCTTAGTTTGCAAAGAAATGCTTCTTCAGTTCAGCTCAGGTGGATGCGATGAGACTGACCAGCTCAGGCGCTGAATCTGATGTGAGTAACAACAATGATACCAAAAGGGATCTGTACAAGTTTTGTACACCAGATAACAAGGTGCATTTTGAAAAGTGTTCATCTTTGATTTTCGATCGTGTTTTTTCCTTGTCAATTAATGGTATTTGGGCGTATTGTTCTCATAATCTTGAGTAGTGAGTGAGATTGTTTAACTTGGGAATTGGGATGCAAAGACTTAGAGTATTGCTGAGGAAAGAGTTAAAGAACAGTGATGTTGGGTGCCTTGGGAGAATTGTCCTTCCAAAGGTAAGGTTTACTTGATCCATGAGGGTATTCTGAAGGCCTCTTCTTCCACCTCTGATCCTGTTTGTTTAGTTTTCAGCTCTATATATATATACTCCTTTTTTGACCCCCTAAGTGAATTTTGAAAGAAGAGAAAGAAGTCAGCCAACCAATAACTATTCCTTCATTTGCTCTCATTGACTACTGCAACATTGTTGTCAACTAGATTGAGCAATAACTAATCAATCCTTTCTTGACTTCTCGATTCTTGCACAAAAAAAGTTACAGTACAAAGAAAAGAATGAGTTAATAGTCTTGTCAAGGCATTATCTTCTAATGCTACTATGTTCTTCTCTAAAATGTCATAGCCTTTAGTCTTAAGCGTTAGCTAACGTGTCTACCTGCAATTTATAATCCAGAGAGAGGCAGAGGTAAATCTTCCAACACTCTCTAATAAAGAAGGCATCCAAGTCATGATCAAAGATGTATACTCTAACCAAGTGTGGACCCTCAAATACAAGTAAGAATATTGCTGGTATATAATTTAATTTTGGTGTATATTTACTCTTTATTTCCTTTGGAAATGCTACATAAAGATGTTGAACCCACATAGAAATGTTTTTTTGTTCATTGATGTCACATGTTCTGGTCAAATAATAAGAGTAGAATGTATGTGCTTGCAAACACAGGTAAACCCTTCATTCCAAACTCTTTCAAACACAGGTAAACCCTTCATTCCAAACTCTTTCTTTTTGTTGTTACTTGCATTTCATTATGTTCATAATCTCTTTTCTTTTCAATTCACCAGGGGATTTTGCAAAGCAAAATGGACTGGAAATTGGAGATTCCCTTACCCTTTATGAAGATGAAAGCAAGAATCTCGTGAGTCTTTCTTCCTAAATACCATGATACTAGTAATTAAGATTTTGTTGATAATTGGAAGTGGGATTTGAACATGGAAAGGGTAAAAAGGTTTTAGCTTAACCGGAGGACAGTAATGCCCTTGCCTTTGGAAGGATGTGAATGGAAAAGGACAAGAATGGACAAAATCGCATAGCTTTAATTGACACGTAACAGATTATGCGCTGGCAGTAGACTTACCTTTTAGAAGACAGATAGATCAGGCACGTGCGTAGCACGAGTGATGTAGCTTTGTGGGGCTGAGCAACGGTTCCTTAGTAGCTGAGCTGGACTGTACTAGGATATTGTCCTAGCATCACAACCGTACATATTCATTACTCTGTCTTATATCAGCACTGTTCCTCCTGACAGAATACTCAAATATAGACAAAATTTGTTGGAATCCGTTTTCTTGTTGAACTTTTGAAGAAAATGGGGAAGTGCTTCTTTTTAATGTTCTTTTTCTAACTTCTATATAACGTAAGAGGGATCTCAATTCTCACCATATTGAGAAACAAGAACACCCTGAATGTGCCATGGCACTGAAATTCATCTAAAATGCATTAACGGATGTTTGTATTGCTTAACTGTCAGTATTTCTCCATAATAAAGGTGGGAAGGATTGCTGCCGAACCTTCAAAAGATCAGCACTCTGACAATGAAAACGACAACAAGGACAACCACCACATGTATTACTTGCCATCTACTTGCCAATCTAGAGATGATGAAGAAACATCATTTGAATTACTTATAGAACAACTCAAACGCAAGGAACAACAAGAACCTAACGACCACCTTATGACTTTGCCTATGGATGCTGCTTATTTGCATAGACTGCCCGAGGAAGCCAGACATCTTCTATCCGACGGTATTGGTAGCAGAGAAACCTACGGCGGAATAACTGCAAAAAAACTGCAAACCTCGTCGACTTTGTTACGAGGTAAGGTGAGAAGTATAGATGATATTCAGATCAACTTCGACGACTGCTATGGCGGTCTTGACATCCTACCTGATGTCAATCATTACCAATTTTCACTTTGAGCATGTCATTAACAAGCTTCACGGCCTTGAAGAATTTATAGTCAACTAGTAATTTGTTCTTTGTTTTTCTTTGACAAATACACCATTGTTTCTGGGTTTGAGAAGGGTATAGGAATTTTTTTGGTTCTTTTTGAAACTAGGCATTAGGATAGAGAACATTAAACCTTTCTCTTGTTTTGATGTGCAGGAGAGGAGGAACTTAGTGCCCGTTTGAATGCTTAACTTGTTTCTTCAATGTAAATGATCTCCAAATTAGGATAAAAAATTAAAACAAATTATACCTTAGAATTCTGTCATTTACTCTGTTGTGACCATAATTGATGCTTATGAACATGAGTGTTATTTGATCTTTGATGATGACACTATCAATTATGAGATTGACCTGTGAAATAAACTTCAGTGATAATGTTACTTGTGAAGTTGAGTTTCTAGTACGGTGGAACTGGAACCAAAGTTAATTTTCACAAGATCATGACTAACCTAAACAATATGTATGATCTTCTCCCAAACCCAACAGAGATTTCTTTTAATTTCAAGTATGATACCTTATGATTAAAAGCTCAATGTCAAGTTTCCAAAACTTGACTCTCATTAAAATTCATACTTCATGCATATTTTGGAAAAAAAAAAATCCTCAAAATTGACCATTGTTTTCGGTGTGATACAATGATACTTTTTTTTCTTTTCTTCATGTACATGAGAAAGAGAACAAATGTAACTAATCAAGTCGAGTTGAGTTAATACATTAAAAAATTTGAGCTCGAGTTCGGCTCTCAACTTGAGGTTCGATACTTGACTCGAATTCGATCGAGTTTCATTTTTTTAATTCGAGTTCGATTTGTGATCGAAATCAAATTACTCGAATTCGTTCGATTAATATGTTAAAATAAACTTAATTTTTATATTTGATAAGAGTTTAATTATTTGTGCACGAACTCGAACTCGAATTCGAGATATTTTATTAATTAAAATAATAATAAAATTTTAAATATAAAAAATTTGATTAAACTCACTAGTTACTCGAATCGAGTATAAGAATATTTAAATTCAACTCGATCGATAAATCAAATTACTCGAACTCGAATCCAATTCAATAATAATTAAATCAAATTTAAATTTTATTTGAATAGAACCTGAATAACTTATAAATATTAATGCATCATTTTCATTCTTAAATTAAACTTTGCTTTTGTTTTGCTTTTTTACTATACCCTTTTAATTTTCATGGATGTAAGTACAATTTACGTGCCAACACGACACCATGTTGAAAATGTCTGGTCCAATTTTAACCCAACCCGTTAGACACTGTTGTTCTTTTGGGGATAAGCCTCTTGTTCTTTTAACTCTTTACATTTATCCATGGCAACAGCAACAGCAGGAGCCCCAGCTCTCTCCTCCCTCGCCCTTCGCTCTTCTACTCCTTCCTTTTCATTCCTCTTCCCCAAACCCACCAAACCCTTTTCTCTCTCCTGCTCATTCCACTCCCTTTCCCTCACACCCCAAGCCAAAGCCTCCGACATCAACACCTCCTTCTTCGACAACCTCAACCCCGAAGAAGACGTCGTCTTTGACCCACCAACACCCCCTGAAGGATTCACCCCCACCTTCTTTCGACGATGGCCCGAGGAAATGGAGGACGAAATCACTGCTGCCTATGAGGAACTCTGTGGCCCAGCCTACAGTGGGATCTCCGTTTTAGGCAACGACATAATGGACTCTAAGGTGAAGAAGACAAGTGGGTTTGGGAAGGTAAAGAAAGAGAAGGTAAGGGATGGCTTCGAGGAAAGAGTGGTTCAAGCTAGGAGAGTTACTAAAGTGGTTAAAGGAGGGAAACAATTGCATTTTAGAGCCATTGTTGTGGTTGGTGATAAGCAAGGACAAGTCGGTGTTGGAGTTCGGAAAACTAGGGAGGTTATTGCTGCTGTTCAGAAATCGGCTGTGAATGCTAGAGGGAATGTCATTACTATTCCTATGACAAAGTATTTGACTTTCCCACACCGGTGAGGAGTTCAAATCTTGCTTTGGTTAATCGGCGCATGACATTTTGTTGGAAAGTTGTGTTGTTAGTCTGTTTAAATGATGCAATTGGGAGGCTTTCATAATGTTGAAATATCGACAAAGATTTCTTGTGGGAAAACCCTATCATCCCCATCCAAAATCACTCATTAGGATCATATATGTACTTCACCATAGGAGCGGACTCAATATAGCCTAATATAATGGTAAAAGAAGGCATGCCAATATGTTTTTTGTTAATGTCATTGGGATGGCTGGCAGATCTGAGGGTGATTATGGGGCAGCAAAAGTGATGCTTAGACCCGCTGCACCTGGTACTGGAGTGATTGCAGGAGGTGCTGTGCGAATTGTTCTTGAAATGGCTGGTGTTGACAACGCGTTGGGTAGGCAACTTGGAAGTAAAAATGCCCTTAACCATGGCAGAGCTACAGTTGTTCCAGTGCAGAAAATGAAGCAGTTTCGTGAGGTTGCTCAAGAACGAGGGATTCCCATGGAAGAGCTTTGGAAATGATGGTCATGGAAGCAGCTTCACCATTTACCCTCATACTCCACTGGCAAAGCAGATTCAGTACACGAGGCTTTCATATTGTAAGTCAACCAACTACTAGATTAAGACGTTTCTTTTTTTTATTATAATTGATGCTTTGCCTTCTAATTTAAAAAAAAAAATTTCCAATTAATTTTACTTTGAGCTTCTATTTGAATTTTTCTTTTTCATTTTCATATGTTCTCTGATGTCTGTGAAACACAATTGCTTGAGAACTTGCCATTTATCATGATATTGGCTGACATTATTTGCATTAATTACTTAAATATGATGCTATTTTGCAAGTTAAAAGTCCATTGAATATCAATTTGTTGATCGTAGTCCGCAAATCCTAATTTGCAAGAAAGACGTGCCAGTAAAATCTAAGCATGAGCCGGCCAAACCTACTGACTTAGAATCTTGTTCTAGACAACCTAAAGCTAAAAGTTAAGATTAGCACTGCAGACTTGATTCAATGGTAAAACTGGCAGGCATCAGCTGAAGCATAGCCACCATGACAACCATTTCTAGACCCAGTCTTCTTGATAATAACAGAAAGCAGCAGTTCTGAGACTGTGTGACCCTACACCTTCATAAAAGAACCCCTTGTTAAAGTCCCCTCCGTTTTGGAATTTTACAAATGTGCATTCAAAGGTCTCTTATGCTGTGTAGCTTCTACTGAGCTCCTCACATCATATAGCTGAAACATGGACAATTTCTTTCTTGGATTCTAATTTTCTAAAATCTGTTTCAGTTGCTGTTAGTTTGAGTTCTATAGAATGTTTAACAAGGGTTTGCTACCCTCAAGAACCAGTAAACCCCGTTGGCTAAATTAGCTAACGAAAATTTAGCTAACGAAAATGAAAAATTACAAATATCGGGCCCCAAAACAGGAATCACAAGTAAATCAACCCTGTTGGCTAAAGAAATAGTGGTCCTAATGTAGTATAATACCCAGCGTAAGACCCATTTAGCACTACTAAGACTCTTTCAGGTTCTCATTAGTTGCTTTCATAACCAAAAAAGAGTCCACCGAGCAAAGAAGCATATCCCAGAAAAGCTATTAGAAGTTGGAGAAGAAGATGAAGAGATATACAGCGAAAGCAGAGAGGGAGAGAGAGAAACTACCCATTTTTGCATTTGTAGCATAGCTTTCTTGCTCTGGTTGTAGTAGGCGAGAGAAAGGAATTCCATATTTTGCATGTTAATGTGAATGCCAGGCCCAGCTCTCTTTTTTAGGTCTGAATTAGCTGGACCTCTTTAACTTCAAAATGCTCTATTATTTATTAGAATTAATAAAAAAAAAAAAGCAGTATACTACTTTTTTTAATGTCTCAATCTGTCATATTATTGGATCAGTGTTTTCATGGACGTGGATTTAGATAAAGATTATGCTAATGTAAGTTACCTGACCCTCAAATAACTTGGATTGAGTTAGACCCATGTTTCATGTGGACAAAGGAAAAGAACATATTACATGAAAACAAATTAAAACTTCATTCTTCTAATAGAGATCAACAATTTTAAAAATATTCTTTCATTTCCCATTTAAAAGAAAAGGATACAAGTCCAAAAGATTAGCCAACAAGAAAAGAGAAAACAAAAACCAGCATTTTATGCTACGGTTGTATTTCATTTTTCTACTTTTGGTTGTAAATTTTTCAGTCTGTAGGTAATATGATAAGATGTGAGTATAATCTATCTATACTTTTAAATATTCTGCCACAAAAAGGGCGCAACTGCTAACATGGTACTTGTCTTGACTGTTTAGTTTACCTGCGGTTGTCACTAACTTCTTCATCCAAAAATGCTTCATTTTTACGCATGCCACTGGTACAAGCAAATGCTTGATTTCTCATGGAGGGCATCTTTACTTCCATATCTTAACACACTGGTCATGGCTTGTAGAGGCTAACATTTCAGTCTGTAGAGAATCTGCCAGTGAAGAAATTAATCCTCTGTGTGCTTCAACTGTCCATGTTTTATTGCTTTCAACTGGATTCCATAATTCAACAGACTGCCAAATTTTGAACAATTAGATCTCAATAGAGATTCTTGGAGAATGCTGTTATTTATTAATAATATTCTGAATACTTTACCTGGTAGCCACCAATGACCAAGAGTAGTGAATACCCTGGATGAAATGTGCAGGACTGGAACTTGTTGCCTGTTGAACGCAATTCGTGCAAGCATTCTCCGCCAGACACTGACCACACTCGTGCACTCTCTTCACTAATGGAGGCAATATACTTGCCACTTGGATCCCAGCAAATTGAAAGAACTTCTTTGTTATGTCCCTGAAAGAACGAATGTTGAAAGAATGTCACATTCGTTCATACATGCAAGGAGACAAATTGACTTGGATGCATGTAATCTATAATAACATGCAAAGCAAATCAACCTTCAAACAAAATTGGGGCTTATTGGTCTCAACATCAATTATATTGACAACATTTCCCGAAGCAGTTGCAATTAACTTTCCTAGTCCAGGCTGGAATCTGACTTGTTTAGTAGCTCCCTGCAGTCACCTCACAAGGAAATAGATGTAAGCAAATGGGGGTTAAGTAAGAAAATATAAAATTCTAATGGGGTAAGACCAGATGTAAGTTTGTTAACTACAAGTACTTAAATGTTTCCTAAAAAACTAAGCAGGTAAACAAAACAAAGCCATGCAACACAAAGAAAATTTTCCATGTTAAACTTCCCTTCAAAATTGCATTTATTTTATAGAAATCCGTAAGGATGTAAAACTAAAGATTCTAAAAGGTAAATTTTAACCATTAGCAATGTTTGCTACAAATATTACAGGAAAATATAATTAGACAACTCCATTCGAGAAACAAAGAAAAATAGTAACATTTCCAATCTAAGTTACTAGTAAACTTCGATGTCTCTGAGAAATTCTAACAGGTGCAATCTTACCTTAGAGACATGTATGCAAGAACGTTGGTTGATATTCCATAATCGCATCTCATTGTTACTATCAGAGGAACAAAGGAGATCAACGTTTCTAGGATGGAAATCTAATGACAACACCTGTTCAGCATGCCCCACAAGCTTGAAAAGTGATTTGCTTGGCTGAAATAGCAAAGAAATGAAGACATATTATCAAAAGGAAAATAAGTGCAATATACTAGTTGGCCTGTCTATCCAAAATAAAATGTCCTATAGAGGCATGAATTGCATACAACAGCCTTTATTCATTATGAACAAGCAGACAAAATTTTAGAAAATACTAAATAAATATCTGAAGTTCCAAAGAAAAATGGTTACTTTGGCAGAATCCCATATTTGGACAGTCTTGTCAAAGGAAGATGTTGCAAATATGGTTGAACTTGGTCTAAAACGAACATCAGTAATTAGAAGAGAATGGCCCTCTGAAGTTTTAACAAAATCAAGAGTTTCCATGTTCCATATCATGACCTGCCAGAAGAAAACTGCAATCATCTCTAAGCTTATACAAAAACGCCGTGAAGAAAAAAGCTACATTACACCTTAATACCACCTTCTTTTCATGCCCCGCAGTAGCCAGAAACTTCCCATCTGAGGAAAAATGGCAGCACAAGACTTTGCTTTTGCTTGAGTGGAGGCAACTAACTTCTCCAAAGGTGAAGCCTACACCAGTGATGACATACCAATCATTAGGATTATATTGAGTAATATCTTAACTGTTATGCTGCCACAAGTAAAATTTTTGCTGACAGAGTCCCATAGTATTTTCTACTTTGATGACTCGCAAACATATATATCTCTATAATATACACCAGGTTTGGTCATAGAAAGCTTTCATTGTCAACCTGGATTAGGTGCTACAACCAGATGTAGTCTTCCTATGCTGTTAACTATTTTTCAGCAATACAACATGGTTAGGGGAGGCTGGCAAAGATTCGAAATGCATAGGCAGTTCAAGGTGGGTTGCACCTTTCTATATTGAATAAATCAACCATTACCTTTCTATATTGCACCTTTCCATGGCATCAGTGCCTATTAAAGTAGAGCAGCAAAGCATTCTTCTGTTAGTCTTAACAGAATTACCTTTATGTTCATTTTTATTGGAAGTGTTGGAACGGCGTCGTAAAATTCTGAAAGGAGTGCTTGTATTATCAATATTATCATCATCATGGGACAGAAAAGACTCAACAGTGTCATCAACAGGTTTATTCTCCTCAGCTTTGATACAATCCTGCAGATGAACATTTCATGAAGGAGGCAACAATTATGATGCAAATATAAACAAAAAGATCATACAGGAAGTATTGATCAGCAAATTTGATGACACTCTCCATTGACATGGCAGATGAAAGAGGAAAAGCAATCAAAGTTTTAGGATGTACCAATTTCTTATCTGCCACCCTTGAATTTGATAGCTTCTTCTTCTTTCTTCCAGTCTGATCCAGAGCAAATACAATTATAAGAATAAATATCATGCTATACATGCACATAGAAACATATATTTGACCAGGATTTTCAAACAAATTCGGGGAAGCATTAGCAGTAGCTTTCCTTGAGAAAGCTAATGACAAACTTATTACCTGCTGTTGCTGTAGTATATTATCTTGTTTTTGATGTTCTTCAGTTTGCATTGTTTGGATCATCATCTGGTTCACCACCAATCAGTCACTAACGAGGAAAAGAATTATGATAGTTTTCATAAATGAGAGTGAAGGAGCTTCTAACAAAAAAACAAAACTAATGAACACTAGCATGCAAAGTTAAAAGTTGCATGCAAATTACTACTATAAGATCTCTTTTTCATTTATGACCATCATGATCTTTTAAAGAAGAGGGTTGATTCTGAAAATATTAGCATGCATGGTCATCACGGGTTATGACTCATGACATCTTACAGAGGGTATCTAGTGACAAATCCATTAGATGTAGAATACATCCGATCTTTATACGAAAAAAAAAAAAGGAAAACAATAACAATTACAAATTTTTGAAGAAATCAACTGGCCCAAAATTTACAAGTCACTGTTTCAACTAACCGGTCTCTTATGCTCAATTATTTCAGTATTGGGTAGGACCAGATTACGATAATTGAATTTGGCAGAGCTTCCAGGAAAAGTAGATGTCAGGTTTCTGGGCATATGTGACAGCCCCTGAGCTAATATCTCAGGTTGACAATTCAATATCTGAAATTGTTGCTGATAGTTTGGTGCCTGAAAGAGCAAATTTAACACCTTATACCCAAAACCATGGTAACCACACTCAAGCAAGTGCAGAACTACTAGTGAAAGTTCAAGCACATTTGTATTTACAATTGGAAGAACTTAAACATCTATTATATCAAAAAGAACAGAAAAAATTGGTACTTGCACCAACATCAGTTAATTAACACGCCACTTACATCCAAAGGCCATCCAATAAGTGCTGCTGAATCAATTGATTCATTCAATCCTGAAAAGATAAAGACCATGCGTCTGATATATCAAACATAAATATAATGTTACAATACCAACAAAATAAAGTAAACCAAGGCCAACACTGCGTGCATCTCCTGCATCTCTTGTCAAAATAAAGCAGATATACATAATTCATGTCCGGTCTTTGAATAGTATAGCCTAAGTAAAAATTGCAAAGATTATCTGATGGGATCAGTTTTTTCAGCATGAACACTGGATGAACTCAAATCAGACAAAAGACCAAGCTAACCTGCAGTATGAGGTCCAGTTACAGGGAGTTTGCCTTTTTGTGGCCCATAGGGGGTGGTTGGATTTATAGGAATGGTTCTCCCCAAGCTAATGCCACTTCGCTCCTGCATATCAAAAAAGCTTCTAACATTTAGTGAAATTAATAACAACTCGGTGCTCTTGTCAACACAGCTAAATAGTTTAGAACATACCCTCTTAACTTGATACTGAGCGAGATTTATCTGCTGTTGCAGAAGGCTGATACATGAAAGAATGTTAAAGGAAAAAAAAATGATATGAGAAACTCTCCATTTTATTGTTGAAGCAAATTACCATTTACCAGAATAATGAATAATAGTATATACTTCCTCTAATAATCCAAATTATACATTTCACCAATGGGCTAATAAAATTTCCTAGCTTAAATTGCAATGAATCATGTAATATGCACCAAAAAGGCGAAACGCTTTGTCAATTAAAAAGCCAAGCATTTCCATAATAAAAATCTTAATTTTCGTAATACATTTTGTGTTGGTAAAGGGGATATAATGAAGCCAAAGAAACTATGAACTGTTTGTCAATTATACAGGCCTTTAGTTCAATAAAAACATATCTATACCTTGAACTGGTAGCAACTGAATTTGGGAGCCTCAGTTGGTTAGTTTCAAATGATCGCAAATTGGAATCAAAATCTCTGGGAATAGGAACCTGTCCAGGCCTTTGCTGATTTACCATTGATCGCGACAAAATTATTGGAACAAAATTTTGTGATTGATCTTCTAATTTTTCAGCCTGAGAATTTAACAAACAACACATAAGTTGACGAAGTTACAATAAAAATTAAAAAGTATAGCACAACATGATCTCAAATTCCACAAACAATAATCACCTTAGCAGAGGTTTCTGCTTCAGAGTACTCTTGAAGCTTTGGTTGCCTAGAGGCAAATAAGTCATAAAATAGTGACCACCATTCTTGTAAGAACCCTTGGGGAGAATCAATCACTGAAAACAATGACCCCTTTCTCTAATCAACAAATTACACAATTTATAGCAAATGTGAACTTTAAAATAATCTCCAAAAAGAAAAGGAAACTTCTAATGCTTTCCTGCATTAATTCCAAAATTCAGAATAAACCATGCAAAAAAAGAAGAACCAAAAGACTCATGTAGAAAACTAAATCAATTGGTTTGTTCTTGAACAAAGATAACAGAAACATTAATGCACATTGACATTGATGTACATATAGATGTGAGTTTAATAAACTTATAGCCTTCAAGATATTTCATATTAGAAAAGAAAATTTTATGCCCAGCATTTCAACATCGAGAATTATCTGCTAAAAACTGTACAATCGGTCTTTAGGAAATAAGCTTAATTAAAGGAATATATGTTACAAAGCAGGACATTGAAAAAGGAATGAAAAAAAGAGAGAGCTCATACCAACAGAATGGTTGGAAATACCGGCCTCTTTTCTGAAAGCTGTAGCAGTCTCATGCATATTCTTCTTCAGCAAATAATCGTGCAAGTAAAGGTCCAGCCTTTCTCCCCCAATCAAACAAACACAAATTCAAGCAGTAAATAATAATTGATATAATGAGAACCATAAAACAAAAAAGCAAGCAGAAAAACTGAAAAGCCTAAAACCCATGATCATAACAATGCCAAATACAACCCTTCACCCAAAAAAAAAAAGAAACTCACATTTTTTCAGCATCCCAACCATCCCCTGCCGCCATGAATATCTTCAAAAAACAAGTCTTCACTTTCACTGTGAAAACAAAAAAAAAAAAAAAAACAAAGCATGAAGTAGAATACATGGGGTATAAACTTATGGCACAAAAAGAAAGAAACGATGAAAACAAGAATACCCAGATACAGATTAAGGCAGAAGGAGCAGTAGAAATCAAAACGAGAGAGAAAAAAAAAAAGGAAAAAACAAATAAAAGGGGAAGTTGGGTCTTGAAAATTAACAAGAGGAAGAAAGAAACGTATGGGGGAGAGATGAGGATGGATATTGGATACCCAGAGGTAGCTAACCAGCAAGTGACAGTGCCATGCAAAAGAGAACCAAAATTGAATGATATGAATTGGCCACTGACAAACAAATTTGGCCTTTTCTATAGGGAAAAAAAAACAAGAGAGAGAAAAGTGAAAGTCCCCTCCTTTTTATTTTATGTGCAGGCCAGGGTTGCCAAGGAAAGAGTTTGGTGGACCCCCAAGCCCTTTGGCCTGGTTTAAGATTAAAAAAAATGGTTTTTTCTATCAATTTTGTTGATTTTTTTATTCACGCATAAATTTGGTGAAGGTTTAATTGGAAGCTTGATTTATGATTCGTTTTCTTTAATTAGGTTTTTGTAATTAAGATTTTAAAGTCTATTTATGGTTAAAAAGTAAAGATTTTTAGTGAAAAATGAGGGTTTTTGGCAAAATGTAGTCCATGGACAATGAATCATTGAATTGTGCAAGAAGTCAAAGGAACAACTAAGATTCAGTAATCAATATTACTATGTTTCCGATTTTGTTTTCACAAAAATCTCTATTTTCATTTTTTTTCTCTTATTTTTGGAAGATTTTTTTTACCTTACAAGTTGCTGTGTATAACCAAAAGTTGTTTTCAGAAAAACCACTCATTAATCTTTAAAAAAATATTATATTATTTGATGCAATACTTACCATAATTTAATCAAATTACCATTTATATGAAATGCTACTTACCTTGTTTAGTGTATTGAGAATTTTTTATGTCATCCATCTTAGTTAAAAATAAATTTAGAAATTCCTGTTATCGTATTGTATTTCGTATCTAATGCGATTTTAAATATGACACAAATACTTAAATGATAAGAATAATCAAAACATGAACATAACACATTTATTATACGTGTTATACGTAATACGATACGATTAATACATTTTAATCCATTTTAAGAATAAATAATACAACATGACACAATTAACATAATTAATACTAAAATATCTAATAACAATTCAACATTAAATCAAAATAATAATATAATAAAAATACTAAAACACGATCATATATGTATTATAAACGTGTCATTTATATGTATTGATATGATAACATAATTAAAATATAATTAATTAATTAATCATACTGTAAACATGTAACACGTGTAAGATACAAAATACAATATGTATAATGCCATATCTTAAACGTGTTAATATGATTAAGACACGAAACACAATTATAAAAAATACATACACAATTTGTTACGTATCATTTTTGTATTATGTTAATGTATCATATTTAAAATTATCGTGTTTAGTTGAGAATTATAATATTATCTATCATTACTTTGATGACAAGCAACCATCTAATGATTTTTGTTTAGAATAAAGTAATGCAACCATATGATAAATGGAGAAAACAACTTGATAAATTACATTATAAAATTTGCCTTCATTTTCCTAAAATATATATTTTTTCAAACTTAAAACTTGAAGATTTATATTTTAATTATTAAAATTATAATTATAATTTTTTTTCAACAAATATTTCGTATAACGTATCAAATTAAAATAAAAAAATTTCTTTTTATTTGAGGAAAAAAAAGGATTAATCCAACTCTTTTGGTAAAAGGTACATGCATCTACCTCTAATAAATTAAAATTTTATTAGAATGATATATTTATTTAAAAAAAAAATGATATATTTGAATGATCTTAAAAACAAACATTTTTAAAGCATCCATTAAAAAATGCCACTTTACTTTTTTTTCTTAAAAATTCTACTACTAATATCATAATCCATTAAGACCAATTTAATTCTCTTTCATTCTATTACCTCTAATTAAAAAATTATAAATTTTTTATTATAGAAAATTGCAGTTTATAAATAAAAAAGAAAATTAGATTAAAAAGAACCCTCTAAATTTTAAGTTTCATTTTTTTAACACAGTAATCTTGGATAAATAACAACAAAAAGAAAATTTTGCAAGGAAGAAACCATCTGTTATAATTTTATCAAGGCGATATGCTACATCTTCTTTGGGGTGAACCAGTTTCATTGAGTTCAGAGACAGCTATGAGATTCTGCCTTGCACATATCATTGCCACTTGACAGTTGCAGCAGCTTATTCCTTGCCAAAACATAAAGCCCCTTTTTTCCCAAGGAACAGAACAAAAAAGCATGGCTTTTATTCTTATGCAAAAATGAAAAAAAAAAATAGTGACATGATTAGCAGAAAGAAGCATTAGACATCCAATGGCTATGAATATGTGAGTGAGAAGTTAGGCATCTTCTTATCTATAACATGGAGAAACAGTAATAGCATCTAAGGACAGAAATGAATATGAGAATAAATTAATTTAATAAAAAAAAAGAAAGGAGGATGGAGCTCTATATAGATCTTGGTTTTTGCGTACATTTGAATCATCAGTTCATGAAAAATGAAGTTTTTGCTTCAGCTCCCATGTTGTTCATGCTTCTGCTTTATCAAGAGCAAGAAGAGCAAAAATAAGGAGAAGGAAGCAAAGAGTGATTAATGAAGGCATCTCCGGGAACCAGAAAGAGAAGGAAGTACCATTATTTGCTTCCCCTTCAAACTTTTTCTTCTCGTTTCCTCCACAGGAATGCATCTCGGATTGTATCCTCTTATCATCCACCTTTCCTTTTCTTGATGACATCTTCACTTGTAATGCTATTTAAATGTTAAGAAAAAATGAAAATCACTCATTCTGTTTAATTGCTTCTTATTGATTATCTCTGACGATCGTTCGGTATCAAGTCCATCTCTTGCATTTGATGTTCAACAGAAACCAAACCAGTCTGTTCAAGAAACCTGCATAAGAAATCCAATCAACCTCATTCAGGGCGTCTGCAAAGTAACAGTTTCCAACAAGAGAAGAATATGAGATTCAATTTTGCAGCTTCAAATCATGTTCCAATAACAAAGGCCAGATCCCTATGCATCCAATTACTTGCTTGCATAAAGATGGTCATTCCCCCACTTTGTTGTTGTAAAACTGGAAAACGAACAAATCATGCATGCAGAAATTGTCACTTCAGAACATGGTTTAAACAAAATTCAGTGCACCCAACTTACCTTTGCTATCTAAACCATGCTATATTGCTATGTGATAAGAACAGACAGTGGTGAAAGCAATTACAGGTTCAATCCTAAGTGCTGTCCAATGTAACAGAATATATGAAAAGAGCATGCCTGAGCCTGACTGGCTCCAGCTACAGAGAACATTATAAACTCTGTAAACTACTACTTTCGTCCTGTTTGTACAATACACACAAAATTTCACTAAGGTGACATCGCTAATATTGCAGACTACAGGCTACAAAGCCAATTCCTTTTAAGAGAAAAGGGGGAAACAATTAAAAGAAGCAGAAAAAGAAAAAAAATCAGAAAAGCCTGCACCTTCTTCTCTAGGTATTCAAGTGCAAAAATGCCAAACCATTAAAGTCTGCGGGAATCATGATAATAATGATACAGATACCTTTGACAATCCAACATAGCTTAACAAGTATACTCTCTGATCCAATGAGAACAATCAATCAAGCAATAGATAATGCATATATGTCACTACTAGCTAGCTTAAGATGAAATAATACACATATTAGCAAGGTTGTCCAATGATAATACACAATCCCATGGTTTTCTTTAAATAATGATCAGAACATGAATAATACAAAGCAAACCAACATTAATGAAGCTATAAAACATAAATCCATGTGCAACTAAATTAAAAAAAAATGGAGTTTTATCATAGAATTAAGAAATATTACCAGTTAAGAAGCAAGAAAAGGGTGATGGTGATGAGAACAAGGAAAGCAATATGAAGAATCAAGGAAGAGTCACTAGAGGAGAATGCTAAACCCAACATAACAGCAAGGCAAAGACCCAACATCAAGAACGTTGATTTCAGTGTATTCCAGGTGGGACCCTAAAACCCAAACAACAAAAAACCCAAATCTTATATTAGTAAATACATAAATATGCCTGCAAATATATATATATATATATATATATGTGTGTGTGTGTGTGTGTATACAGAAAAAATAAAGGCAGAATCTTTGACAAGGAAATTGAACGGACGTTGACACCAGGAGCTAAAGCTCCAAGTAAAACTGCTTGGGCTGATGATATATCCCCGCCTGCTAACTGTTTCTTTTCCATTTGAGTTCGGTTTAAGATCTTTAGATCTTGGGTTTGACTTTAAAAATCAGGAAGCGAAAGGCAGAGGCTTTACACAAGAGGTTGAGGAAAGGGTGATAGTCCCATGGTCAATAACAAGCCTTATATTTTAATAGGGAGATGGAATCATAAGTCCGTTGTCGTCCAGCGGCTAGGATACCTGGCTTTCACCCAGGAGACCCGGGTTCGATTCCCGGCAACGGAAAATTGTTTTTTTCCTACACCTTAAAAGATTTGGACGGGTGGCCAGACCATGCCCTGCGAATTTAGTTTTCATGGCTTTTGATAGATTCTGAAAGACCAAAAACTGTTTTTTGTCTTTGAGTAGACGATAGTACGTAGTAGTTTGGCTAGGGCCATAAAATAAAGAACAATAAGGTTGTTTGGCTAGGGCCAATCTTATTTGATCAGAATTCTTGATATTTTTCTTCCATTGCTACTCATGATATCGAGCAAAGCATATTTAGAGAAGAAAACATTTCTAGCCAGTAAGAAGAGAGCATTATATTATTATAAAATCATTCTAAATGATCTGTAACACTTGTGGACAAGCTGGACATTCCTTCACACTTGAACCCCTCTCCTGTAGACATCTGGTTAAAACACACACATTGTCAAATTCTTTAAATATATACATGCATGCACAATTATCAACTTGTTTAAACTGACATTTAAGTCCTAGGGTAAATGTTGTATGCTGCGTTTAAGGTCCAACGAGAGCTTTGAAGCCTTAAGAAAAGCTTTTATCAACAGTTTGAGTTGCAACTCTTAATTTCCCATGTAAGTGGGATTTCTCAGGGTTGGATCCTGCTGGAGTAGCCATTCTTCCTCCTTCAGATACCACAAGAGTGGCTGTTGCTGGTCTCTAGTTTCAGTCACAGCGCCACAGCCATAAGGGCTCGGTCTTTGGTAACCATGAAACAGCTTCTCCCTTCTCGGTTCCTCCAAGCCATACACAAGGGGAAATCCTGGATGCAATATTGAACTCTCTGTATAAATTGTTGGATTTGAAACACAAGGAACTCCATGTTGATCAAAAAGACCAAAACCGGAAGCATCAGGAGTGGGAAAGTTCCTGAGATGCCCAGGAGCATAATAGTTGATAGGCCACATATGACTGTTGGCCCGGTCAAGATTGCGTTTTTCTCTGTATTGACGAAGCCATTCAGAAGATGTCATCCCGCTAAATGGAGGGTATTTATCCATGAAACCTGGAATGGAAGAACCATAATTAAGTTGGCCATCAGGAGACCAATTGTGATAGCCACTTACCCTTGATGCATCATAGAAATTCTCCGGTTTATTAACATACCCTGAGCCCTTACCATCAGAAAAACTGGATTGAGTACTATTAAACCAAGCCGCGTCATAAGGCAATAAAGGGGCAGAAGGTGCAGGAGCTGAATATGGAGGTGAGTAATGGTTGGTTGGAGCTTCAGATCTTGAAGAAGTGACAGAATACTCAATTTCACGGATGGAGAGATCACTCAGGGATGAAGTAGCTATTTCCTCAACAGGGCTCAAGCCCTGTATACTAACATCACTTCTCCCCTTTTCAGGACTGCTTAAAATTCCTCTATTTAGAACCCAGGCACTAAGGGAGGGAGGTCCAGCAGAGATTGGAACTTCTGAAAATGACAATGCTGTAGTATCTTTTACTAAAGGCTCCTGCTGCATGAAGGGCTTGCTGCACCTGTAATTAGAGATGTCAGAATGAAAATATGAAGTATCACCATGGGCTTGGTTTTGTGCTATGAGTAGGGAGGTTGCACGGCGCAAACATTCATCAGAAGGGACAGTTTCCTCCCTTTCATTTGGAGATGCAGGGCCTTTTGCATTATTAATTTTCACATTGAGCGGGGCTGAATTATATCTTGTAAGAGGCTCGAAGAGAATAACCTCTTCCTCTTCCATGGCGACAGATTTCCCATCCACAGCATGGTTGCTTAGATTTTCATTTGCAATCTGTGTTTCACATTCTTTTGTGGCTTCAGAAATATGTTGATGCAGCCCTTTGACACATACATCAGAATTGGTGGACTCCACCTTTCCTGATTCTGGTCTCTCGGGAATAACATTCGTATCTTTCGCATAGAATTTCATTCCCAAACTATCATAAGTGATCCATTTATAGGAACCATTTGATCTGTTTGCAATCTTCATCGCAGCATTGATTATACGCTTAATACGGTATTCAATCCCACTTTCATAACTGTCTATCTGATCCCAGTTAGTCGAGAAATCTAATGAAACATGTATTTGAGCTAATGGTGCAAAGCCCCTCAACTCATAGTCTTCCCACAGTGCAGTTCTTTCATGGGACAAGACTTCAACCCTACCATTTAACTGCTTCAAGAGGTCAATAAAAGCAGCAAAAAAATAAGACATAGAGCTTTTTGTTTTGTCATCCAACACATATGCTTCAACTTCATCAAGTATGCTCATCAGCCACTCCACAAAAACAAGTATTGTGGGTAGAAGGGGACAAGTGTCTAAAAGATTTGCCTGCAAACATCTATAAACAAGACGTCCCATGAAAATGAATGTAGCAGTCAATCCCAATTGTATCAACTCAACAGGTTGCTTATGCTTTCCATCTTTTGACCCTTTAATTTCTGGGCTATTAATTAGATTATGGAAGACAAAGATGAAAACGGAAACAGCTTGAAGGGCACGGAAAGGGCCTGTTCTAGCCGAATCCATAAGCTGATAGGGCTCCAACAGGGCTCTTAGTTTTATATCATCTAAAGCTATCATCATATCCAACACCCCCATGGTAGATGCAAAAGCACAAGGGAAATCCTCCAAACTGCCTCACATCATAAAGAAGCCAAGAACATGAGAACTTAATTAAAAATGGAATAGAGCACCAAACAGCTTACTAACTTATCCTTAAAATATATTACTGAGCTTCCTAATTAAGGTAAGAGAAGCAGAAGTCATAACTCATAAGACAAAACAACACTTTCCATCTCGGACTTAATTCAGTAAAAATGAAGCAAGTTGATTAGCTAGCTACATTAAGTTGAGTAAGATTTGCAACATTCAATTGAGAGAAAGAAACCATCAGAAAAAATCTAGCAGTTCTAATATATGAGACACCTTAGGTTCTAGGATCATTGCATGTACATGTTTTGCGTCTTGAAAGTTAATTCTTCATACCGTCTATATGCTTATGTACTAAGGTAGATTTATGCACATTAAAAGCCCAGACACGATAGTGAATGAGACAAACTAGCATATGGAGCCTTTTAAAACATATATACATCTGAAACGAACTAATTCTGTTCATTTGTGGTTACAAGGATTACCTGGATTTTAAGAAGAAGAAACTTAGTGTTCTGATAAGAAGTGGCCAGAAATTTTTTTCTGCAGAGTGATCATGTTCACCCTTCAACGGACAGCAATCTGAAATATTACTACTTGATTGTGATTTGAGTTGGGTATCACTTCTTTCAGATGGTTTTAAGAAATCAAAGCGGGCTGCACTTGAAAGAGAATGCAAATGACATGACCTGTTCTGCAAAATCACAACAAGCATTTGGATGGAAATCAGAAGTTGGTACAAATATCTAGAGGATAAAATTATTAGCAACGCAGGAGCAAACAGTCAAAGTCTTACCCTTTCAAATAGTAAAATGAGGTTGTTCCAGGCATCAGGGAAAGGTTCTTTTACAGCTAAACTTCTTACACAGTGGTATAGAGCAAGAAACTCATCCCCCACATATGTTGCCAATACTGCCAACTAAGTGTGAACATGATAGGTTATTCACAGAAATCAGGAATTCAAATGTTAAAATGCAATTCAGTTCTATATAATTGGCAAAGGTACCATGTTCCTCAAGATATTTCAATAGACAAATAAGAAAATAAGTAAAATACCTGATTTTGGGGGTTTCCGCTATCTGGCCAAATTATTGCAGCTTCCAAGTAGTAGGTAGCTGCAACTGACCAGTTATGCTTCTGTACATTAGATTTTTCAAATTGCTCCATATATCTAGCAACATCCCCAAGACAAACTAAAAAGCGATGACATAAAAAGTGACATTTCTGCAATTTTGTTGGTTCAACAGAAGCAGTAACGCCACCCCTTTTAAACAAGGAAGATTCTTCTGGAAGTCCATAATGACTCCTGATTTTCACAACTAATTTTTTGTAAAATTCAGTAGCTTTTAGAAGAATTGACTTAAACCCTTCTATATGTTTGTCATCAGAACCACTACAGGCCATTGCAGATGCTGTACTTTCTGAATTAGCAGAGCTTCTTTTTATTCTGTTACGAAACTCATCAATGTGCTTATAGTGTAGCTTCCACAGTGAATATTCAACATCTTGAAGTTCTGTCAGTTCATGATCATTCAAAATGAAACTCTCGTAACTTAAACTGACTTTATGGTATAAGTCCCGAACATCAGAGTGCAATAAACCTTTGGAGTGGATTAATGCCCACAACTGCTTTTCCGTGCTAGCAATCTGAGACCAACATGATTCCAAGAGTCAAAAACTAATTGAAACAAAGGAGAGACAAAAACAGGTGATCACATGAAATTGTAGCTCCAAAGACGTACCTCAAGAAGGAAATTTGCTTTTTCTTTCTGATCTTTCAGGGGAACAGGTAAAGTAGTATTCATGATTATAGCCAGAAACCTTTTTTCAATATATTTTTATCTCGTCAACTGGATACACAAATGTTTATAGCACAATTGACCTATCATTTAATAATGTTGTTCATTAGAAATGAAAAAGAAGAGGAAAGAGAAGGACAAGAAACAACAACAACAGATAGGCAACTTTAAAGATAAAATAAAGAATACTGACTTGCATATTTTATGATATCTCCAAAATTTGCATGTAAACTTTACTTACTACTCGTAACTGAGAGTATAATAATGTATAATTCAAGTTTTCAGGAGTGTATACCATAATTTTGCAAAGATTTAACTAACATGATCAGTTCCTAATTCCAAACTAGGATGATAAATAAGCAAAACAGACGGGGCTGAAAACTAGCTTTGTGACAATAAGAAGAATGTGGACCTCCAGTAGTCCATATTGCTTGCATGGAACTCAAAACAATATGGTTTTTAGATTTCACTCATATCCATAAACATTGAATTTCTAAATTGGTGTTTAAGAAATCCCAAGCAGAACTTTTTATTTCACAAATTCATCCACTAACCATATCTCAAATACACAGATACGTTGAACCTTTACCAACTTCAGTACATATTTTTATGTCCATCCACTACTCATAACAAATCAAATTCATATAATCATATCTTGGATCACAAATCCCTCTTCCCAAATGAGCCATAAATGCTAAAACCTACTTTTGAGCATAATGCTTCTTAAGCTGGAAAAGTGCCATTTACTGGCACTTTGGGAGCATATTTTTGTCTCCTAAAATGCTATTATACCTATCGGAATGTAATTGATTTTGGAAGAAATTCTTTGCTTCTTTTTTCCCCTTAACGTTTCAACCACAGATGCACTTAAGTAAAATAAGAATAAAGGACTTCATCTGCAAAAGCATCCAAATGCCATTGACATGGATGAGAGCAAAAGCTCTGATTCAAATACTACTTTTACTGAAGTTGACACCTTAAGCAGAAATTTGAGAAGATATCATAATCATGGAATGAGCTTGGTACCACAATAAAATACCAAATCAAAAAGTACTAATACCTCTAAAATTCAACAAATTTCCCAGTCACTATCATCAGTGGGGAAAAGAGAAAAGGAAAAGGCAACAATTAACCTTTTTCAAGCAGATTATGCATTCAGAAATGACCATCATCATCACCTTAAAAAAAAAGTATTATAAGTTCTGAGGTAACAAACTGCTACAAAGTTTTCAGCTTTAAAAGCAATTATTCTATTAAGCATAAAACTTCTTGTTTACTGGTCATACGGAAAAACAAAACAATTAACTAGAAGAGAATTTAAAGAAATCCCCCGAGAAATTAGGGAAAAAACAAAAGAAAAACTGCATGAATTGAAATTGGAGAAATTCTCATCTGCAGACAGAGCAAAGTCATACCTTTTCCGTACAAAACATGAAATATTAACAGAAAACAAGAAGAGCAAGACCAGGTACGGTAAAAGAAACCACATCAAAGCAAGCAACCAAGAGATAATCACAGCAAATGTGCTGATATCTTTTTCAAGGACTACAAACCTAAGAATATCATGCCTGGAAATAAGAAAACCATCGCCAGTAAAAAAAAAAAAAAAGGGAAGACAGATAGACAAAAGTAAAAAGCATCAACGAGAAAAGCCCATAAAAGATGGTAGAAACTTACTGCCAATTTTTGGAGAAGAAACGATGACCAAACTAACCAAGCAGAAGTACCCATAAGGAGGGAAAGAGAAAGACAGAGAGAGAAGCGCGGGGATTGGCAGCTGCAAGAAGTGGTTAGATACCTGTACTGCTCAGTTATGAAACAGACAAAGTAAAAGGTCGCTGATGGTGAGACTCAAGGAAGGACTATCTAACCCTGATATTTACGCTATTTTTTGTTTTAAATTGTTGCTTTTTTTCTTTTTTTTTTCATTCTAATTACCAGTCATAGAATAAAAATTCTTCAAAGATAGGAATAAAAAAAGTGACTCATATTATCATCAGCATCTGTTACTCTTTGACTAAATGAAGACAGTATCCCTTGCAATCCAAGCTAAACCCATCTTTTTTCTTGTCTTGGAATTTCCATTACACTTTTTACAGTAAGAATAATAGCACCATCATGATTTCGGTAGCATGATTATTACAAGGGTTTATCCAATTACTACACTGATCAGATTAAACCTTGGACTAGCATCTTGTTTGGTGTTTTTTTTTTACATTGAATTAATGAAATGGGGCTGTAGCCGCACAACTGGCCCTGGTGAAGTGGCTGGTGCCTGGGGGTTTGTTGGGGTGTCTCTAGCAGCTTTCAAATGCAAACAAAGTCACTGAAAGTGATTTGCCTTTGGACAAATGTGAATAAATCCTTAGAAGAAAGAACCAACTCGTGTGCGAACAAATTGTGGAAAAGCAAAAATATGAATTTAACAAAGTGGACATCATCTTTGACAATATACATATCACCAAACAAAAATGCAAAGATTTTAAAGTTCTTCCAGAGGAGAGATATTCCTTGAAAACTTAAATTTGATAGCCCGCTAATAAATTAATCAATTGTTTTAAAAGAGGTGAAGTCATGAGGAAGTGAGGTTGGGTTTGCCTGCATGAGAGTCTTGGCGATGAAAACAAATAGTAGTATATAAAATAAATGAGGATTAATGCTCAGACGAGGCCTACTCTTCAATGTTCAAATCTGCATGGATAAAGAAGAAGCTTCCTCCTGCTGTGTGAATGTCGCGCACGCATGGTCTCCACTCTTCACTCTTCAGCGTATAGATGGCTCATATGTCCTGCTAACATGACCAGCACTACAACAAATTATGCCAATGATCATCACCATGGAAATATCTCAACCGTTTGATTATAATCACTAATAAATTCCACAAAAAATACTAAGTATTCAAACAACCTTCATCGTCAAGCTATTGGTTTGGCTTTAATGGTTCATGCTGTCGACAGTTTATGATGGAACGTCTAAACACACTTGGATTACCACCTATATTCATTTGTTATTACAAAAAAGGTAAATTTTACACTAACTTTCAATTAAAGAATTGATAGGATTTTTTTTTTTTTACATTTTATCCTCAATTAGCAGTTAGCAGAAGCCATCTTGAGAGAGATTAAAAGAAAGTGCAATGGGTCAAAAGATTCTCAAATGAGCATGGAATTGGGTCTACGTAGTTGTTGTTAGGCTACTGAGTTTTGTGCTTTCAAGCGACACTCAAAGCTCAATGATTGCTCCATGTCAAGAAAAAACAATTTCCAGTCACCTAGTATGAAAATTAGATTGTTTTTGCAAGCTGGTTTTTTAAATAACTTCACTATTCAAGTTTCCTCCACAGATTTTTTTTTCTTAGATTACTACTCTTGTGGATTGTTACAAGTCATTACTTCCCTAACTTGGAAACTAAAGTATTTTAGATATTTCCTGAATAATGTCTAATTGGTAGCTATCTTTGATTGATTTGCTATATTTATGGTCCCATCCCATTTAATTTCAATTAAATTATAAAGATAAGGCTTTGAAATTTTCACATGCAAGATCTGGAACATCATCTTCCAATTAATACGACTTTGACTTCATGCTAGCTATGAAGCCAATGCAGGTAAGATAAGAAGCACAATAACTTTTGGGATATGGGTTTAGCTTTAGTTCTGCTTTTAGCAGAGCACTACTCCAACATCTCACCCACGGCCATGGAATTATTGATGCTGCAGACAGTATTGCCAGCATGCGGCATAGAGTCGTTGGTTTATGTTATTGTAGATCCGACCCTGACAAATTTGACGAATCTATTCGGATAAATTATCCTTTACGAAGCACAAGAGAAGTTTTCACTTGCCTGCCTGAATATGAATAAGAATAATAATTTATATCCCCTTTTTCGATAGGCAAATAAAAATAGTTAAAAAACACCAAGTTTTGAATAAAATAATATTAAGTTCTCGTCTTGGATTTTTTTGCCAAAAAAAGGGGCAACTTTATAAACCTGTAGAAAGCTGATGAGTTCAAGTCTCAAACTTCGGCAAAATTTGCGTCAAGGCAAACTTTTTACATATGTCTGAACAAATATTGGTCAGGTAGTGGCTCCAACTCTCACAATTCTTAGACAATCCTGTTCAAGATCTAGTTACTCTCCTTACATCAAACTATGTTTGTGTCAGTAGCCTGAGTTTTAACTGCAAAAGTAGGAGAGGAGACAGTGGGTCAGAGAAATCTTGTAACAGGAAACCTTTGTTTTAGGCTGGGGCAACAGTAATGGCTCAGAATAAAACCATGATTGGAATCGTGCCATGCCAAAGCAGCCCATATTTTCTCTTGGGCTAAGAATTTTTGGCAACAACCTTTTTCCACTACAAACCCGACCCCATGCCACTAGGCCCATGTATAAACAAAACCAGACCAGTTAGGTCAGTTAATTACTACCATGTCTTTCTCATCAGGTTTTCAGATTCTGTATTCACATTCATCGAAAATCTATCAAGTACAACTAATAAAATAGCTATGTAAATAATTAACCTTATAGTATAAGAATTTGTCAACCATTTTTATAGTACATCTGATTCATTTTTTCTCTCGTCAGCCACACATTGAAGTTAGCCAATTAGGGACCTTGAATAACTACTATGTTGGTTTAACGTTCCAGTTACAGGCATTGGCAGTTGCAGGAACAGCTAGGTTTTATCCGATAATAAACAAACAAACCCCAAAAAAGAATACCAACAAAACCAACAGAAAAAGAAGGAGCAAGAAACGGGCAGCCTAAAAAATATCAGCTTAAATCACAAAATTATAAACCACTAATCCTGTCCTCTAAATGCCCCCGTCTTGCCCTTTTTTTATGCCAAAGAAGCTCACAACCATCCCGCAATTGTTCTATATCTTTCTCTTCCCCTCCTTTATCAGGAAGGGTAGAGCTTAGGCATTACAAAGCCTCTCTCTCTGTTACAACTTTTCTTTCACTTCAGAAAGTTAGCATTTTTTTTCCTTTTAACGTTCCCAAAATGGGTTGCAAGTTCTGGCTGATGTTCCTTCTCTTAGCCTTGGCAATGGTGGCAGAGTCCACCGTATTTGACGAGGCCAGCTGGGATCTCGACCATTTTGGCAACGATGACATAAATTCATGCATTGGCGGACACTGTAACGTTGAAGATGGAACCGAGACATTGATGGATTCCGAGATAACTCGTCGCCAACTTGCTCAGGGGAAAAGATACATTAGCTATGGAGCCCTTAAGGCCAACTCAATCCCATGCAACCGTCGTGGACAATCCTACTACAACTGTCAAAGCAGGAGAAAAGCTAACCCTTACAATCGTGGTTGCAGCGTCATCACGCATTGCTATAGGTTCACCAGTTGAAGAGAAAGTTTAACCAAGAGAGAGAATCAAACCCAACAAAAGAAAAAACGTTGCTGTGTTTCAAACCTTAATATATATTGAGCATCTTGAGTCATCGAGTTTGCAATATTTCCTCCTCTAAATCTCCTCCCTCTTCTTCTTAATTCTTTTCTTGTTTCAAACAAACAAAAAAGAAAAACTATCATTTGTATTTTGGCTTTGTTTTTTGTCACAAATATATGTTTTATATGTGTTAAAAGGTTGGTGCAAAAGAGGATCTAGTTGTTCTTGCTCTTGTAATTTTGCACTTCTCTTATCACTTTTAATATGTATTTTATGGAGGAAATAAAAAAGAAAGGCTAGAATATTGTATTATTATTAATATAATGAGACTGAGTTTGGTAGGTTTTTCTCGTTGCATGTCAATTGCTTATTGTTTGTTAAAACTATCCTGATTTTAAAAGGTAGTGTCTTCTGTTTCTGAAACAATTTGCCTTTTTTTTTCTTATAAAAATTTTCTCTTTTACTTTACTCTTCTTATTCTTACTAAAATAAAAGTAAAATCTTAGTACGAAATATATACAGAAAAGAAAACAAACACAAGAATAGCAGATCATATACGTCAGAAACACACGAGGCAGTGACCAGTCCTCGAATTTCGGTTCAACTTTGCGGCCAAACAAATCATCCAAACAAAATACAGACGTAAAAAATCTGAGGTGATGAAGGGTTTGGACTTTGATTAGTAATTCAGATTGTCTCAATCCCAATTGCCAAACAAACTTCTCAATCAAATTATGCTTTTTTGGTTTGATCCCATTACACTCACTTCTGTCCTTTTGTACACAATCCTTCTTTCTTGATGGAAAATCGAAAATATCCTTTCAAAGTTTTGATATTTGTGATGTTAAAGTTTTGTTAATTAGCCTGGTCTGTTTGTCAATTTCTTGACGTGTTAAATTAGAAATGGCAAAAATTGGATTGGTTTAATTCGAGTAATTTTGAGTTCGAACCGTTTCGAATTCGATATGATTTTGAGCTTAAATTAATCGATTTAAATTTGAGCTAATCAAATATCTAAAATATATCCAAATCAAAAATCTATTTTAATAAAATTTTAATAGTTGGTTATAAGAATTTTTTTATAATCTTTGATTTTTTATGGATTTAATAATTTTAAATACGAACACGATATGACACAAAATAATATAATAAAAAGTTTGAAAATAATATAATTTAATATTTTAGTAAAAATCATAAATATATTTAATAAAATTAAAATATATATTTTATATTTTTATATTAATATGAAATGTGACACATAATTTTTGAGTAAAATATGATACAAATATATAAATTATTAATATTTTAAACGATATAAATATATGAATTATCAGATCTAATTTTTTATTTTACCTATGATTTTGAAGTATAAAATGAAATATACCATCATCTCATTAATGCTTAAAATATCAAGTTCTAATAGTTGAAAATATTAGAAGCAAAGGAAAGCTCAAGGAAATGACAAATTGGTCCAAAACTTCAATTACACACAATAGCATAAATATTAATTATATCCAAAAGGATTGAATCAAATTTATGATAAGACGGATTAACTGATAATTGGGGGAAAAATAGGGTTCACCCTTTTGATAATGAAGGGAGAAGAAGAGGACTTGAGCTGTTAATTTGGTAATGGGTCTCATGGCAGTGCACATGGAAGTTTCAAATTGCCAATAAATGACCCACCAAACGCAGGCCTGCATACTCTACAAAACCAATACGTTTACACAAACAAACAAAGGAAGACAAAACAAAACAAAGGAGGGGACCGCAGATCATGTTTTCTGGCTTTCCCAAATTGATCACAGCTTTCTTTTTTTTTTTTTTTCCTTTCTTGCCTTTGATGAGTTAGGACCGTTTACAATAATTTTGATATATGAAACGTAAGTTTAATTGTACATCAGTTATCAAAAAATAAATTACGAAAGATATAAATATAAATAATAAAAAAATAATATAATGATTAAGTAATTAGATAAAAAAATGATTATTAATAAAAACAAATGATGTAAAAAAATTTAAATTACAATTTAATTTAATTCTGTTATTTGATTTTTCATGTCGACTCCTGAGATATAAAACTTTATTGTTGTTGTTCTGTTTCTTGCCTGTCATCATCACGAGTCCCGCTTCCCGTCCCACCTGCACTTTCTTATGTCTCCATTCACTACAGTTTGGTCTCTTTTGAGTCAAAAAGTAGGGACCTAAAACAATGTTTTAAGACTTTAAGTGCAAGATTCAAAGAAAGCAAAACTACCTTTGCATGATTGCTTTTACAACAATTCAAAGTTTTCTTGTATATATTAAAGAGTACCTTCTTACTCAGGCAACTAAAAAAATGGGTCATTGGCTCATTGCTTTCTCTTTCCTTCCACCCCTTCTTATCCAGGTGGGTCCCTGAATTCACTGTCCTAATAAAATACCCTTTGTGTGGCTGAAATGGTACCAAATTTGTCGTCAAGGCCACTAGATTTATAACTTTTTCTTTTTGAATATAGACCCCACCACCCACAGATATCAACAGACAACTCTAATGACCAAAAATCATAGGTAACTTTTAAAACTTTCAGGGTTGAAAGTTGCATCAGATGGCAAGATTGAATGGGACCCATTTCACATCCAATGGTGACAATTTTTCCCATAATGACCCATCATGGTGAAGTACCCACAAGGTCAAGAACTCCAGATACTAGACTAGAAATTGTTGCAGAGAGCTTAGACCACAGTTTGAGGAAGTTGAAAATAATATATATATATATATATATATACAGAAATGCCAGCCTCCCTTGGGCATCTTTTTTTCTCTCACGAAGGAAAAACAAAAACAAAAGTCAAGATAGATTCCTTGCCCATTTATCTACTCTTTCTTTGACAGCTAACCTCAAAGGTGCTTTTGCCATTTTTTGACACAAACAAAACTTTTCGAATTTCTTTCTCTCTCTCTCTCTCTTATAATTGCATCTCTGTTCATCTGCAGTTATAATGTTCGTTAATGTCTAAAAGCTATGGAACTTATTTGGATTCAAGTCTCCCACTCAGACTCACTTATCTTTTGCATTGAGTGATAGATAAAGGTTTACCAGAGGGAGTAAAAATCTAAAAATCACTGATTCTCCCATTCAATCCAATTCACAGCTGATATATATTAACTACTGTAATTGAACTCCTAATATGGCCAAGCTAAAATTAATTATTTTATGTTCTTATTTTTCTTAACTCAAATTTCGTAGCAACCAAACATAACAATGAAAAAAATCAAGTCAAACAAGCATAAACTTTTACAATTGAAGCAAAGATTTTTCTCATCATTCCTCTTCAAGTATCCAACATTACAAAGCTTGTCTCGTTATGCCACTTCCTTTCCCACTCCCCATCTTCAGTGCCCCAACACTATATAAAAATCTTACAACAACATCAAAAGAAGGGAAAAAAAAAGGAAACTAAAATGAGTTTTTTATTTCAAGAAGTAGAAGAACCTGAAACTCTAGGTGAAGTAACTGGAAAAAGTGGGAGAAGCCTAGGCTCCGAATCTCGTGGTGTAGATGCCGGTGATGGATGCAAATAAAAACCCTTCTCTTTAATTGCCTTCTCTTCAGCTTCCTTGTCTAGTTTCGCATTATTATTAAAGCAATTCGTGTAATTTCCAGGTACGGATCGGTCAAATGGGTCGGGTATCAAGGGAGTAACGGGGCTAAGAGCCAAAGAAGGGAAATCAAGAATGCTAGGGGAGAGTATTTCGGGTTTTCTGGGCGAAAACCCGGAACTGTTGGTGTTAAAAACCTGGTTCAAAGGGTTGATCTTGAGGTTCTTGAGAGAGCTCCTTCGCTCGTAAAGTCTAAACCCAGAATTTTGCTTGTTTTTTGGGATGGATTTGATTGGAGGGATGTGGGTCTTCGGATTCGGTTCGGATTGAGGAGACGTATATGGTTTGGTGGAAGAAGCAAGCTTGGCGGTCTCGGAGGATCCTGTGAGCATCTGGACGACTTGCTTGAAAGAAGAAGTGTCGGCTTGGACGAAAGTTGTAGGGTAAGGGTTAGCAGACTCGGATCTGGTGATGGGCTGTTGAGGCGGCGGAGTTGGCGGCGATGCGTTAGAATTGTTGCTGCTGCTTGTGCTGCTGGTGCTGCTGTTGGGACTGTGGCTTTTGGGAGAAGAAAGGAAATTCTGGTTCAGGCTTGGCCTTGGAGAGGCTTCCATTTACAATTTTTTTTTTATTTTTTTGATATTTTGATGAGGCTTTGATCCTTCGCAGGAAGGAAAGGAGTCAAAGAAAAAAGGAAATGGAGAAGGAAAGAGGGGAGAAATTGAGGAGATTAGATATCATGTGAAGAAGGAGAGAGTTTTTGGTACTTCAGTTTCGGCTTGGTAAGACATGTTGTGGTGGGGACTTTGGGATCTTTTTAGTTGTGTCTAAATCCCATTCCCTCATTTATGGCTGTGGTAAACACGCGCTTCTTCATTAAATCTTGAAATATTAACCAAGAGCCTCATATGATCAGAAAATATTGATGAACATATGATCTATCTTAAATATGGAGAATAATCTTTCACTTTTTATAAATAAATATGAATTTAATTGAATTATTTACATTGAAAGGAATATTTATACTATTCTAAACATCAAATAAATTTATTCATAAGCTTGATATTTTATTGATGAATGTCTTGAGACATTTGTTATTATGTTCACTAATTTAATAAAAATTTTATCATTAAATGTGCATGATCTAATCAAAATTTGATTTATCACTTAAATTTCTCTCAAGTAATATCCAATAATAAATCCAAAAAAATAATTATTACTTATGTTTGGACGTTCCAAAGTTAAGCTAAATGTATTACAATATCAAGTAAAATCCCTAATTAATTAAAATTTTAACCAATAATAATGGATTTGTTCAATTGAAATTAGCTTTAGTTTTATCAAAATTTATCGGTTGAACTGAAACACACGCGATAAAATCGAGAGTGGGGATAGAATATTAAGGAAGTCCAAGTGGTAAGATGCGATTGGTCATGTGTGGAATTTCAGACAAAATGGGTGGGACCAGAAAAGACGGAAAATCGTCAATAAAAGTTTGAGTATTAGGGAATTGACCTGCACGACCCTTAAGTATGATTACGGGAAGATCGTATCATATCATATCAAAGAATCACCACTGAGGCTGGCTGTCATTTAATTTAGTATTTATTTTTTATTATTGCCATGCAATAGTACTATATTTATTTATTTATTTATTTATTAAAGGTATTTTTACAATAATTGAATTTTCAATCAATAATGTTATAACCTTCAATCTATGATTTGATTTGATATAGCATTATCTAAAATGTAATAAAAATCATTAATTTCAAATGGTGTATATATATATATATATTTTTTTTTTTTTAAGTGAGAGAGAGTCTTGTGACAAGGAGAAAGAGGTGAGGTTGGGTTCGAAGCTTAGTCTTATACTTTTTTAAAGCTTGCTTGACCTAATTCAAGCAGCTGAAGATAACGGTGAAATACTTTAATTCATTTGTAAAAGGAGTTTGAGAATGAAAACAAAAAGTTTTTTATAGTATTTTGGTGTTTGTTTTAAGTAGTTTATTTACATGGAAGGTAGGGGAGAATGGAGATATTTATCCTTAATTGCTTCTTTTGGATCACCAAGCTTGGATTTAAACAATGCTCAGAATTTGTATATTTATATTATATTTTATATAAAATTTATCTTATTTTTTTAATATAATTTTTAAATCATGTTATTACTTATGTTTTAAATGAAATTTTTTTTTGCAAAATTTCAATCATTAACAAAAGCGAATTAGAAAAGGAAAATGGGTTTCTCTCAAATTCTTTTTTTTTCTTCAACCAATTGCAACTGCATTGTTATTGATCATACAAAAAAACAAAGAGAAAACCACAAAAGATTAAAAGGGTGAAAACTGGAAAAAAAAAAAAAAAAAGGCTTCCACCAATTCATGGAGATGGAGAGTATATATATATGCACACACACCCAAAGATGATCCCACAAAGTTCGACTCGTTGATGCCCGCATTGAAGTTGATACTTATTGCCAGTATCCTAAGCTGCACTGAAAATTTAAAAATATTAAAAAAAAAGGTGAAAATGAGAGATGAAAGTAAGCAAGTGCTGTAAAAAGGAGCAGACCGAGAAGGAAAGGGACCACATTCAGCCATTTCCATTCCCACATTGGGGAGAGGAGAGGAGAAAAAAATATATTTTTTTCTGGAGCTTTTAAGCTGCTCCTTTCATGGAAGAGACACCATTTATGAGATTGGAAAATGGAAGATGTAAACAACTTGGCACGTTTATAAAAATTGCAATCTTGATGTATTTGACGTAAGGACACCCCTTCTCCTATCACTAGACATTTGAAATTGTTATTGATTATTACAATTACGAATTAAATACTCTATTAACAGATCGCGTTATTGTTTACCTTTCACTTACTTTAATTTAGTTGGAGATATATTAAATAAAAGGCTGCTAAATGAGTTTTACTGTTTTAAGCATGAAAATAATTTTCTCAATGAGTTTTAGAGTGAATCAGGATCACTATAAAACATGGATTTTTAAGATGGGTTGCGCAGGTACAGAGGAAAACTACCAAAGATGGAGGTTGGTTTGACGACATAAAATTGGGTTTTGAGGGCTTGGTGTGCTGACCCATTTCATTTTAAATAATAGCGACTTTGATTTTTTCACTTCCGTTTTGGTATTTGATTTAGATTTTTTTCAACTTTGGCAAAGGTGACATAGAACCACCACCTTCCATCCAGCTGATATTTAAACATACTTTTCATAAATATATGGTTTCCTTATCCAATTTAGTATATAAAAAAAGTCCAAACATTGAGATCGCTGCACGTATTCTTCAATTGTTTTCAATAGGCCCAAAAATGGGAAAGCAAAGGCGTAGACAAGCAAATTTATAGGTCAATCCAGGCCTAATAACCATACTGATGGAGCTGGAAAATAAAGAAGGCCCAACTATCCCTGATTCTTGACAGGTTTCTTCCAACCACCGATTATGTTTGGAAAATGATAGGATGAAAACGTTGTTTTTGCATATGGTGTAACTAGATGCTGTATGCTCCGGTGGCATGATTAATTTGACTGATGACATTGATGGTCCAAATTAATCCAAACTGGCCCCTCTTGATTTCAAATATGAATATGACATGACAGGAAGCAACACCCAAGTAGCAAATGATGCTACAAAAAATGGAAACTGAAAGGAGAATTTGGTACAAAATTAATGAGGTCCATGGCATGGGTTTGTCTACTGAATTTGACTTGAAGTCAAGTAAAACTATAGAAGGCTTGCTGATGCTGATCAGCACTTGAGTTCAAGTTGAGTTTAATGGGCTTTTCTGAACCTAATTTTGCCAGTGAATCTGACACTTGGTTGCTGTCCCATTACTCCCCCTAAAAACATAATTCAGCCTTTTTCACATGGATTCAATGATCTGCAATCTTCATTCATCAATCAAGGGTGTTAAAGGGGTCACATGGATTTGAATATGTATTAGCATAGTTCCAAAGAATAGCAATATATGCAATCAAGTTGTGCAATTTCATACTATATGACATCACCATGACTTTCAAGCAAATAAAAGTTCCCTTTAGTTTTCTGTAAATAGAAGTTTAACCAGTTCCCCCTCCTTCCCCCTGAAACAGCGACAAATTGGAGCAGGAGCTTTTGCTGCTGGCCTCGATAGAACCGGGACTGAATTCTAGGTTTCCCACAAACATCCAGGCACCAACGCCATTAGCTGAATCTTAGGTTCCTCACGATCCTTTCTAAGATGCTATTGAGATCCTGTCTAAAATCTTGCAAACTGAGTTGCCTTTCATCAGTAAAAAAAATGGAAAAGGAGAGTTTCTTCTAAATTCATACGACCCTGATACGATGTTGCTGTAATTTTCACTTCGCGTAATAGAAAGCAACAACATGGGGTAACTTTTAATAATATTTCTTGTCAAGCGAGAGTACAATTGGACTGTCAGATGACAGCTAAGATTTGCAATCAATTTGAATTGGCCGAAAGAAGATCAAAGGAATAACAAAGGGCCACCTCTCATTATGTGTACGAGTATTTTCATACTTTTCAAGAAAAAAGAAGATTATAATTTATATCCTTTAAAAAGTTGTCTGCCACGAGGAAGACCGCATACACTCCTCCCCATGATCAGTACCCATATTTTTCTTTGTCCTGGTTTTCTCCTCGGGACATCAAGAAAAAGTTTGAATAATTGTTAGATGTAAAAATGAGTAGCAGACGTTAAAAGGCAATTGGTTTGATTATTCTTCACTAATCTATTACCATATATATTGTCACCCAAAGCAACACACTGAACAAAATGCCATTACAACAAGCTAGGGAACTTTCAAATAGTGGTCACACATAAGATAACAATGGAAAAGAAGCAAACGAGTGAGAGCTCAACAGTGGGATTCTAGTAACATTTGGGTTCGAAAGCCAATGGCCCAACGGTGTAGAGAATAAATGGGAGCTTGTTTGCAATAAATGGCTTCTCTGGCCTCAATGTGGCGCCCTTCAATCCACCGTGGAGATTGGATGGCTTGCTGCAGGAAGCCAATGGTGATGATACGAGGGATACCGTGCATTTGTGGGCTCCAAAGCTGGTGACGGTCTTTGGTGCTTGCAGGAAGAAATAGCCGTTCTTGTCAGTTTTGGCTTGGACCACAAGCTTGTATTTGGTGTTCTTGCATGTTAGCTTTACAGTGGCACCTGCGAAAAAAATGACAAAGTGCTCAGTGATTCAGTATTTGAATATTGGTCCAATTTACCTGTTCAATGAGTAAAACATAGGGTGCCATAATAATGCATGCCAGTCATTGATGTTGCATACAACTGGAAGCACGAGCTCTGTTTGAAAAAAATGGAAAAGTTTGCTGCTTGAACCCATAAAACGCCAAGCTGTCGATGTCACTCATACTTGGGAGTTGTAACCAAGAGACAATCTTCTCTCTCTCTCTCACTCACTCAAAATTCAAAAGGCATATGTACATGCAAAAATAATTATATTTTATATATGTATGCATTTGGTTCTAACATTGTTTACATATATGCCACAAGAGATGTACATGCACGCGTAAATCAAAATGATTATACCATTAAAAAAAGAAAAAAAGACTATGGCTAATGATTCTCATTAATGGAAATAGATCAAAACCCTCAAGGTAACCATCAAACATTTCACTAAAAGTTCTTTGTTTAGTGAAACAAGATTAAGTGTAAACCAATTTGTTTTAGATGAAAAATTTTGCTTAGGTTATTTTTTTTTGCAGTCTCAAGTTAGGTTTGAACTGACCAAATATTGGTTTAGCTCCCAAGAGGGTGTCGACTCCGGCGTACTTGCATGACTTGCAGAAAACAACGCCCTGAACTGCAACAAAGCTCCTTGAAGGCTTTGGGTAACTTGGTGGCTTAGCCGGAGGATGCGATGGTGGGTAAGTTGGTGGGTGCACTGGTGGCTTAGCCGGGGGATGAGTTGGTGGCTTAGTTGGAGGATGAACTGGTGGCTTGGGTGGAGGGTGAACTGGAGGCTTGGGTGGTGGATGAACTGGTGCAAGAGTCGGGGCTTTATGTGGGGGGTAAACAGGTGGATGGATTGGAGGTTTAGTGGGTGAGGGGGTGGGTGGATGATGGTGGGGGTGAGGGTGAGGGTGGTGGTGGTGATGGTGGCTTCTTGGTGGGTGACTAGGTGCCACTACAGGTGAAACTCCATGGTAATGAGGAGGCAAAGCCTCGGGCAAAATTTGAGCAGACACCATGAAACTGCTCACTAAGAGCAGTGAAAGCTGCAGGAGCCAACTAGCTTTAGCTGCTGTTGCAAACCCCATATTTTTTCTAAGCTATAGAGACAAGAAAAAGATGGTGAAGTTGGGCTGCTCAAAGGAGGGAATTTATGGGGGTTAACCCGTGATTGTCTGCGCTTTTTATTGATGCGCATTTTATTGATGAAAAACCTTGTTTTATAATGGGTTGGGCCGTGGGGTTTGGTCAAGTGGTGCACAACTTCTTCACATGCAGAGAGGGGTAGAGATTTGAACTTAAGAAATTGTACTAAAAAACCAATGGAATTTTGCCAAATGTAGGAGTTTCCAAGCACTTTTTTTAATTAGAAATTTATTCATTAATTAAACATGGAGTAGCTAAAATGATGAACTTTAGTCTTTGGTTTGGATTCCATGAAATGGGAAAAAGGTTTGAACATGGAAGGAAGAGAAAGTGAGGGTAAATGTTAGGAATCCAAACATTGTAGGTTCCAAGGATTTTGATGATTTTAGCCTATCAACATCAAGAAACTCTTGTGAGGATAAAAATAGACGAGGAGATGCAAACAAAGCTTTGGCCCCATGCCTTCCCCAAAGGCCTTTATTCCCCCAAATCAGCCAATATAAAAAACAGAAAAGCATCAACTTTTTTTCTTTTCCCTTTTATTTATTTTTTAAATCTAGGATAGATAAGATCAAAATTAAATATCATACTCACTAATTTTAAAAAAATAATTATAAATTATATATTTGATATAATCTAAATAAAAATTTATTTATTAAATTCAAATAAAATATCATTTATATTGAAAAAAAAAGGTTCCTAGGAGTAAACCTTTTACAAGTTTTTTTTCCCTCTTTTGAGTCATGAGGTTGATTGCATTATCTCCTATCAAACTGCATTCTCCGTATAAAAATATTTGGCCCTGTTAAACAAGAATCAAATCATGTAGGATCGATAATTTAACCCATTATCGACGGATTTTAACCTGACTCAATTTTATGGGATCGATTTTTTTTTTCGAAATTTGAGTTTCGGATTGAGTCAGGTTGAGTAAGATTATAAAACAATCTGAATTGGGTTGGGTTCAGATTTTAAGCAAATTCAACCCGATATTGTATAAAAAATTATTTTTTAATTAATTATTTAATTTTTTTTATTTATATATATTTATATAGTGATATTTTTAAATATTTATATTTAAAAAATAATATTTTATATTTTAAAAAATAATATTTTATTAATTTCGAGTTGGATCGGATACTACTTATATAATATCAAGTCGAGACTAGGTTCGGGTATAGAAAAAACAAAAAAAATTTGAGTAAGATCGAGTTCAAATTTGATAATATATAAAATTAAGTCGAGTTTAAGACGAGCAAAACTCACCCGAACCCAATCCAATACCAACTCTAATCATGCCTCAATCTCACCTCTTCCTCCAATTCCCTATTGCTCAGTTAAAACATAAAATTAATTATTTTAAGTGTATTATTTTTGGCAAACTTAACACTGCTTACAAGGTCTTTAAGACATTGAAGAATGAGGTTGATTGTGTCAATGCTTGACTACGCAAAGACAATTGAGATATGTTATAATGCCAGAAAAATAGTAATTACCCAAATTTCAAATGAATTTAAAAAAAAAAGGGTTTAGAGACAAAGCTTCTTTTATTATACCCTTTTACATGTAACTTTTTTTTTTACAAAAAAACTTTAATTTAAAGATAAAAAAATAATTACAAAAGTTAAAATTTAAATCATATATCTATTGGATGTTACTTCTTAATAAATAAGTTAAGGCTAAATTTTTATTTTCCATGTAATTTACCGAAAGATTAAGTGGATAAATAACATGTTAATTACTTCAATTGCAAAATGCACAAGTCATCTTATCATTTGAGTTATCTAAACTCGAAATTTGACCCCCAAGAGCCTATAAGTTAATTTTTTTAATGGACTCAAATTCTTGGATCAAACAATAATCAACTTGCCAATGGAGTGAAAGCAAGCTGGTTGTATTAGTTACAACTTACAGAAGGAACAATATAGTAGACACATATACTTGCTTGGAGAAATTGTATTTGCATGATACACTATAATTTTATGGGCCATCATCAAATTACAAATTATCAAATTATTGATTACATTAAAAAACTATAGTTCATTAATATTGTATAGATTCATATAGGACTTATTTTGGGTTCTTGTTTTGGGGCTTTGAGCAAATTAATTGGTCTTTGATTTGACCTCTCTCAATCCCATTCCCACAAACCTATGAAACTATAACTATAATGCTTCATCAAAGTATTTCTGATAATTACAATTTCTGTTTGATTTGAGAAATTCACAGTTTCATTCTTTGACTAAAATTGGTGTGGCACATGATCTCCACACCCCCCCCCCCCCCCCGGGTTCAAGCCAAGAGCAAATAGGCCAGGGTCAACAATCATTGCTTAGTACATTCCTCGGCATATATTTTGAAAAGAGTTTTAGAAAAAGTGCCACAGGCACAGTATTCAATAAGTTTATGAATCATTACCAACCCTGAATCACCCCCATAAGTTATCTGACTAATTGATTGTATTATTCTTCACACAGATTTACGCATGGTAAATTCAGGGTCTAGATAGAAAAATCTTGAGATTGATGGACATGGACTGTGTGGAAACTTGCATAACTAGTGAAGGTGGGAGATTGCTTTGGTCCAGAGGCTTTTCTTCCCCCTCTTTTTTTTCCCTTGTTATGGGTTTTTTGGCCAATTTTCCCTTCTTATTGTCGGTTCAAGGGAAATGCAGACAACACCAATCTCTTAGTTCTTCTAACTTGTAAAGTTTCAAAACGACGAAGGTTTCAACACCGGTTTAAAGCAAACGTTGTTTCATGACAAGGGAAACACTTGCGAGAAAAAGTTGTGCCATAGAAGGAAAAGGAAAACAGGGAGAACCTTACCCATTATATATCTAGCCGCTGCATGCTACTCTAAACGTTTAACTTGTAAATTGGATAAAATAAACATTTTAATGAGTACTTATATGAGACTAAAATTTTGGATCGGCCATTTTTCAAAGGATTTGGGCCCATATTTCTGCACATTGAATTTCTTCCCTTGACGGGAGATCTGCCGACTACAGGGTCTAGTAGAACTTCTGGACCATAATATAGGAAAGAAACCCAAAATCATATCATAGCATATCCTTCAGACCAAAAATAGCAATTAACATACGTGAAGTAAAAATAACATTTCAAAATATAACTCCAGATGAAAATGGTTTCTGAAGAAGAAAAACATTATAACCTCAATAACACATTCCCAGACTCGCATGAAACCATCAGAGAATGCTTAATAATTCGGTTCACTCAGTTTCAGCAGACAAAGTTATAAATGCTCTTATAAAATCTCTCCGCACATATTGCTAAGTCAGCTCGCAGATCAAAAAATGAAAGAAAAATGCTTTGTGACTCATCTTTGGGCTTTAAGCCTTGTCTTGTTGAGACAACAGCATCTCCTGGATCGTAGTTCTCCATAAATACCACAATTTTGATATACAATCACCAATATGCTGTAGCAATCAACATTGAAACATCAGACGAGCTCAATATAGCATGCAATCAAGCAAAAGCATCCACGCAACATAAGAAAAGAAGTATGCCAATGAAGAAATGATCCAGAAAGTTAATGACTGCTTCAGCAAATAGAGCAACTCATATAATTCTTATTGAAATTTGTATGCCATACAAGGTCTTTGTCAACAGGCCAACAAATCAAACTTTTTCCAATCATCTTCCAGTCTAAAGTCTAAAGTCTAAACCTATAACCCCAGATGAAAAAAAAATTAAAAGGCTTCCAAGTTGAATAAAAAGTTCTTAATAAAATGGCTAAACAACCATCACCTCCTTACTTTTCTCCAATTATGAGCAGTAGGAAAATAGATATAAAATTTGACCATCATTCAGGCAGATTATGATAGAATGATAAACCAAGTAATCATTCACAGAATTTGCCTAACTCAATATTTCAGATAATTCTCCATTAAAAAAGAAAAAGAAATTATAAATGTTTGTGCAGAACTCACATAACAATATTTGACAGATACTATACTAACCTTTGGTAGGTTGTCAACATGTGAGAAGGTATGCAAAGAATTGAATCATACAAGTAGAAACATGGCAAGTACTATTTACTAATATCATAGCGTGAGAGACTTTAAGATATATCACACAATATAATGCATAGGAAAATATAAAGAAATAGCCCAAACAACCATTACCATTAAGCTTGAGCCTCGATCTCTTTATCCTCAACATCATTTGCAGTGCCACTTGCTTCCCCACCTTCAGCATCCTCAGTTGGAGGCTGAACCTGTTCCTCTTCTGGTAATGGTTCCTCCACATAATCATTCTCGAAAGCATCAGCTGGAACCTCATAAATCCTCACTTGAGGCTTAGATGGATCCTTCACAAGCACATATTTCCCCTCATTCAACTTCATACACAAGTCCACAATAGACTTCACAATCCCCCACATATTTGCAGTATTCAGATTAATTTGCGCAGCAAAATCCCTTGGTTTATACCCAACAACAGCCAATATAACATGGTTGAAATGATCCCTAGGATGCACCCTCGAAACATATCCCAATTTCATCAAATCAGCACTGGCTAAAAGCGCTTGAGCAGTCCATTTAGCCAACTTATTTGCATTATTCTTCAATTCCGTAGCCAAAACCGCACCCCTCTGCGTTTCCAACTTCTGCCTCCAATCAACACCAGAATACTTGGGATCAAACTCGTTAAGTGCATTCAAAGTAAGGAAAGACTTCTGCTTATTGACCTCAACAACACTCTGAACCTCGCACCGAGCAACCAAATACACATCATTGTCAAGCTTCCACCTTCTATACCTATAGGCCACAGAAGCGACCTCATCACCCTCATTGGCAAAGGGGTTTGGCTCATCAAAACTCACCTTATTCCCATCCCTAACCAAAACCTGCTGTGAAAAATTCTGATTTATATAAGCTGCTTCAACACTCAATGAATACGCAGAGTTAATATCATCCTTAGCTTCAGGCAATGGCTCCTGAGAAGTTTCGTGGACTGACAACAAATCTAATTGCGACCCATCTCTTTTATCGAAAAATAACTTATTCCCAACACGTTGAATAACAATATCCCACGAATAAACTGACCTGGGTACACACATTAACGTTGCCAGAATCGCATCAGTCGCAAAAACGGTTGCTTTATCCTCATTGGCCAATCTTCGGATAACCGGATCGTCAGTTGTGGTGACTTTAAAGAAGTTTCGGTTTTTGAACCTCTCGAGTCTCCGTTCGTTCTTCGGGGTGATTCGATCAAAGGACCGATCATAATACTCTAAAGCGCCACAGAGGAGTAAATCTTCGGGTTCAGGAACAGAAAAGGATAACTTGGAGAACGTTGAGAAAGGGATTTGATCGAGCATGTTCCATTCTGGTTGGATATCGACGGAAGATTTCAAAATTGCCGCTTCACGACGTGACTGATTCTGATTGGACCGGTTGAGATTATAAAGACGGTCACGGCGGGCCCGTTCTTTCTCAGCCTCTCTTTTACGGGCCTCGACTTCTTCGTCTCGTCGCTGAGGGAGTTGAGGTCGGTGTTGGTTGAAACGCCACTTAGGGCCGAATTTAGGCCGAGGGGGAGGCTTGGCGTCGACTAAACGGAAGGAGGAATCATCGTCAGCGTTAGCGAGAGGGAAGGCGTCGAGGTCGAGAGAGAAATCAAAGGGCGTGTCAGAGGAATTGGCTGCACCAGGTTTTGCGGAGGAAGGGCGGTTGGATGGGTTGGCGTTTGAGGAAGGGAAAGAGCGGGTGAAGTCGGCGATTCGGCCGAGCTTGTCGGAGCGGGAGAAGGGGGCGTAAGGAACGTGGAGAGGGAGGGTGGTAGTGGTGGTTGGTGTGGTGGCGGTGGTGGATTCGGGTGGACCCCAGCCATCTGGATTAAACGGAACTGCGCCGACTTCAAAAACTCCTACCATTATCGATGGATCTCTGGATTTTGGTTGCAGCGATGTACGACAATTGAATAGACTATAGAGGGAGCGCTTCGTGAAGGAGTAAACCCTAGACTGAAAAGAGAAGTTCATACTATGTTAAATGACGGGTTTATCCTCGATGCTTGGGCATCCAATTTTGGTCCGTCTGCTGGAAACACTGGGCCTTTTTGGGATCTTTTCTTGAGCCCATGAATCCTACTTGGGCCTAATCAAAGGTATATTGGGCCTTTCATTCATCTTTCAACGTCCAAGACCGACAAAATTAGGACATTTCCTCCCATTTTAAGCCGGGACTTGGGGTTTTTATCGATTTGAATCGCAATAACGCATGATAAGAGAGGGACAAGACAAGTTTTGGACACCCCAATTATCACCATCCTTGTCAAATTAATGCGATTAATGTCTGAGACACGACACAGAACCAAAGATGTTTTGATTTCAGGATTCCACTTGGTTCCATACTCTTTTAATTTTCATCATAGTTTTATAGATATTTTTCCGCCTGTCTGAACCTAATAATTTCCTCTCATTTTAACCATGGCTTAAGGGTACTTGTGCACGGCAAATATCAACATCAAACATCTCAATAAGGTAGGGTCTGAAGTGAAGGACGAGTGCTTTCGGTGTAATGTAGGCTTCAAAGCAATAATACTAATCAGTTCTGTTGGGGAAAATTCAAGAGTTTAAGGAGTTTGAGGGAAGAAAGCCTGTTCTATCTGATATTTCATTCACTGTTCCCCATTATTAATGCTGTTAATCATGAAAATGAATGACATACCATATAAATCACTAAAGGAGAAAGAGTACTATACATGTGTGGTGTGTTATATTTGATGTTTTATATCTTGCAAGCTAAGACTTTTTATTATTATTATTATTATTATTTTATAGAAGTCGTGATTTGAGATAAGAAGAGATTATAGATATTGAAATTTAAATATTAAATTTATTAAAATTTATTTTTTAAAAAGATAAATATTATTTGATATATTTTCCTCCCAAAAATTAGGTGGGGACTGAAATGGGAAAGAGTGGGATATGTCCACTTTTTTGGCATATTCCGAAAAAAAAAAAAAACCAGTAAAACAACATGGAAAACACATTTCCTCTCCTTTCTTATCCTTATCATCTATAAATTCTCCACTTGTCCCCATATTTGCCTTTGATCTAATGATTTTTACCATGGCTGAGTGTGTGATGCATGATCAAGAAAAATTGCATACGTCATTCATTTTTCGTCAGAGCACTACAGCTTAACAAAGGAATTCCTTTAATAATTCCAACCTGCTAAAAGCCTTCTCTCTTTTATATATATATATATAACCAAAGACTTCCAAAATTGACTTCTCATCCAATGTTCCTAGTATTAATTATTTTAGTAGCAATAATTTCTACACACAGCAAAGGAAGTTTCGCAGAAAAATGATCTGTCTCTCTATATATGATGCTTTTCTAATGCTTTTCTAATGGGGGAAAGCTTTACTTTATTAGCTCTATGTCTTCAAATTTGAACCCTTTTTTGTATATTGACTATAGCCATAGATGTTGCCAAAAATCTCATCAGAGTCAAATATTGCGATTCCATCAGTTCAAACCAGCTATGGTGTGTTTTTTCTTGTTGCTTTGACAGGCACTTTACAAAGTGATGCAAATGCAATCATATTCATACGGTAAGCAACACCATGGTCTTACATATACTCTCACACACGACAGATTCTAAACATATATAGAATCATTGAAGAGAAAACAAATGTGCAAAAAAAGGATATTAAATAAAAAATAAATGTATAGAAACTAGGTAAAACATTCTAATATTTTGAAATGGGAATTTATAAAAGAAACACAACAATGGACATTAATTCATAAGATATTTATATGTAAATAAAAGTTATAGGTAACCTGATCGAAAACTAATTAACATTACCATCATTTCTAGGCTATAGCAAGAGGTTTTCATATAACATACACCTTTTTTTTTGGGGGGGGGTATGTGAGGATGTTAAGATTTAAACTTCAATCTAACATTCTATGAATGGACCATGCGATTGTTAGCCTTTAACTAGAATTTTAAATGTTGCTTAATCCTAGTTTAACGAGGTTCTAATGGTAGTTTGCTTCTTGCATAAGAGAGGCGATTTGAAGGGCAATATGAATAAAAGAACTTGGGAATTGGAAACATCATAATTCATAACAATATAGATCTGGTTGCCAAGCAGCATTATTCCATGAAATGCTAATAAGCAAGCGGCGATGGCGCCCCATGTTCCATCACTGCTTGAGAGGCTTCTGAAAAGCTTTTTACAAACAATATTCAAACAGAGGATAGAGTGATTCAGATTATTTACTCCATTACAGCAGCTATCACTTGTCATATGTATCAGCATCATGGACAAACTTCTTTAGTCTATCAGATATCCTGGCCACTCCATAAATATCTGGTGCAGACTCCCCAACCTACACAATTTTATTTAAGCCAAGAATTTCTAATTAAACAAATCTTTAAAATATTAAAAGATTCCTCAAATTTACTATTCCTCACACCACAGGGAAAAAGGTAATGAACTTAGTGAAATCATAGCATGCCTACCGTAAGATGTATGGTATGGAAAACAGTATCATCAACAACAGAGAAACTGGCATTAACAATCTCGGCTCCTTCTTCATGAAGAATTCGAATTATCTCATTGAAAATGAACTGACGATTGGAGGCAGTTGTTAACCCAATCTCCAAAGAAGAACCCATTTCATGAATTTGGATTTGAGGAGATTTTGGCCTGCTACTGCTCCTGCTTGTTTTATTCGTCGACCTTTCTACTCTCATTAAGCTGTCTTTCCTTTCCTTCAATCTTTCTAAGTTTATCTGTAACCCTTTTATGTAATTTGCAGCTACATCTAGTTGATCAGGCAGTGATGTTGGTTCCTGCAAAACTCCATCCATCATGCAATGCGATAAAGAATGAAAATAATCGAGATTTAGCAAAATATTAATTTTTTTCACATTTTGGAGTGAGTGAGTATGTGAAAAAAGGGAGAGAAAAGAGATAAACCCTAGAGCTTGTATGGGGTATGAGAGAATTGAGCTTGGAATAGAGAGCTTTCATTTGATTTCTCCTGTTTCTCTCAATGAGTTTTCTGTCTGTTCTTGAGGAAGAATTAGGGTTGCTCTCCATGGAAAGTACTTCTTCAGCGGTAGCAAAACTGGCAAAAGAAGTGGCATTGCCCAATAGGATTAAAGTGCTTAAAGGTTCCCTTATCAGAAATGAAAGCCAAAGGCAAAAAAGCAAAATAAATACTATCATGAGATGCCAGAGAAAAAAGTTCGCTAACATGAACGTATGGTGGGGTTTGCTTTAGGGCTAAATGGACAGTCATTGACCGTTTTGATTCTTGTGAAAATCATATATTTACAAAAGCTACTGTTTCAATTTCGGCTTTAACCATACAGCACATGCCAATAAAAAAATTTTAACTTTCATGTTTTCAATTCAATTTTTAATTGAATCATTTTCACACACATATAGATAAACATAATTTGACTCTTTGGAATTAGATGGCCAAATCGAATTTATCACAATACATATGAATGAGATCTTAATTATATATGTAATCTTCCAATAAGGCTAGTATACCTTCCCCTTTCCAAGAGAATGACGATGATATCAGCATAATCAGGTAGAAAGTTTGGCTGCATTTCCTTTGATTTCGAATCCTACGTACTAATTTGATTTGACCAACAGCAGGAAACGTGCTTGCAAGCTAACCCTCGACTTATAGGATCATAATCACCTGCTTAATTAATGGTTTATTTATAATCCTTAATAATCTTATCTAAAATAGTAATGGATTGGTGAGTTTATGATTCAAATTTGTTTTCATTTTTATAATGGCCTACTACAAATAAAAAAAAAAAAAACTTGATTTTCATTGATTATATATTTCAACAATCAATATGTATTTTCCTATAATATTTATTGGAAATGAACTTTGCACTTTTACATACATACCCTGACCTTGTGGGACTGTAACAGCAAAGAATTGCAGAAAATGTCAAGAGCACTATCTATATCAGAAACAGTGAGATAAAGAAAACATGGCAAAAGTAGTAGAATTTGGGGGCTTATTGCCCAAGCCAGTATTGTATCTCACGAAACAGAAAATTTGGATAATGAGAAGTCTCATTGCCACCAACTTGGAGATTTATGGTCCAGATTTAGGAGGAAAAAGATCATCTATCCGTTTGTAAACTAAAAAATCTTGCTTTGGGATTTTCATTTTCTTGGCCTCTCTGATGCTTTATTATGTCAGAGAGGGGACTGTGTGCCAAACCAAGGATAGATTCTTATTCGTTGCTTACTTTTTTTTTTCCTCAAGTATGCAATTTTTATCAAACGATTTAGAATTATCTTAGAAGTAGTTGACAATATAATTTGAATTAACTTTTTTTATCTAATTTTATGAATTTAAATAAAAAAAAGTTACACATTGTGTAATACATTTAATTTTGCCTTAAATGGTGTTTACTTAATTATGTATTAATTAAAAGTTTTCTTAAAGATCATAACAACCTATTGTCATTTCATTTCATGTCTTAATTATCAAAGTGAACATGATGGAAATTGTTGTTGAGGCTTTTTTTAGGTAAAAAATGTGAAAAAAAAAAATTTAAGCTCGAAAATATTAACACCTAAATAACACAACAAAATATTGCATGTGATCAATGTTATTAACTTTCTTTAATAATCGATCTGATGTGAGCAAGCTTGCTTCCAGAGGAGTTTTGTTTCATCCTCTTGTTGTTCAAGCACAATGGTATAATTAAATAGATTGTGATCTTATCTTATCTATCGTTTTATATTCCAAATATGACCTACCTATGATTAGAAGAGGAAACATATCAAGGAGTGAACATTTGATAATTGTTCACTATCCAAAAAGGATTAATTGACAATGGAGAAACATGGTTGTCGGGTTTTATTGTTCAATTGGGGGAGTTGTTGTCCTAGCTAGCAAGACAGGAAAAAAAGGATTGCCGGCTCTTATGCACTTTTCCTGGAGCCAATTTCAGTTTCAAGGACCAAAACAATCCCAGTGGATGAGAATTGATGATGAAAACTGAAATCTAATTGATGTTGAAAAGCAACAATGGAGGACCCTTGTTTTTTTGTGCATCCACAAACCATTACTTGTGGTGACTTTGGTCACCTTGCTTTCTACATATTGACTTGGATTTAATTTCCGAAGGAAATTGATGGGAAAATATTATGTATCTTTTCCTCTAACCCCATGAAAGCTTTTCCAGGATTGCTCAACCAGCTAGCTGTAAAATTCCTTGGAAATGCATTGGAAACTCATTCGGAATCTCCTTTAATGTGAACAATCTTGCGTACTTTACCAGCACTAAAAGTGATCAAAGACTATATTCGGTATCTCTAGATGCTTCATGTGGTAAAATTTAGTGAAATTGCATAAGTACTGCAGTAATTTAAACTTGAATCTTAACTTTTTATTTCCCTTCAGAACTCATGCACAATGTGGCCAAATTGTTTCATTTTACATTATAACCCACCATAAACTACAGTGCATTAATAAATAAAAAACTACAGATTTTGTGTAAGGTTAACATGACATCAAAGTGAGAATTAATCATATTTCGTCTGAAAAAGACATGAATCTATGTCCACAATTAGAATTTTACTAGGCCAAAATATTTTGATGAAACAAATGGGTGTGCCTTGTGAATTTAGATCAAATAGCAATTAGCAACTACTAATTCCATTAAAATTAAAAAGGTTCACGCTATTGCCAATACAAATGGTCGAGAATTTTATCTTACAAAGAAAACTATAATCTGAAATTAAAAAAAAAAATTATAAATGTTAAAATTTGAATCCCCGTAAGTCAATTTTTAAAAATAATTGTATAAAATAATCGAATTAAATTCCAGATTTCAAAGATTCATTCCAACATTGACTAATGTGTCTTAACTACCCTCTAGAAGAAGCACTTTTGAATTGGAGAACAAAGTTAAGTAGAAATTCTACCTTGGTTGATGAATTCAAAGAAGCATCCACGACGACTTTGACCTTGGTTTTGATACAAAGATTGATGGTAAGTAGAAATTCTAGCTTGGTTGATGAATTCAAAGAAGCATCCACGACGACTTTGACCTTGGTTTTGATACAAAGATTGATGGTTTTCTATTAACTTTAGTCTCCAATATATTTCGATGAACCAAGCAACTGATTCTTAATCTCGCAGTGAATTATTGTCACTTTTATCAGTGGCATAGCCACATGCAATTTTCGAGTAAGAAAGGTATAATTTTATAGGTATAGAATAGTAAATTTTGTGTAATTTTTTTATTGATCAAATAAATAAGATTTTCCTTCATTTTATAATGTTAATATTAATATTTAGATTTCAAATAAGATAAAATATTTAAATTTGTATATAAATAGAATCATATGTTAAGTTTATATGAATAATACCTAAACACATTCTCGAATTTTACTCAAAAATAAAATTTTATTTTTTATTACATAAAATTAAGATCATAAACTTTTATCTTATCATAGTTAGAATCTTAGCATTAAAAAATATTTAATTTTTTGTTTAAAATATCTTAATTAGATTATTAAATTTAAAAAAAATGCTTAATTACTTAGAAAAATAATAAAAAAAACAACAATAAATACTATCTTATTCAATTTATAAATTTAAGAATGATTATGTCATAAGCGTGATCGCATCAAACAATATAACATTATAAAAAAATTTTAATATTTAAAATAATTAAATTTAATGAAAAATTAATATATAAAAAGAACTTATACGTCAATATAATGTGAATTAGTATATAAATACGACTTTTCCGAAATTATTTTCTAACTACGCCACTGACTTTTTTTTTAACCTATCATGCACATTCGTCTTCCCATCGTTTTCCCTAGGACAATTGTTTTAGAAAATTAACTAGAAATTCACTTAAAAATATTGTTAATGTGCCAATGTTCAATCTCTTTGAATCGTGCTTTATTTACTTGTATTTTTTCAATAAGCTATAAGCGTGAAGCTGCCCCAATTGCAAATTAAGTCGTGATCCGAAGAATAAGGTTAGATTAGAAAGAAAGTCGTGACTATGGTCCACTCATTCATTTTTGTTTAGAAAATTAGGGACACTAACATGTTAGAATTTAAAAATATCATTCTTGTAGACTCATTCATAGGTTGGCCTAGTAATCCAACCCATGAATGAGTCTACAAAAGTATCATTCTTGAAAAATTTTATGATTTTAAGTATTAAACACGAAAACATATTATATGTAATTATTTCATTATAATTCATTAATTATAATTAAAAATTACGTAAAATTTACTAAAATATTATATAAAACTTACACATATGTAATAAATTTTATATAAATTATTTATTATAATTAAATAATTATACTATTGTAATAAAAATAGTTATAAATAAAATACACCCATTAAATACAATATCACAAACTTCAAAAATTTTGAAGTCACTATAACACCACTATTACAATTTTTCTCGTTAAAAGGGATAAAAGTGATTGCTCTTTTGAAAAAAGACAGAAAAGAAGACAGTAAGCCCAAGCTGGTACAGACAGGTTGGCTTCACTGAAATTGTCCAAAAATGAGGTTTCGGTTTTGCAGAGGCCAGACAAAGAGGCCATTGCAATCCTTGTAGTGGAATGAAGCTCATCCACCGACAAAAACGGGTCAAAAATTAAATAAAATACATTGATATTTGACAGAGATACGTGTCCATTTAAAAACCACTCACCAATTTTGTTACATGGTACTTATGTCACGAATTGAAGTGAGAGTTTTGAATCTTACATCAAACATAATAGGAAGATCACTGAAGTATAAAAAGGTTCACATTATTTTTATTTTGTGAGACGTCTTTTGTAAGATAAAACCGTGAGGCTAGAGGGTCAGCGCGGATAATACCTCACAAGGGTATGAACCGTGACAGAAAAACTAATCTGAGATGCCGGAAGGGTGAATGCTCGAGTCTCCGAGCCGCACGGATTCGAAGCTTAAGTCTCGACCCGTGACACTTACACAAGACTAGGATATGGGCATAATTTTATTTTTTTATATTCAAAATAAATTTGATTATCTAAAATATAAATATAATATGAAAATAATGTCATTTAAATTTATAATAATAATTATATATAAATTTAATAAAATAAAAAATTATAATTCATGTTTTTATATTGATATAAATTATAATACATAATTTTTATATAAAATATAATATAAATACATAAATTTTAATATTTTATATGACACGAAATACAAGAATTACTTGATCTATTGAAAAGTCCACAGTCCACTTCTTGATTCAAATACCATGAACTCAACTAACAGGAAGAAATTTTTTTTCAGTTGGGATGGAAGATTAGCTACTGTGAAATATGAGTTTAAATCAAGTCAGAAGAATGGAAGATTGAGCAAAGAGAAGGGTAATGAATTCTTGCCTGTAAACCTAAACATATTAGTATTTTTTTCTAATAAAGGAAATGATAGGATGAATTTCGTGCCCGAAATAATGATCATTTGTTGTATATATATATATATATATATATATATATATATATATATATACAGAAAAAGACGCATTCACATCCATGGATGCCTACCAATCTTTTTCATTCACTCTCACATGAATGTGACATAAGGTACAAATAAAGAAGATTAGGAAAAGCAACCTTTTAATTACAATTGGCCCGGTGGAACTACAAAAGCCAGGTCACCATAAAGATTCATGTGAATTTAGGTTTAAGAATAGGTGAAATATACGCATTAGAGTGAGGGTGCACGGGACCAAGCTTTTGGATCCAATGAAGGAGCCTTTTCTTATGATCTTGGCAAGTTGGGTTCTGTGCCAGATTCACGGTTCCATCACAATTAAGTGAGGACTCAAATTGCTCCAACACCTTTACTATCTGCCAAAATTCAGGCCTTTTCTCTGGGTGCAACGACCAACATTGCTCAATTAAAGCTCGCATGGCAGGAGGGCAGTATGCTGGGATTACAGGTCTCAAATTCTAGGGAAAAAATCTGATATCAGAATTACAGATATAAAAGCTTCTCAGTTTAGATTAAAAAATGCAACAAATTATACGTAAAGATGCCACAATTGCACTTCAATTCTCCCATGTAAGTGAAAATTTAAGTAGAATATCAGTTAAAAACCATGGCCTTACTTTCGAAAACCTCCACAGAGTCACCCAAACCATTCATCAGATCAACTCAAACAACGGAGAAAAATGATGCTTCCACCGTATTAGGCATCAGTCATTGTTTCTAAAATGGTTTTTAGGTTGGCCTCATATTGAGCAATTGAAGGAATGTCTGTTAGGTTAATGGTTAGACTGAATGTCTTTTTGATGATAACTTATGATTAACAACTCATGCCACCGCCTGAGACCACAATGCTAGTATTACTGCTGAGAATCAGCAAGATGTCATAGCTTCTTAGCCGTCTACCATCATACAGATTGTAGACTAAACAACTCTGCTAATCAGCATTGCTTAAATTTACAAAGATTTTGAATGCAGTCGTATGCCACATCATGTGCATCAAAACTACAATATTTGGTTGACTGAACATGATTAAATATATGAGATGAAAAACTATTTAAGAAAATAGGTTGAATGATTTAGGATCGGTGCTGGAGTTCATTTTCAAGGAAACTTTTGATAAGCAAAGGCCTTAATGAACTCAGGCTGATATGCTAGGAGATACAGGAATCCATATTACCAAGAAGAATAAGGCTTAGGAATATACCTTGTTCACAACTGCAAAAGCAGCTTGGATAGGATTCATATCCTCATATGGGATTGTTCCAGCTACCATTTCCCACAAGATTAGTCCAAAGCTGTACACATCCACCTTCCGTCCATATGATTTCTTTTTTATCATCTCAGGTGCCATCCACCGATAAGTCCCTGGATCATCTGCCAGTAGATCACAATATGCCTCCTCACAAGCTATACCAAAATCAGCAATTTTCAGGTGGAAATCTTGATCAATAAGGATGTTTTCGGGTTTAAGATCACGATGAATGACTCCTTGAGAATGAATGTATTCCATCCCACGAGCAACTTCTAGAGCAATAACAATTAACTTTTGCAATGGAAGTGACTTGTGCTCAAGCTTGTGCAAGTAAGCCCTCAAAGAACCCTCCGATAAATATTCTGTTATAACACAATAAACCGGTGGCTTTCTGCATGCTGCTACAAACTGTTATGAGATCAAAAGATAATGGTGAGAACTGAAACATGATGCGCCCCCACAAAAATACTCAATCCAAAGAAAATTAAAGCTACGGAAATTTAGCTATTAAGGGATTGAAAACCAGAATAAACTCTATTTGTCTGAGAAGCATTATAGTACCTGAACAAGATACATATGAAGGGGGAAATTTTGAAAAATCAAAATTCAATTACCTTTATAACATTCGGATGGTAGAGTCGGGATAAAAGGGTAACCTCTCTATTGAACTGTTTCTCTAATCGAGCGGCCAGGTTTCCATTTTCATCATCATCTGGAACTCTAATAATTTTAACTGCAACAGCTTCCTCCTTATATATCCCATGATAAAGCCGGCTATGTGCACCGTGAGCAAATCTAAGCCCAAGAAATAGCTGGGAAAGTTCAACAGTGTGTTCATCAGCTGCTTCTACAGCATTAACCCTTCCTCCGGCATGGTCAAAATACTTAGTCCAAGCCGACTCCTTCCTGCTCTTTGACTTATCAGGAACTTTCATGGAACCCAAGTGCCTAAGAGGACTTGAATTTGATGGTGCCGATGAATTGGATCCTTTCTTGTCATGGGATTTTTTGTGGAAAAACTTACCCTTCATTCGCTTGTCTGATTCTTTCCTTTGAGGATGAGGAGTTGAGAATCTCCTCTTCTCAGAACTTGCTTCCATAAATGCATCAGAGAGAACAGTCTGAGGGAGAGGAGATACAGACCTTTGCTTGTTTGTGATTGGATTTTGCTGAATCTGTGGATCATTGTGAACAGATTTCCGATTAGAAGAAGCTACTGTTGACCTTACTTTCAACCCCAAACTCTCTGGATTCCTGTCTGCTTGTAGGTGGAAAGGAAAGGAGACCAATCTAGATGTGTCCAATCTATGACAAACTGTGTGAGAAAACTTTGTTCTCCTTATCCAAGAATTACCCTCTTCTGCCATTTCTTATATCCCTGTAATTCACTTCAAATGCTTGAATCGCTAGAAGACCTTAAACCCAAAGCTTCCCTTTATCTTCCCTTCTTTGTTTTCCTCCTCCTTCGAAGAAGAAGGGACACAATCAAGGGACTGTTCCAGAAATAATACTCCTAGGCAGCATACAGAGCTAAAGAAACAAAAATTCTTCAAGCCCATCAACAGTTGACCACCGAAAAATCAAACTTCTGTTTCATTGAACAAGAAACCAATCAAAGCCATGAAGAAAAACCATCAAGAATGAGACTCTAACTGGCCTTAATCTCTTTTCCATTAAAATGAAAAAAGAGAAAGAGAATCACTTGAAAGTTGAAACCCATCAAATCTATCCACACTTGAAAGACCCTTTTTTCAATCCATCAAACAACAAAAAAGCTTTTGATTCATAATCAAAGTATCAAAGCCTTCCTCCAAAAAAAACTTTCTTTTTTATTTTTTTCTCTTTAAGCTTCGAAAGTCAAAACACCACCTTCCGTGAATCAATGCCTGGAAAATCCGACATAAGTAACCAAACAAAAAAGTCATCCATCAAAAAAATTAAAATAAAAATAAAACAAAGAAAAAAAACAACCCAAAAAAAAATTATACTTCATTGTATTATTGAAAATAAAGAAAAACGAATGCTTATAACACCCATTAACCTCAGAAAAAAAATATTCATTTGTCAAAAACAATCATAAACCCCATTATAAAAATAAAATACATGTATAATATATAAAAACAAATAAAAACCCAGATTCAAATATGAAAAGATATGCACAAAACAAATTTAAAAGAAAACATATTATAACACATACCAAAAAAGCATCCAAAGACAAGAACTTTACCATGAAGCTAATAAGTGCATGGCTAATCAACGCAAGGTGGCATTTTTTTTTTTTTCTTTGTTTGATTTTTATGGGTAGTAAGAGAAAATTTAAAAAAAAAAAAAAGAATATAGGAATTACCCTGCAAAAGGAAGCTTGAGAAGACATACGTATCGCATACGGAGATGGTTGGGGACCGTAGATTCCGTGGATCCGATATTTTCGGGTTGAGGACTGAAAAAAGGTGGAGCCCAGTTGAAAAGGCGGTTGAGTGTGGGGACACCAAAAAGGACAGAAAGCCAATAAAAGACAAGATCTTTTGATTTGTCAAAAAGGCTTATTTTATTGAGTTTATCAAAAGGAAATAAAGTGGGGAAAAACAAGTGTCATTTTCATAGAGAATGAGTATTTTTTATTTTATAATAATAATAATAATTACATAGGCAATGGCAAAACGCAAAAGCAAAAGCAAAAGCTACGCGTGGATGGTACGGTTCGCACGGAGGTTGTAGTAAATGGTACTTTTTTTTTTGTAGCCAGCGATTTTCTTGTTGGTATTTTTGTAGGTATATGATCGTATGTATACGTATATTTATTCATTAAACATGGTTTTTTTTTTTAATGTTTTTGAAAGTTGTTTGGTTGGATTCCAATTGCACTTTTGCTCTTTGGTTTCTTAAGATTCTTCCCCATCTTTTTTTTTTTTCTTTGCATGTGAGACGATAGGTCAAAATGGAAAACCAAACGGAATTATAGGGTACTTAAAGGTTAAGACTTTGGAGTAATATTTGGATTCAAAATTGGAATTAGAAAATAGAATTAATGTGAAATTAAACAACATTTTTTTATCCATAAGGAGTTGTCTATTTTTTTAATTGATTCAAATAAATTTATTTATATTAAATTTAATAAATTTATAAAAATTTATTTTATTATAGATTTTTATTAAATTTAAATTCAACCAATAAAGAGAATAATAAATTTAAAAGTGTGAAATGTTAGTATTATATTTAGACTTGATAATTTATTAATTAATATTATGTAAAATATTAATAATTATGTATTCGTATTTTATTTTATACAAAAATTATATGTCATAATTCGTATCAATGTAAAAATATAAAATATTTTTTTATTTTATTAAATTTATTTATGATTTTTGTTAAAATTTTAAATTTTTTTATTTATTTTATATCATTATATCATATTTTATATCACCAAATCTAATTATCATAATGTTATAATGAAAACATTCCATCAAAGTGAAAACGAAGAAGTTTTTACGAGATAAAAGAGAATTTTATCATAAGTGCATAATTAAAAATATTTGCAAATCTATGGTTTTTGTAATTTTATTTTATTGTTCTATAATAAAAAAAAAGTAAATGATTGATTTATAAATAGATTACTAAACTTTAGTTTCAGATTTTATCAAAACCTCATATTTGATGCAACCTCCCCACAGCATTAATCCAACAAATTCCTCATTAAAACTTAGGCCTAAATCTAATTAAACATCATATTTGAACAGATATAATAACAGCCAATGAAGGATAGAATCATTATACATATTTTCTTATTAATTGAAATATTTAATACTATGAGTCCGAGCACCTCTTTTTATTTTATTGATGCAAAAAATATTTTTCTAAGATGTTGGGATTTGGGAACGAATAAAAAGCCCAATATGGGCTCAACTAACGTGGGCAGCAAATCAAGAGTCCCATTTCTGAGGACAACAGAAAATTTGGTTCACCCTCCAAGGTCTCAGGCTGTCACACCCCAAACCCAACTAACCCAATTCATTCAGTTTCCACACCATTCCCCCCCCCCCCTCCCCCCATTATATCACTGCAATGCCTTTCTTTTATGGAGGTCCTTGTGTCACGGTCCGCGGGATGGATCAGGCCCAGTAATTCTTTTCGAGACAGAGAGCAGTTTCTCATGGATGTAAGCGGCTTTACCTATAAACAGAGGGTGCCCCACTTTCATTGTACATATCACAACTTGGAGTAATATAAGTTTATTCTTTACTTATCTCTTTTGATTCTCTTGAGCTTTTCATCAAACATTTAATGTGCAGCTTTGTTTAACAACAGCGCAGGTGGTCGTCCTTGGAATACTGAGTGTTTTAACACCGGTCTGAATATTAAATTGATTTGAGTTGTCGGATGAGTCAATTTTTAAGTCTCCGAAGTCGTTTAAGCTTAAAAACTTAAATATTGATCCGTGACACTTGGGCTCACCCATCCTAAGTTTGAAAATGAAATCAGGACATCTACCATCTAACATCCTAACTTCTGTTTGTGAGTTTCCTACAATCATTAATTTATGAATTCTTGTAATAATCTTCCCTGACCCTGAGGCCTGACAATTTTAGGAGATCAATTATGCAAATTCAAAACTGCAACTCCATAATCCGATTCCAAAATGACAGAACAGAAATGATGTTTAAGCTAAAACCATAGAAATTACCCAGAGTTCAGCTGTGGGGATTTTAGTTTTATCTACTTTCTTTATTATATTACTATTTCCTATTTGAAGTTTAGTTAATACGACAAAAGGTCAACAATGAGATCAGTTTGGAACCTGATCCATTTAATATATTCAACATTATTTTATAAGATTATCAAGAATCCAAAGTCAGGTGTATTGCTCCAGAACAGACCATTTTCTGCCAGCAAATCTGAAATTTGCAGCAGCCGATGGACCTTATCTTTGAACATCAAACTTCAAGTCAAAAACAAGAAAGGACCAAGAATATTTATAGACAAAAACCCTGATTTCAGAATAAAAGGCCTTTTCTCGTTATTCATCCAATCTCTAAAATATTATTATATACACTTTACCGGTCCAAAAGTTCAGATTTAAATAGTAGTTTAATTAAAAGAACTAGAGGACAAAATCTTTGGTTTAAATTTCTCCCAATATTCATACAACCTGAACTGCTGTACAACGCACATTGGACAACTTTTCCAGCAAATCTACAGTTAGCAATGAGGCCCTTGGCTTCGGCAATCGGCCTGAATATCCCACTGACAAGGATTTTGTAGATGTATTCCGTTCACATGATTTTAGCCACTTAGCTTGCATGTATCTGTGTTTTCTCCATGGCCCCATGTGCATTTTCTTCTCCTTCATGCATTTCTTGGCAGCCAAACATACGATTTTGATCACATTATTTAATCTTTCTACTTTACCGACAAAAACTTCTGGTAATCGTTGGACTAGACGATTGTACTCTTCACTTGCTCTTGCCATCTCAAACTCAGATCTGAAGTTCAACTCTATTATTACCCTTACATCTCCTTTTCTTGAATTCTCTATCACATCCAAAAACTTGTGCTCTCCTGCACAATATCAAACCAAATAATATGTTAACTCCTCTCATTTCCTTGACAAATGAAACCCCACCAAAGATTAAAAAAAAAAAAAAATCTGCTTTAATTATTATACCTGATGGGATATCTGGAGAGCTTCGCCATTTAGACCGGCATATGGCACTGTTGAAACCAGCATTTTGGAGACGGCTAGAGACTTCTCTCATAAGACAATTCCTACAACTTTCAGCCATGGATTTCCCACAAGCACAAACAGTTCTCGCTCTCTGAATATCTTTCAAGGCTTCTTTGGTGGCATTTCGAATTCTTGATTCCAAAGAGGTACTCCTACACAAGGTAGCTTGCAGAGCCTGGTGCTGACTCTCCCAAAAACTCTTGTTATTTTCAACACTACTTCCATCATCTTCTTTCGCCTCACCATCATCATCATCACCCAAATCTCCTCTTCCATCTATCATTTCATTGTTACCTCGAAGCTCATCACTTTTACAGCTTCCATGTCCAGGGATTTCTTGGTCACCATCTTCAAGAAACCCGAATTCCATATCTGACAGACTTGAATCTGGTCGCTCAGGAAACTTGAATTCCTGGCAACCGTAGGTTAAATTCCGGTGATTCCATGAAATTCTGGTTGCAAAGCCAGCCATGGTTTTTTTTTTTTTTTTTTAATCTTTTTCTTTTTATGCCGTGGATAACTTAGAATGTTGGCGAGCTTGTCATGGATTATTGGACTTCGGTTTTATAGTAAGCTTTAGGGAAAAGTGGGCCCCGTTTCAAACCTACGTGGTCGAACGAGCCGCGGCGCACATGAGTGAGAAACTAGTATCCTACGTGGATTGTAACAATTGGGTTATCTGCACCGGTCGTTTCTCGTATATTTGGACTGGACAGCGAGGATCCACGTCGATTGATTGCAATAATTTTGATCCACTGATCTAGTCGGATATGCTCGAATATTCACGTCCCACATATTTATTTTCTCATAATAATTTCATGTATCTATCCACCTAAGACATGTTGGTGTAAAAAATTGTCTCAATTGATTAATGTTTTTATTTTATTTTTTTATAAGAAAAACTTAAAATAGGTAAGTTATTTAATTTTTTAAATTATTTAATAATCTAAAATAAATAATTATAAATAGTGCATTCGATATAATTTTAATAAATGATCATCAATAAAATTTAAATTTTTAAAAAATAAATTTTAATTAATTAAATTAATTAATTATTAATTATTTTAATTTTTTATTCAATATTTTAGTATAAATGAGTTAATTATATCGATAAAGATTTTATAAAAATTTATTCAAATAAAGTTAACAACATTTAAATAAATAGTAAAAATATACATTTGTCATGATATGAAAGTTGGATTTAAAGTTAGTAAAATTGATTCTAATCCAAAAAAATTTTAATTTAATTAAAGAATTATAATTCAAATAATTTAATTTAAATTAATTGAAACTTGAACCATTCAAAATGTTATTCTAAAAATTTGTTTAATTTTAAAATTTAACAATTTTAATATGAAAACACAAATATCGAATTTAAAATATTTAAAATAAAAATCATCAAAATTCAAAACACAAATATCATTATTTTTTAATTTTCGCTTTTCTATTAAATTTTAAAATGGTTAAGGTTTTGAGTGAATATAGTAATTATCTATGTCCCGATCTCCAAAACGGTGGGACCACAATAAAATGGAAGAGGACAGAGGGATGTGATTGGGTGTTGAATAAGATCAAACGTGGCAAAATCATGGACGTTTGATGTTGATGTTAATCCGAAATGGGGGGCCTACCAGTTGCTATACCCAACAAAAATTGTTTTGTTCGCTTTCGTGTATTCATCGTATGAATCACGAAGTAAAGTTGGTCGAGGAACTCAAATAGCATGTGGTACGTAAAACGCGCATTCGAACAATTGGGAGGTTCCGATTTTTTATGTTGACAAAGACGCTAATATGACCTACAAAGAAGTCTATGTTCAACCTTTGTAATGCTTTGTTTTTGAATGTCAAGAACATGTGATTTTCATTTTCATAAAATAAATAAAATTACCAATTTTATATTTAATCCAAATAATTTATCTACTTTCTCGAGTTATTAGTTCACTAATAAAATCGAAATATCCTATACTCATTTTTATGCCTCAGTCAATCAATAAATGATTAGAATTTAATCAATACATCAAGGTTTTAGGTTTCGAATCGTCCAAATGAAATACATCCAAACAATCACATCATTTGCTATAAAAAGATGACTTGATGACATTCGATTAAGAGAATAATTGAGCCCAAAGTCTTATTAATGGTTTATTAAGATTATGAGTGTAAATGATACATTAGTATTCGTAAGCTATTTAGATTTGATTCGAAGAAAATTTGAATTCGATTCAATTATTATCGAGTCGAACTCGAGCTCGAGCAGCTCGATTTGTCGATCAAATCGAATTCAAATATTTTTATATTCAATTTAAGTAGTTTACGAGCCTAATCAAATTTTTATATTTAAATATATTTTTATTATTTTAATTAATAAAATATTTCGAATTCGAGTTCGAACTCGAGCATAAATAATTGAATTCTTATCAAGTATACGAATTGAGCTTATTTTTATATAGTAATCGAGTTTAATTGAACAAATTCGAATAGCTCAAATTCGATCACGAATCAAGCTCGAGCTTGAAAAATAAAATTCGATCGAGTTCGAACCAAGTATCGAACCACGAGTTGTGAGTCGAGCTCGAGTTTGAACTTCTTACTGTATCGATTAAACTCGACTCGATTACACTCCTAATTGAAACAATTATTTCAAAATTAATTAATGAATTATTAATTTATTTAAAATTATTAAATATAATTTTAAAATTATTAAACATGATTTATACATATATGAAATCATTAAATATAAAATTTACTCATTTACGTAAATTATTCTCAAATTTCACACAAAAAAATATTTTTAATTGTCCGTCGTTTTAATTAGATCTTGATCATTTGTCTCACACAAGAGGTAAAAGAGAACTATACACACAAGGTATCAGAAGAACAGAACCAATGTATTTCTCCTTAAATTCTTTCACTACTTAAACTTTTCTCACATACCTCATCATTTTCATCTATTTTACTTCTTACTTTTACCTCGGACACGACATTGAGTGTCGGAACGCGTCTCGAATTAACAATTTTAATACCTCTAATCATACTTTCTGACTACATGTTACAGCTGTCCTTTCCTTTAATCTCTTTTTTTTTTCTCTCAACTAAAATATTCAAAAACACCATCAACACTCATCATTTATCTAATTTTGGTTGTCTACCTTTCAATGTAAGTTTACATAATTAAAGGATTTATTATTTCAAGAGAGCAAAATTAATGTAAAACATTCTTCAACTGATCAACAATTTTATGAATAAGTTGTTAATTCAATAATATTGAAATTAATTTCAAAATTAAAGGTCTTAAATTGAAATTTTAATTATTACTCACAAGACATCAAATATAAAAATTTCAGAATTAATCAAGTTAATCTTATCTTGTTTAGGGTCAGTTTATCATTAATGAATTAGTGTCAAATAAGATGATATTAAATTAATCAACTAGATTACCATTATCTCTAACATGGAGATGATCGGATTGTTTTTGGCACATGGCATGAAGATCATGATCATCATAGCTAGCGAATATCCATAGAAATGAGACGCGGATTCTGACCACACCAGCACCTGGCGGGTTTTTAGATGGAGACGTCCTTTCCATAGTCGATAAGATAGAAAATCGACAGGCTGACCACACATAGAAAATGATGCTAGATAATATGTCAAGCTACAGCTTGTATTTGCATGATTTGCTCGAGGATAATTATTTATGCTGCTCAACTGCATATCATATGCATGTGTTTAACATGTAATTATGCAAAAATTTTGTTCACACTTTACTACAGATTAGTTTCAGTATAATTTTTTTGCTATAATCATTCCTGCATGCCAAGACCGTGATCCATATTTTATAGCTAGGTCTGTTCTTGAATGCAAGAGAGTTCATGAGACAGTGCTGTGGAAAACTTCTTGAATGCTCAAGTTTGTTAAGTATATGTGAATGCAAGAGAGTTCATGAACCTCAAACTTGATACAGATTGTTATGCAAAAGATGGTGGATTATTTCTCTTTTCAATATGATCAAAGGCATTTTAAGTTTTGTTTAGAATCTAATATCCTTTTCATATGATTTTAAAAACTCATTCCTTCGTATCGATCTGATATATTTAAATTTTTATTTTCGAAATTTTATCCCAAAGATCCGACCTGTCTTTCAAGAACAGTTCAAGGACAGAAAACTCTCTCTTATCGATTGAACTAACCTCTTTAAGCTGTGGATGATCGTTTGTAATTAAGTTAGGCTTTTCTCTGGCTCATGATGATTTCTATCTTTAATTTTGATGATAAGATTTCATAAATAGTAGACTAGACACTGAGATTATCGCTTTCTATCAACCTAGTATAACAAATCTAAACACTGGTTTTTCAATTATTGTTTGGATTTGTACAAACGCCATGCAAAACCACAATCAGTTTATCAATCAAATCATATTGAATCCAAAATTAATCAACATTAGCATGTAAGAAGTCCATTGTAAAACTGGTTTTAATTTATGATTATCTCTTTGAAACAAGAAAGAAAATTGTATGGCTCCAGTTTTTGTGATCTTTATCCAAGGAAAATTTATCTCCTTAATTACCACTTGAAATTAATAAGGTTCAAAGACATACTAAACCATTATTGAAAGAAATAAAACTTACTATGTCAATGTTTGAGAGTGTCTATGAAGTAATTGCACTCAATTGATGGTTTATATAACTTTTTGGGATTTTCAATTTGAATATATCACATGCCATATCTTAAGAAAGAGAACAGGAGTAATCAAAAAGATATATAGTGGAGAAATAAAAAATTTTGAATTTAAAATTTAATTCAATTAATTTATATAATTATTTATAAAAGATGATTTTTAAGTATAAATCTTAATATTTATAATTTTTTTTATTTTTTAGCTGTGATTTCTTTTTTTTTTTAAACCGAAAAAAAAAACGAAAAGATTAATGTGAACCCATTGAACGAACGAAGGAATGCCAAAATTAGATGTGGATGATATGGATGGAGAAGAAAATGTTGGATCTGTATGTTTTTTTATGCACGTGTCCTGTCCATTTAAAGACAATGCATTATCGTTATCCATTTTCCTTTGTTTTCTTTTTAAAATGGAAACTAGCTGAAGAGAAGAGAAGAAATGATCAGAAGAAGAAATATTAGCCACATGAGGTGCTCAATGGTGATTAAAGCGACAAAGCTAATCTGTCAATTGCTTCTACATCACGAAACCCGACTTTTTCTGGCTCAAGGAATAGCAAATTTGATTAGTATGGAAAACTAAAAGTAGAGATATGTAAATTTATTAAACCAAATTGAATCCGCACTTTACCTTTTAACCTACCATCATGCATTTGTTTTTTCCTTTTAGTGCCAAGGGAACATAGCCAGATATTGTTAGGAAAGTGTGAGCCGCATTTGTTTCGCCAATTAAATGGCCTTTTACCCTAACAGGGTCCTACATATTAAAAGAAGATATGCTCGTTTGGTGTAAAAAAAAAAAAAAAAAGGTGTGTAATGATATATTTATTGAGTTATTTATTTGATAAAAATTTTTAATTATTTTTTTAATTATTAATTAGTTTTAGTTTTAGTTAAATTTTTTTTATATATCTATTATTTAATAG